ACAAACAACATTTGGTTCGGCACTTGGGCAGATGCGCAAATTTCAGCACGTTATGGGCGCCGCAAAACGCACGAAGTTGAGCTCGCGCTGGGCATTGCCCGAAAAATCGTGCATTTTTGCGAACTTGTGGCGCCCATAACGTGCTGAAATTTGCGCATCTGCCCAAGTGCCGAACCAAATGTTGTTTGTAAAGACTTGCTCTTTCAAACTAATAAGGTCAAAAAAATATCTGGGCTGAACATGGTTTGCGCCTCCATTGTGAGTGTAATTGTTTTAGTGTGCAAACTGAACTAAAAATACGTATGTAAATCTGCTCGTTGGTAAAATCGCTTTTTAAAAATGAAACCCCCACTTTTTAAATAAATAAACTAGAAGAAAATATGAGATGAAGTTAAATTCTGTAAATAATTGTCGAGAGTTTTTCTATAAATTTAATGCACATATTGTATATATTGTATATTTAATGTACAATTGTTATGAAATTTTACAGTTTTTAAAATAGACTTGTTCCTGTCGGTGGATTAAATTTCCTTTTTTTATTATTCATGCATGTTTTCATGTAAATTTTTTTTTACGAAATTATGAAAATCTTTATAGGGGTGGATTTTTATTGGATTTCGCATATTGATGGATGTCATTAATTGCATGATGCCAAACAACATCAGATTTTCATTTTTTTATCCCAATTTAGTACATTTTTTGAAATTTAATTTGAATTTTTCACCTAGAAAAAAACTTTTTGATCGATTTTATCTATTCTATTGCAATGCATGCCTTTTTTGATTTCAAGTATTTATTTCATGAACAGACAAAATTGCAAAGCTATTTTATAACTCAATTTCTGATTGCATGCACAAAATGATGGATGGAATTTATACCAGTAAAAAGACGAAAAAGAAAATGCAATTAATTTCCATGATTCCTCGTAATTACAAAGTTTCTCGAATATTATGAACTTTTTTATGCTAAATTAAATTGATTCAATTACTACAAAATAATCAAGTTTAATGAATTTGATATCTTTATTACAATTTTCTTGCAACAAATTGTTTGTCCCTTCAATTTAAATATTTAGCAGCAGCAGCAGCCGGAGGAGGAGGGGGACGAATTCTGTAAAACAAATACAAAAATTAGAAACATTTTTATAAATTGGGGATAATTTTTTGCCCACAAATAACATTCGAGATGGGGTAAGGGGCTCCAATTATGTGTGACACTTATTAAAAAGGGTCTAGAAACTCGGGATACTACATGATTAACCTCCTAGCTGCCAGTTAATTTTCGGGAATATTCCGTTGCGTAACAAATTAGACAGATTTGTGTAACGATTTTTGATCACTTGACTACCATAAAATATTTTTCAAAATATTACTTTGCCTACCAAATATACATATTTGTGTAGCAAAATTATATCCACTGGCTACCAATTACACACGAGATCGTTTCCCATTGCGTACCAATTACACAAATTTGGGTAATTATGTATATCGAGGATTTTTAAAATTCTGGTAGTCAATGGAAATCTATCAAGTTGAAAAATTCCGGACAACGTAAAATTTCTAAAAATACTTTGGTACCTAAGAGAAATAGTTTTACTACACAATTGTGTGTGTAATTGGTAGCCAGGAGGTTAATTAATGGACGGCCCCTAAATTTCGTACCATGTTTTCCTCCTTTGGTTGATCCTCCACAGTCTCCTTTGCCTTTTTCGCACACTTCAAATGAAGCAGGGTCCCGGCCCGGACGAAGTCGCCGTCCCGATAAGCCTTGACCCATTGGGGGAGCTCTTTCCCCTCCGCTTTCAGCTCCGCCTCCTGTCATAAAACAAAAAGGAGAACATATTTATAAAAAAATTGTGCTGAATCTTTATAAATTTCTAGAATTAATTTGGAATATTTTGTAAAAAAGGCGAGCAAAGAAAATTGGCCAAAAATAATTTTAAAACAAATTCATCAAAAAATTGTGATGGATCTGTATAAATTTCTAGAATGAAGTAAATAATTTGAAAATAATTTGTAAAAAAGGTGAGTGGTCAAAAAAATTACAGAAGTTGTAAAAAAATAATAATTTTAGCATGAAAACATAAAAATTTGCCCACCTTAATTTTTAGCCTGTTCAAAATCTCCTGGCGAGTCTTGGCTGGCGTGGGACCCTGAAGGGCCGCCAGGCCCCTCAAGGTCTTCAGAACGCTGGACATCTGGATAACCTTCATTTTTCCGGTGTAGTTTTGACTTCCAGTTGAGAAACACGAATGATAAGCCTGGAGAAGAGACATTGTCTTTAAATACGTGTCCACAAGGGGCCGTCCATAAATTACGTAAGGCAAGAGGGGGAAGGGGGGGGGGTCTAAGGCTCCAATGATATCGTGCCTATGGTACAAATGACAAAATGTTAAAGGGGGGGAGCGCATACTTGTTCAAAAATTTAGTTTTCATTCAAAAGTCAGTAATCCCAATTTCTGACTGAAGATTTTCACACACATTCAGTCATTTTCGTTCAAATTCATTTCATTTCACTTCACTTCATCGGACTTCATTTCTTAATTCGCTCCATGTATTAAGCATAGGGTGAAAAATGAAATTAGTGAGAAATCTTTCATTCACAGTCATTCATCCGAAATGACGGAATCCTTCAATCATTTTCATTCAAATGATAGGAAATTCATTTTCATTCACCATCATAATCACTCAAATGAATGAAAGTGAACAGGTATGGGTGAGGCGGGGTCTAGAAAATCGCGATTTTTGCATTACATAATTTATGGACAGCTCCTGAGACAGGAAGGATTTGGGAACATAGCGTTACATCCGTTATCATGAAGTCCCATGGAGACCAGACTCTAAAAATGTGAGAAAATGCGATAACATAAAATAGTTCATGCAAAGTAAGAATCTTGTTTTGGAAAGCTTTTATGTAAGGGCTCATATTTCTGTCTAATTGCACTTTTAATCATCATACAGAGTAAAATTAATACCATGAAATCCAACCAAATCCTCTCATGACGTTTGTAAACTTCAATAAAACAACATTCTTTTTAATTGAACAAAATGCTTAGTTGACACGTTATATCATACTTTAAGAATGGAGGTGGACCAGCGTATGCGATCCGATTTTGAGGGTCAAATTAGTGTGAATCGATGACAAATTTATATGAAATTTGCAAAAGACGCACGATCTCCCAATGGCGTTTATAGACGTTTGGCTGAGATATTTACATCCGAAGAGGAGAAAACGCGACTTAAAGCTGACAAATTATACACATTCCAAATTTACTGCGCGTTTTTTCCTCTTCCGATGCAAATATCTGCGCCAAACGTAAACCCCATTGGGTGATCGTGTCTTTTGCAAATTTCACACTAATTAAATTTGCCATAGATTTGCAAAACTTTGCTCAAAATCGGATCGCATCCGCTGGGAGACCTCCATCTTAAAGTTCACTCTTCTCAAAACAACGTTAACTTCTTGGAATTAGAGGACCAAAGTATAACTACTTTGTTCATGAGTGATGACAAATATTTCTAAATATGCACATTAATTTTATCATGAACACGGTAATTAAACACTTAAATATCATGAACAGCAGTTTAATGCAAATCTCTCCAATTTGGTTACGAATTTCCTCTGGGTTTATCCTCTTGTGATCTTTTCACCTTAAGATTGGCATTAGAATTTTGTGCCAATTTCATCAATTTGATCGATATCGTTAATATATTAAGGACTTCCTTATAAGGAAGAACTTACAGCATTTTGCCCAATTCTCTAATGTTCGACTATTTTGGCCGTCGAAAATTATTTTGCCCAGTTTTGCACGCTCATCGACGTTGTCCAGTCCAAAAGTAGTTTTCCACGGTTAAAACGAAACACTGGTTATGCTAAGTACATTGACCACTCGGTGTACGTAGTATGCATAAATGTCGCAAATTTGGTATATTTGTGGTCAGCTTGTTTATGCTCAATTCTTGATTTCATATGGATTTACGTTACTATTACTGGAAGAAATATGCATGCAAAACCCGTCTCATTTACAGTAAATGAAAAAATCTAGTCAAATAAGTAAATCATTTACTTATTTGACTAGATTTTTTCTCATCCTCCTCTTGAAGCATGAGTTTATGAGTTCCATTCGGCAAAAACAATGCATGGTTTTCTGACTTTACTACGTAAAAATCCCTGTGACCAGAACAAAATACCATTTTTATTAGTTGTACGAGAATAATTAACTTTTCGTAAAGGGTGAAACCAGAAAAATATAAAAACATAAAGCATGGACAACACGTGGTCAGTTGATGGGACGTCGACGACCTTAAGAATTAATAAAGAAGACCTTGTAGTATTTTGCCTCATTCTACTGTAGAATTTCCACGATTTTGGACATTTTGTCCGTCCAAAATTATTTTGGACGCTTTTGGATCGTGTGTATCAATGGATGAAACACGTTATGCGATGCAAATTGACCACTCGGTATACGAACGAAGTATGCATAAAAAATCTCACAAATTTCGTAGTCAGCTTTGTGATCCTCAATTCTTGAATTTATCTAAATATGTTACTATTACTGGAAGAAATATGCATGCAAAATCTGTCTCATTTAAGTACTCGTGTAGCTAGATTTTTTCTCATCGTCCGGCCGAAGCATGATTTTATTTCCATTCGGCCGAAACAGTGCATGTTTTTGTCAAATATTTTTCCATGAAAGAGAATTATGGTGGAATTTTAGTTTTATATTTTGGATAGAATTCTCACGATAAGAAATGGAACGACCATTCTTCAATTTTTGAGGCCTGCGTATCATGAAAATATATTTACAAAGTGAGACTTCCAGCAGAACTATTTGTTCACCTGGTCCCTTTCGATATGCAACCTGCAACCTGAGCCTTGTCCGATTCACAAAGTGACCAAATTCACAAATTTTCTCGTCACGGTGAAACATGTCGTCGTCACTGTTTCAGCCTTGCATTTATGTCGGCGCATGAAAAAATGGGAGTGAGCAGAGAACAGACTTTTACACATAATAGAATGACTTTACTACATAAAAATCGACATGGTCAAAACGGTAACAAATATTGGGTCATGTTTGCAAATTAATACTTCAACTATGCCATTTTTACGAATCGTACGAGAACAATTATCTCGTCATAAATATGTAGTGAAACCGGAAAAACTTAAAAACTATATAAAGTATCGGAAGTGTGTCGTAAGGTCAGTTGGCAGATGAATAAGGACTTGATCCTTGGGGATGACCTTTCTTCAAATGTCTCCCAAGATTTGCTTTCTGTGTGAACGTCTCCCCGCAGTGGGGGCAAGGGTGCCGGATTTTGGCATGAACACCCCTCAGATGTCGCACCATGCTACCCTTCTCGCCGAACTTCTTGGCACACTCGGGGCAGGTGATGTCCTTCCGCTTCCGGTGAACTGTCTTCTTGTGCCTGGCCATGGATATTTTTTGAGTGAAGGCTTGCCCGCATTCGGTGCACTTGAAGGGCCGCGGGTCCGCGCTGTGGATGCGCGCATGCCTGGTTAAGTTACTTTCCAAACTGAACAGCTCCCCGCACTGGTCGCAGCGGAAAGGTTTCTCCTTCGTGTGGGAGACGAGGTGAGCCTGATAAGTGTGGTTATCGGGGAATATCTTTTGGCAGAATAAACACACGACTCTTCCCCTGCTTCACGAGGGCGACCTTCTCGTCCTCGCTGAGATGGGTAAACCGATGACTGGTGAGGGTTCGTTTGGAGGAGAACGTTTTTCTACAAGTGGGACACCTTCCGCCCAACTTTTCCTTCGTGTGGGTCACAAGATGATGACTGAGATGGGATGGAGTTTTGAACCGTTTGCTGCAGAAGTAGCAGCCGTGTCGCCAGCCCTGTCGCACCGCCGCGCGCTCCTCGCGACTCAAATGGACGAAGAGATGATGGGTAAAGTGGCGACGATGGAAGAACATTTTTCGGCAGTGGGGGCACTTTTCATGGAACAGTGAGGACTGCTCCAGCTCATCCGCGTTGAGGTGGGTGCGGGCGTGGAAGTGAGCACTGGTTGCGTTGGTGAAGAGACAAATGCAGATTTTGCAGAGGAAGATTTTCTTATTGCGAACTTGCGGTGATTTCTTGGTGTTTAGTGACCTGCTGCTGGACGAAGGGGATTGCACTTGGTTATCGTCACGTGCTGTTGGTTGTGGGTGAGGAGGAAGTCGTCCGTTCTCGTGAAAGATGACTCCTTTCTTCGTTGTGGGGACGAGCGCTTTCTGGCCTCTGCGCATTTTCTGGTTGACCTCCATCCCGTCCAAGGTTTGCTCTGTTGGGAACTACCCTCGGAATCAAACCTGTCTCGGCACACAATTATTATCCGTATTAGAACAGAATGTGGAGTGGAGCAAGAGATTTTACATGAAAACTCAGAATACAATCTTACCAACGGCTCCTCCTTAAAACTTGGCGTGTTCGGGATCCAATCAGTTCAGGAGGAAAATCTTTTCTTTTTGGAATCCTGCTTTTCAGTCCTTCACGATTTTTAAGCGATGCTCAACTCCTCCAGCGTTCTTCTCTTGTGAACTTGGTGGAAAGTTGGAAATGTTGAAAATTTGTGAAATTTTTGTAGGACGTGAGCTGAGCTCTCGTTTGATGGGGAGCGTGTTGGTGTCTGACTCTCTCGGAGTGAGAGATGGTTTCGCTTGTATAGCAAGACGTACCAAAAAGGTGACAAAATGCAGATTAATGCAAAAATGCAGATAATAATTTATGTAAAGAGAACTAAGCAAGAAATTCATGGGACGAGCAACACGTTGGTGAATTGATCATCCATCAATTATTCAATGCAAATTAAGACGCACGGCTTGTCCAATTCTGACGAAATATGCATATGCATCCAGAATCTCGCAAATTTGACTATGAATCAAACTTGTTTTCATCTTTTATTTGCTGCCCTAGGCAAATAACCATTTGCAAGAAATAGCGGAGAGAAGAAAGTCTTTTTTGAGCTGCTAAATATTTTGACCTGTAAGAAATGACGCCCACCGCTGTCCACACTTCATACGACGCGTGCGTGGCGCAACTTTCCTGCGCTTTCTCGCAGTTTATTGCACCTCGCATTTCTTGCATTGCTTGCTTTGAAGTGCAAGAACTGTATGCGACAAGAAACGAAACACTTGGAGGAAAGATCAACAAAAGTAATTCTGCATATGATCCAGTCCGGATTTCCTAAGTTTTCTAATACAACGTTATTATACGCATGAATATTTAATTTAATGGGAATGACCACTTTGATCAATCATTGGATTACTTGATTGACCACTCCTGCACGGAAAATGCGTGCGGAATCAAGAAAATTTAGTGCAAACCTTTCATCTTTATGATGCTTGATTTGTTCTCATCCGCCTCAGGCTGAACTGAACTTGGGGTTTATTTAAATTGGATAGAAATATCTAATGCCTGGTTTTCTTAAATACAACGAAATTTTCCAACCGTGAGAAAATTATGGTGGAATTTTAGAGTTTTGATGGAATGCTCACGATAAGAAAATGAACAACAATTCATCAATTAGTGAGGTCTGCGGATCAGAATAATATGGAGACTGAGACTTCCTGCTGCAGAATTATTTGTTCACTTTGGTCCCTTTCGATATGCAACCTGCAATATGAGCCATGCACGATTTAAGTGAGATGCACAAACTGACCTTCCTTATCGTCACGATGAAACGTGTCGTCGTCACTGATCAAGCGTTGGATTTGTGTCGACAGATGCAAAAATGGGAGCGAGACGCGAGCAGACTTTTACATGAAAAAGAATGACTTTACTTAAAAATCGTCACGGTCATAAAGATAACAAAATTCATGTCATGTTTACACCGTAATGATTCAATTATATCAGTTTTATCAGTCGTACGAGAATAATTTCTTGTAATTGATAGTGAAATCACGAATATATATGTAAAAGCATAAAGTAAAGCTTGGTCACTTGAAGGGACGTCGTTTAGCACGAGAGGAAGGACTTATTATTCCGGGGGATGAACCTTCTTGAGATGCCTCCCAAGATGGCATTTCACACAGTGGGGGCAGGGGTGCCTTCTTTTGACATGAACACTCTTCAAATGTCGCACCATGTTACTCTTCGTCCCGAACTTCTTGCCGCACTCGGGACACGCGAAGTCCTTCCGCTTCCGGTGAACCGTCTTCTTGTGGCTGGTCAGATGCTGTCTTTTACTAAAAGACTGACCACATTCGTCACACCTGTACCATTTCGGGTTGTTCGTGTGACTCCGTTTGTGCAAATTTAAGTCTCCACTACGACCGAACCGCTTGCCACACTGGTCGCAGGGGAACGGCGTCTCCTCCGTGTGGGTGACCAGGTGGGACTCGTATCGGTTGTCGTTGGCGAATTTCTTCCCACCAAATAAACACACGCGACTCGTACCCTGCTTCACTTTCTCGTCTTCGGAGAGATGGCGGAACCGATGAAGGGTCAGGGCGTACTTGGAGGCGAACGTTTTTCGACAAATGTCACACCTTCCGTCCGCCTTTTCCTGGGTGTGGCGCAGCAGATGAGGAGTGAGACGAGATTGAGTGGGGAAACGTTTTTGGCAAAAGTAGCACACGTGTCGCCAGCCCTCCGCGCGGCTCAAATGGGAGAAGCGGTGCACATTCAGGTGCAAGGTGAAGTCGCGACGAAGGAAGAATGTTTTTTCGCAGTGGGGGCACTTCTCATGGAAAATTGAGGACTGTTCCAGCTCGGCGCGGGAGAGGTGGGTGTGGGCGTGGCGGCGAGCGCTCTCTTTGTTGGTGAAGGGACAAAGGCAGATTTTGAAGGTTTTCTCATTGGCTTTGGATACCTGCTGTTATCTGAAGGGGGCCGCGCTTGGTTGACCTTCCCCTTCATCTTTTTGTTGCTCGGAAGTTCCTCCGCTACGATTTTTTTGTGCTGCACAGAATATCAGCAGAAGGTCAGCGTATCGAGTTGAACAGCAGATTTTATATGAAAACTAAGAATGCAATCTTACCAACGAGTCGTTCTTCAAATTTTGGTGTGACGCGTGTCCTCAATTTGCGACGGTCTGCTCTTTTTTCTCGATATAAACTTGATGGAAGTGTTTAAAATTGGGGAAATTTCTGGACCAGGAAGTGAGCTCTCGTTTGACGGGGAGCTTGCTGATCTCTGTCTGCCTCGGACTGAGGATACATATGGCTTCGCTTATCTGCATGTCCCATCAAGTCAGGCCTCCTCTTATATGCACCAAATAGGCAACAAAATGCAGAATAATTTATGTGCACAGAATTAAGAATGCATATACGTTGAAAAAATCTCATAACTAAAAGACAGAGACGACGGTTGCGTCTCCTTGTGTGCCGAGAGATTTTTTGCTAATGAGGGGGGGCGGGGCGAAGAGAGCAGCTGATTTTCATGTAAACAATGCAGGCAGTTGCATGTAAAAAGTTGCTTTGGGTTTTGAGAGTGACCGTTCCCACTCTCCAAACGGGGCATCGCGAACCAGAAAAGGAGAAAAATTTCGACTAAAACTTCTAATTTGCAGCTAATACAAAATGGATTGATTTCGTTTTGGTGGCAATAAATTCCCAAGTTTGTGCTTTACAATTGCCATGTTGCATAAATTCCATAATAAATCTCAGAGAAAAGTATTGAACTGAAACATGGACTCATATCATGTTTCAGTCCAATACTTTTCACCGAGATTTATTATGGAATTTATGCAACATGGCAATTGTAAAGCACAAACTTGGGAATTTATTGCCACCAAAACGAAATCAATCCATTTTGTATTAGCTGCAAATTAGAAGTCTTAGTGACAAAAATCATTTACATTACTGGTAAGTGGCGAGGAGAAAAAGTCAACTCGCTCACTAGGATGCCCAGACTGTTCCCTAACTCAAACTTTAAGAATCATAATGGCACCTGCGAATATCTGTATTAAGACGGTGGTGAGGATATTCATTGATTAGTTATTCAATGCAAATTGCCGTCCACCTCTGGGTGCGTCCACAATCTCTCAAATTTGGTTATCAATCAGAATTCCTGTCTTCCTCTCGTGTTCGCCAGTGTTATCTTTCTGCCTTTACATACATGCAGAATACAATTTATTATGCCGCATTTTCATTAAAATGAATCATTTAAACGAATATGAAGGAAAGTTGAAGAAAAGGAATTCTGCATGCGATCGAATTGAGTCTGGATTTCTTAATCTTTTTCTCATACAATGTGCCCCATGCACATTTAATTTAATGCAAATGAGCACCTTACCTTGACCAATCATTAAAGTACTTACTTATGCAAATTAAGTTGGTCATTCCTCTTCGAAATAATATGCATGCAGATGAACCTTGCAAATTTAGTATTGCAAAAAACTTTTGCAAAACTTGTTAAAATAAGTGGTTTAATTTCCATTGAAATTATTTCATCTTTTAATTACTGAATTTAATCTATTAATTTAATTTAATCTGTTAATTTAATTTAATTTAAACTTTTAATCAGTAATTTCTGAAATTATGGGAACGACTAATAATTCCGATCATAAAATTGCACCGTATTTTAAGCCAAATATTTCCCTTAGCGATTTTCTTCTATCGCAATTCTAGGCCGCCATCACTGCTGCGGGAATCTTCACTTTCTCCTCAGCATCCCTGAAAATTCGGACGTACCCGCGATTGCACTTGTACCGGATGTTGTCCACATACACCGTGAACTGACCGTCGATCAGGACGTCGACCATTTCCGAAGGAAACCGAGAAGATTTTCGGACTCGCCGAAAATGTCGAGGAGGGCTTGTTTCAAGTAAATGAGATCGTGCAGCTCTTCGCCGATGAGGAGACACATGTCGTCCACGACGTCCTGGATGGCCTCCCCTTTTTCCAGCACGCGGAACACGAGCTCGTTGTCCGGATGGTTGCCCGCCGTCGAGAGGTCCTTCCCCGCCCCGAACATGTCGTTTACCTTGAATTGATAAGCTCCCTTTTAACGTGGCATCATCAAAATTGTCAAAACTTTCCACGTTTTTTTATTTTTTCCGCTCTGGGAATTTATTTTAAAATTCTGAACGACACATTTTTAGAGCTGGGAATTGCCAATTTTTTGAAAATATACACTCCAGATTTTGACACTTTTTGAAGGAGAAGATCTCAAGTTTAAGAAACGTTAAAAAAATGAAACTGTTTGAAACTAGGTAAAAAAATCCGACGACTCATACTAAAAATCGTTAAAATCCACAGATTTTTAATTATTTCTGGGAATTTATTTTAAAATTCTGGACGACAAATTTGTAGTCGGTGATTAATGGAATGACGCTGAGGTTTTTTTAGCCAGTTTAGATGAGTCCCAATTTTTCTGAAACTTGAAATCTCTTCAAAATCTGGAGTGCATATTTTTCAAAAATTAGTAATTCACTGCTCTACAAATGTGTCTTTCAGAATTTTAAAATAAATTCCCAGAGCAGAGAAATACTTAAAAATGTGGAGATTTTGATATTGAGCCATCCAGTCCTACATACGTTATCATCATTAACTAATCTAATTAATTATTGACTAAATAAAATTATTAATTATTGTCATTAATTGTCATCAATTACTAATTATTTTTGTAACCCTACCCAGGCGACATTTGACATGACGATGGTCATGATCCGTTTGAAGATGGGATGTCGTCTCACTTTTTGCGGGATGCGGATTCCCCGAACGAAAAGCTGACCTTCTAAACACACGTCCGGACCCGCGTTCCACTGACGCCAAGAGTTGTACGTTCGTAGGCTGAACCTTCAAACGGCAATTTCAATTTCAGAAATTTAATTTTTCAGGAAATGTATAAATGCCAACCTTTTATCGAGTCGGCAGCACGTGAACCAGTCGTCACTCTGGAAGCAGACTTGGAACGTGGACGCGAATGGTTCAATGTATTCGACATAGTCGTCCGCGTCACCCACAAAATCCACCCCAGCGACCACCATTCGCTGCAACACCTGAAATTTAAATATCACATTTCGCATTACAGCAAAATGTAAATATTTTGCAAAATAATCTTCCCAAATAAAAACGTGGAATTTGATAAGTTTCGCAAACCTCGAATAAAATAAAATATTGGTATCTTTGTTTGTAAAATCCGCGCATTGTGTAAAATAATTTTACAAATTTTTACAAAACAAAGAGATCGAAACAACTTTACAAAATAATTGTAAACTAAATTTCCTCTGAGATGCTTGTACCATTTTATCAAAGTTTATAAGTTTACAGAATTTGCGGATTTTACAAAATTACCAAGCACTGCGTGAATTGCTTCCATAATGTATATTCTGTAGCATTGTAAAATCCCTAAATTCCATAAACTTCCAAACTTTTAGTAAAGCTCTGCAAATATTTCCGAGGAAAATCAGTTCACAAATTTTTGTAAACGTTCGTAGATCTAAGTCGTCCTTTACAAAGTTACTAACAACTGCGTCAATCGCCCAAAACCTTATTTCCCCTTTAAAAAATAAAAAAAACAATAAATTTCCGCATAATCCAACCTTGCAAATCCCCTGAAACCCGGGCAACCCCTCAATTTCCGGGAGTGGGTCTTCCACCTCCTGCATCAAGATGATCTTGACATACGTTTCATGCACGTACTGCACCCTTCGCACGTTCAACCGCCCCGCAAACTAGCCATCTTCGAGGGCATCATCAAAAAACCAGGCGAAGAGGAGGAACCAAATGTAGAAAGTGATCCCCTTCGAGTCCAGCGCGAGGGTGGGGTTCCAATACAGCGTGAACTGCACCGCGGCCGCGACCGACGTCGTGATGTCGCCCGCGCGCTCGAACGACGCCGTCCCGATCCCGCACTCCGCCACTAACTTCGTGTACTTCGAGATCAGACCGGAAATGATCTTGGGGTCCACTTCGGGACGAGAGAAGCGCGGCTGGATGCGCGGAAAGCGCCCGGAAATCGTCGCCTTGCCGAAGGATGGGTGGGAAATGTTGGGCAGTTCAAATTCCACGTGGCCATTTATTGAGGAGGGTTGATACTTGGGAATAACGAGGGAGGGCATCCTGGACTAGAAAATTTTTTATAAAAACTTAGGAATTGATCATAAAAATCGGCAAAATAAACACATTTTTAAGAATTTCTCGCCTCTGGGAACTGATTTTATAAAATTTTGAAAGACAAATTTGTAGGCAGTGAGTTGATTGATGGCATGGCGTCGAGTTTTTTGAGCTAGTTTCGAAGAGTTCTATTTTTTCTGAAGGTTTCCTAAACTTGAGATCTCCTCCTTCAAAAAGTTTCAAAATTTGGAGTGTATGCTTTCAAAAAAATAAACAACTCCCTGCCCTACATATTTGTACATATTTCAGAATTTTAAAATAAATTCCCAGAGCGGAGAAATTACTAAAAATGTGCTAATTTTGACGATTTTGGTGATTAAGAATTTTACAGACAAATTTTTATTTATTACAAATTCAGAAAAAATCGGTGGGTAGTATGACGACTCAATTCTTGAATTGGATGCGGATGCGACAACTGGAATCGTATTGAAGTCATGGTCGCAAATGTGCCCGCTTTTATATTCCTTCTTCAGGAAATTAGTTCAAAATTTACCCCACTTGGTAACAACTATCGGGAAAAATCAAACCCCGGTTAATCAAGGTGAATTCTGCAGAATATTAATTTAGTCAGCTTCTTGTAATTTATAAGTAATTAGCATGGACGGATACATTGTTGGGTTGGAAAAAAGCGTGACATCTTTGCCCTCACACATTTTCCTGGATACCAGAGTTCCTGGAGAGATATGTGAATTAGTAAATTAACATAAAAACAGTCGGTGCAATCCCAACCTACTCAAGAATGGAGGTCTCCCAACGTATGCTCCCCCATTTTGAACAAACTAGTCTTAATCCATAACAAATTTAGATAATATGAAATTTGCGAAAGACACGACCTCCCAATGGGCACGTGTGACCGAGATGGCTGCATCCCAAGAGGAGAAAACGTGCCTTAAAGTCCACAAACTTTACACTTTCCAAATTTACTGTGCGTTTTCTCCTCTTCGGATGCATACCTGTTCACTTTCATTCATTTGAGTGATTATGATGGTGAGTGATAGTGAATGAAAATGAATTTCCTATGATTTGAGTGAAAATGATTGAAAGATTTCGTCATTTCAGATGAGTGATTGTGAATGAAAGATTTCTCTCAAACATTCTTCATCCTACGATTAATAGATGGGACGAAGTAAGAAATGAAGACAGATGATGTGAAATGAAATGAATTTGAAAGAAAATGATTGAAGGTGGATGAAAATCTTCAGTCAGAAATAGGGATGGCTGAACTTTGATTGAAAACTAAATTATTGAACAGGTATGTTCGGATGTATGGAAATATCTCAGCCAAATCTGCCCTCGGAGATCATGTCTTTCCCAAATTTCATACTAATTAAATTTAACATAGATTGCCACTAGTTTGCTCCAAATCGGAGAGCAAACGCTGAGAGACCTCCATTCAAAGATAATGTATTGCTACCAAATTAAAGATATCATTCGCACAATGAAATGAAAGTCAGCCCATTAATTTAATGATTTTTTTGCAGTAATCACATCACTGATACGACTCAGAATTAACGCTTACGTCTCAATGTAATGCAAATATTTGAGCCTGGACAAGGAAAAGATCTTGCCAATCGTTAACTAAACTCGTGTGGATGGATTCCACATCCACACGGTGAAATACATTGCCTGAGTTTTTAATGGAGGAAGTAGTGATCCAATCGCAATCGGAGTGAGTGAGTGCAAGCCCAAAAAAACTGGTCGTATGCAAATAATCACATGCAAATAAGGATGTAAACTTTGTTACGATTTTTTATGTATGAATATACGAATTAGTATGCAAGAAGTGCCTGGTAACACGGATTCCGTGTAACATTCGAGGTTGGGAAAGGTTGCAGGATGCAGTTTAAATATGTTGCACTATTTCCTGGTGCTCCAGTAATTAACGAGGTTTCGTCAGTGTTTCGTTTCTTAAAGGTTTGCTACATACATTTCTTGCACTGCAAAAGCAAGCCATGCAAGAAATGCGAGGTGCAAGAAACTGGGAGAAAGTGTGATAAATATACACCATCAAGCCACCCGCTGTGTGATGTATTTACAGCGGCGGGGCGTCGTTTCTAACGCCTCGAATTTCTCCCAGGTCAAAATATTTACCTGCATGAAACCACTTTTTTGCAGTTATTTCTTGCAAGTGATTACTTTATTTGCACCACCCAAAGGCCGAAACACTGGATGCATTTTGTTCTGAATTTGTAGAACGCGGAAAACTGTCGGGTTATTAAGATCGTTAGATATTTATGTAATTGTGAAATGCAGCATATTAATTAACATAGGACTGATCGCCAAAATCAGTACATTTTCAATCATTTCTCTCTCGTCTCTGGGAATTCATTTTAAAATTCTGAACGATCAATTTGTAGAGCAGGGAGTTCCCAATTTTTTTCAAAATATGCACTCCAGATTTTGACACTTTTTGAAGGAGAAGATCTCAAGAAGGTTAAGAATCCTTCAGAAAATTGGAACTCATTGAAATTGGCTTAATACTATTTAGTAAATACTTAAATAGGCAACTCCCTGCTCTACCCATGACAAATTTCTATGAATGTTGCAGCAGAAAGTGTGGCCATCATTGGCGAGATTAGAATTAACAAATCATTAATCTTATTTCTTATTCCTGTTACTGTAATGTGATGTGTTTTACATAATAATAGTTTTTCGTACCATAAATAAACAACTAAACGTGACATCAATTTACTAACTAATTACTTAATTATTATCATCATCTTGTCATCATGGCATCAGATTAACGTAGGACTCGATGACTTATCGCTAAAATCGTCAAAATCAGCACACTTTTAAGCATTTCCTCTCCGCTCTGGGAATTTGTTTTAATACTCTGAACGACAAATTGGTCATGACAATACAATACATGAAGGACAATTTATGGTAATGATATTAATTTTCACGGGCGGCCGAAGCGTGGGGACAGGGGGGCAAGGTCCCCACGGTTATCCAATATCATCTGCCCCTGCTAAATAAATGAACCCATCCTTCCCCTATCCTAAAATGTCATTGTCTCCACATGGCCCCAGTTTTGTAAACTGATAACTATTAATAAAGCTATTAATAAAGGTCTATAAATCAAATCCCCACTACTTCCACGGCCACTGTTTAAAGCAAAATATCCATGCATTAACTTTTCACACATGTTGAGAATTGTGGATGAACAAAGTCCACAATTTTGATGGACGTGATTCTTAAAAGCCTATCCTTGCCCACGACTAAAACCCTGCTTTTGCTATCAATCCGAATAGCATCGCTTCATATCAACCAGCAGAACGACTTGTTATCAGAAGCTCTTGTCATCGCATCAGCTATACAATTTTGTAAAATAAATAAAACCAATATTCAGATAAAAATGTATGTATGCAAATTTTACTGGAGTTTTTAAATAAAAGATCACTCTTAGAACACTGCATGGTATTAAATTATTACTGAACGGAGTACATATGTATGATGCATATGACCCTACCGGTATTAACAGGCATTACCGTTCAGTAATGTAACATTACTGCCATAACACTACTAATGTTATGGTAAAGCAAAATTTACCACTCGGGAACAAACTACTACCAATGCGGTAGGAAGTTATTATACCAAATCAATACCAGTAGGAGTATATATGTAACTCTACCAGATTTTTAACAATGATTTTGACCAATAATTACTTAAATCTTACTTAATTAACATGAAATATTTCGATTTCCGAATAATTTTCCTTTATCCTTAGTATAGAAGAAGGACAGCAGAAGCAGTCTCACTTTCTCACATCGACACTTATCTTGGGGGCAAACTAGAAATAAAAATGCGACGGGAAATATGAGACGTCTCATTCTCACCAGTCTCATCTCATCCGTCTCAATTTGCCTCCTCACCACCCATCTCAAAACAATAGTCAACAGTAGCGAATTTTTGTGTGCCGAATTTTATTTACGCATCTTCTCATCGCTCTTTTTCTTCTCACAAAACAATTAAAATAATTAACTAATTACAAAAAACCGAGATTCTGCAGTAAAAAAAGGTAAGAATAACAATTTACCTTACTTTTTTCAGAATAATTACATAATTACGAAAAACCCAAATTCTGAAATATAAAATAAAATAAACCTTCAGTTTGAACTTTTGAAATAAATAAATCGAAATATAAACAAAGAACAACAAGAATTCTACATCACTTATTTATCACTAAATTAAAACTTAATTACTGATTAATTACTGACTTAAAATTAAAGTTTTATTTTATTTTAATTTTAAAAAAAAGTTTAATTTCATAATTTAACCCAGAACATTTGCATATTTCTCAGACTTGGCTGGTGATTAAGCAAAGGCGGAAAGTTAATCACGCTTCTCGTCCCTTCCAAACTTCCAACCGTCACTTTTTCTTTCCGAGGCAGGAATTTCACCCTGGTAATTTTTAATTAATTCCTTCCCCTTATCTTAATTAATTAACCTTATCTTTTTTCTCAATTCCCATGAAACTAATGTCTTTTCCGACAGATTCATTATCTAATAAGCAGATAAGGAGCAGCTCGCTACTTAACTAAAACTACTCGAAAAATGGATAAGGAACAAGTAAGCAAATTAGTCGGATTACTTTGTGACGAAGAGGCCCAACCCGAACAACAGGTGAATGATGAAGTTAACGACGAAGTAAGTGGGATTTAGTATTTAATTCCTGTCAACCTTAATTAACGTCCATATTTAACTCGACTAATTTAACTATTTTATAATCTACAGGCCCAATCTGAACTGGTGGTCGGTGAAATTACCATCATTGAGTTGGATAATCCGCTGGTAAGATTGATACAATTTATGAATTTAATCACTACAATATTTCCACCTGCGAATCCTTGACTTTTTCTGCAATTTCCTATAAATCGTAGTCCGAATTTTGATTCAAATCTAACTTTACATTTGTATCCCTTCAAAATTTAACCCCTCCTGGGTCCAAACATGACAACAATTCCCCTAAATTTCCAAAAACTAGGCACTAATTCTTTCAAAAATCTTTTACAACAATTTATTCCTCTTTTTCTACCCATGTTTTGATAACGAATGGAAAATAGGATTCAAAATATTGACAAATAAGTCTTCCTCTTTTTCCTCTAAAACTTCTGTGTAAATCCAATTCACAATTCTTCTAAATTTCCAAAAATAACGACGATTTTTCAAAAACAACAATTTTTCCCCTTTTTCCATCCATGTTTTGCTTAATGAATTACCCCCAGGATTCAAAACATTGAAAACATTTTCCTCCTTCTTTAATCTAAATCTAACTTTAACATTTTCTTCTTCTCAGTTCGTCGAGTTTGTCGCCCTCTCCCCCGACTCCGACTGGAGATTCAACTCCAAGAAGGAGTACATCGACAACCTCGCAAAACTTGATAAGTCCATCTCCACCTATCAATACTTATCAGCCTTGGTCGAACTTCCATTGACGAAAGACCGCCCCACCTACATGTTGGACCTGGACGAGTATGAGAAGCTCCTACTGAAGTTGTTCTATCGTCCACCTTACCTGCGCATGGGTCTTGTCAACCAGATCGACGAGTTAAAAACGTTCTGCGCCGCGGTCATGATTGGATGGCGTTTCTTCCGACATAATTGCATCGGATTGCGCAAGATTATCGAGTATCTCGCTGAAGACACCCTGATTGAGGACATCCAGCGGATGGAGCGCCCGTTCTTGGTGATGTTGAAGGACATCGTTCTGTGGAGGTTGCACCCGGGAAGGTTCGACAAAAGGTGGAAGATCTTCCAAGTTCAGTCTGAGAGTTTGCCGTGAGTGAATTACGCTTAAAAAGAGGATGAATTTATAACTCTGCTTAACGCAGGGCTGGATGAAGCGTAACTAAAATAGTCAAAATCAGCACATTTCTCGCCTCTGGGAATTTATTTTAAATTTCTGAACGACAAATTTGTCCTCAGTGAGTTAATTAATGGAATATCGTCGAGTTTTTTGAGCCAGTTGAGTTCCAATTTTTCTGAAAGCTTCTTAAATTTGAGATCTCCTCCTTCAAAAAGTGTCAAAATCTGGAGTATATATTTCTAAAAATTTGCAACTCCATTTGCATTACAAATTTGTCGTTCAGAATTTTAAAATAAATTCCCAGAGCGGAGAAGAAATGATTTTAAAAAATGCTCATTTTCACGATGCATCATCCACTCCTAGGTTCCTACTTTTAACTAAATCTTAACTAAAATTCTCCTTTTTTATCCCCAGGTTGCCCGAATTGGGAAGTGGCGTGCTTGGATTACTAGCAAAGAAGATCATCGTGCGGTACCAATCGGGGGAAGACTACGACGACGAAACTGACGAGATTGACGACGACGACGACGAGGAGGAGATCGCCCTCAACCAATTCATGAAGTCGAAAATGTTCGAATATAGGAAGATCTGCGAGGCGGAAGGCTGCCTTGAAATTGAGGAGAACAGGGATTCCTATGCTCACTGCTCTAAATGCAAGACGGCGTACTACTGCTCGAGAAAATGTCAACGCCAGGGCTGGAGGGACGGTCACAAGCACGTCTGCAGTCTCGAACGTGCCGAAATAAAAGGAATGGCTGAGCAATTCCTGTTTAAAAACCAAACTTCGTCTCTAGGCTCGGAAGTTATGAAGAGATATTGCAAAAATTTTTAAATGGTTGCGTATTTTTAATCAATTAGTTAACTTTTATTGCATCAATTATGAGTCCTTCAACGATATGAATTTAACCCCAATCAATCCTCTGTGATTTCTTAATCAAAATGTGTAGCAAGAATCGGAAATATTGAAATGAACTTACTTATGAATAAATGAATCAACCAGGATTTATTAAGCATTTTTAAAATATGGTTGTGTAGTTTTTAATGCGTTGTTTATTAATTGTAGTAATTAATAATTAGTTAACCTTTTATTGCATTATATTATGAGTCTCTTTAACGATATGAATTTAACCCCAATTCCTGTGATTTCTTAATCAAAATTTATGTAGTAAGGATCCGAAATATTGAAATGAACTTGTGAATAAATGAATCAACCAGGATTTATTAAACATTTTTAAAACATGGTTGTGTATTTTTAATACGTTGTTTATTAATTAGTTAGCCTTTTATTGCATTATCGCAGTCAGTATCTTCAAGGATAAGACGACGACGTGTACGGCGGAGATGATTGAGATGATTAAGATTCGAATGACGTTATTAAATATGTATCCTGCACTCGAATTCTATTTTGCCGCAAGGGTGAGTCCATGTTTTCTAATGATTAGTATTTTGAAAAGATTAAAAAGAAATGTTTCTGTGAACTGCATTGTAATTGATTTGTCGTGTTATGTGATTGTAGGTTTACCTGTGATAAGTGTCTCAGAATTGGCGATACGGCTCCTCCTTTTCCCAAAAACGGTTCAAAACTTCTTCCAATCTCAGAAGTCATCTTCTGAGCAATGTAAAGGAAAAGGCGCTCCCTATCCCTTGTCGAAAAACATTTTCCGAACATTCCGAGAACGCGGAGCAGGATTCGACCAACGTCTGCCTCTTCTGTCAAAAGACCTTCCCCGATAACCGCACTTATCATGCTCACCTGGTCTCCCACACGAAATAGAGAAACCTTTCCCGTGTGGAGCCCTGTTCCCTCGGAATAACAGCTTAAAATCGCACGCGCGCATTCACTCCGCGGATCCGCGACCGTTCCAGTGCGACCAAGCGTTCAGTCAAAAACAGTCTCTGACAAGTTACACGAAGACGGTGCACCGGAAGTTGAAGGACATCGGCTGTCTCCAGTGCGGAAAGAAGTTCGGGACGAAGGGTGACATGGTTCGACATCTGAGGAGCGTCCACCTCAAAATCCGGCACCCCTGCCCCCACTGCGGTCAATCGTTCACGCAGAAATCCAATCTGGGGACACATTTGAGGAAGGTTCATCCCCCAGAGTAAAGTCATTTGTCCTCCCAAACAACCCATAAAATGACCACGTGTTATCCATGCACTTATGTTTTTATATTCTCCTCATTGCACAATTGATGATAAGATGTTATCCTCATCCGACTGATAAATGTAGCATAATTGAATTATTAAGGTGTAAACATGTCCCGATTTTTGTTACTTTTTGACCATGACGATTTTTAATTAGTAAAGACATTCTGTTTTATATAAAAGTCTGCTCGCTTCTCGCTCCCATTTTTCCATGTGCCGACATCAATGCAAGGCTGGAACAGTGACGACGACACATTTCATCGTGACGAGAAGAAAGGTCACTTTGTGCATCGCACTTAAATCGTGCTTCGGGTTGCATATCGAAACTGACGATGGTGAGGAAGTAATAATTCTACAGGAAGTCTCCCTTTCCATCTTATCATGATAAGCCCATCTTAACAATTGATGAATAGTCATTCACTCAATTCACTTGCTTATCGGGAGCATTCCCCAAACCACCCAAAAATATTTTATTCAATCGCGATTTCCTTCGTAGTTGTGGTCATCATAGGCAATGACCGCGGATAAGATAACTTAGACCGTGGGGACATCAATCTCCATGAAAATAAAACCCAGCTCATTGTTACAAAATAATTGCATATTACACCACCACAAGTTATAGATTTAATCAATTATGATCTTGAAGTTGGATTGGAAAAACAATATTACAATAATATCTTTATGATAAATGTATGAAATGAAAATTTTCATGCACTATCAATTTCTAGAATAATTGTTACCCAGTTTGAAACATGTTTTCAAGTTAAATTATGTTCCCGTAGGAGATAAATTAGAGGAAAAATTGACCCCATTTTGTCCTCACTGGAGTTGGGAAAGACTCGAAAGGTTGTAACTTCTATTCATCTTCCCTCTCAGAGGGATGCACAATCTATATTTTTGGCTTTTATGCCTAATTTTTGTCCAGGTGACTTTGACGGAGCAATCCGTCATTAGTCGCCGCCTAAGTAAAATAAAAGATAATAATTCGTAAAGTACTGGCAGGGGTGGGCAAAATACTTTATCAAAGTACAGTATTTTGAGCTCCGTTCTAAATTTCCGGGGTTGTTACACCCACAAAAAGACGAAAATCTACGTGAAGAAGACAACAGTCGTACGAAAATACCTGTTTCGTGAAGAAATTAACTTAACTTTTGATTGCTGGCGAAATACTTTATTTTGTAAGTAAAATTAGTGAAAACAATATATTTTATTAACGCCTAATTTTCTATCTTATGGAAATATGGTAAATCCTACAAAAATGTAATGCATGCAAAAATTTTCGCTTTAATATTTTATTTACATTTTATTTTTCTGTATTTCTGGACTTATATAAGCGTTCCCAAAAGCGTTCAAAATAATTTTGGACATCTAAAAGCGTTGGAAAATTGAGCAAAATGCAACAAGTTTTTTTATGCATATTCATTAACGACTTTTTGCAAATCTCCGTCCACACAGGTATCTAATCTCGCATTAATTTTGAGCGTCTTTGTGTATTTGTAATACCATGAAATTAGGAAAAACTGTTCTTTTAAGATGTTTCGTTACTTGAGAAATGAAGAAATTTTCGAAATCTAAAAGTATTAGGCAAAAATGCTTAGAAATTAATGAGAGATTAGATTACATCTAGGTCAACGGATTATCAAAAGATTTAATAATAATGAACTTGTAATATTTTGCCAGATTTTCTATTTTAGACATTTTGGACGTTTTAAATTCTGTGTCCAAAACTGGTTAAAACCGGTTTTAGACAGTGGTTAACATCACAGCGATCTGAGGAGGAGAGACTCTCTACATGCCTCTCTCAGATCTTGATGCCCTTTAGATATTTGATAGCCCAAACGAATGTAGATAACCCTAGAATGGTTTGATGCCATGGCCACATTTGCGCCGGCCACACCCCCTCAAAGGTGTGAAAACCACGAAAAATGCCCTGTTTTCATGTGCTTCATCTGCTACCATAAATCCGAGCAAAATTGGATTTTTAAGTTAACCATTTTTGTGGTTTTCACACATTTTTGGAGGGTCGCAAATGTGGCCATGGCATGAAACCACTTTAGGGTTATCATACATTCGTTTGGGTTATCAAATATGCAAAAGGCATCAAGATCTGAGAAGGGCAGGTGGTGAAGCTCTCCTCCTGAGTTAGAGTACTATAAGAACCGCCGCCTGGTGAGATTTCCCAGTCTGCGAAATTCACTCGAGTCTTCTGCCCAGTAGATGAAGTTTTTTTAAAATTGTTAAATTATTAATTGTTGAAATAACTATTTTTGAAAAGTAAAGCCACCCTGATCTTCCCTCACCTTTTTTTAGTGCAGCGACAATGTTTCAAAAAAAGAAATCGGCGTTTTTGAAATCGCTCGAACCTGCGATGAAAATTGGAAAGATCGACGGACAAATATTTTACGATCCGAAGACCGGCGTATTTATTCCAGCGAGGCGAATTCCCCCCTGCCCTGGGGGACACTCACTGACCGACTTGTAAGTTAAAAGGGGGTTAATTAATTAGTTTAATTAGTAATTAATTATTAATTTCCTTTGACTCGCACTAGATATTGGAATCCGTGCCTGGAATGTGAAAAATTTTGTAATTGCATTCACACCCACTGGTTCCCCGACATTATTGTGAAGACTTCGGATAACGACACGATTCGAGTAAACCCGTCGTCGTCGCGGGATCCAGCGAGCTTATCAGGCGGCTCAATGAACTCTGCAACAGTGCGAAAAGGACCTTGGTGAAGAACCTTATCAAGACGAAGAATGGCTGGGTGTCGTCATCGCCTAGAAGTCAAGGGGGTGAGGATAAGGGAAAAATTGAGGTGATGGATGTATCCTCGGAAGAAGAAGAGGACATGACACTCGACGAGGCCCGTTTATCAGGTGAAGATAAGCTCGTCGGTGCAGAAATTGGGGCTGATTTGTCCCCCGACTTTAAAGAACTCATCGAGTTTCCCCCAGAGTTGCCGGCGTACAAGGTGAAAGATGAAAATTGGAGGATGTTCGGATTAACGACTTTTGAGTGGCGGTGGATCGAGAAGTTTATGGCTTTGCATCGCGATCAAGTATGTACAAAGAATTAATTAATTAGGCTATAATCTGACCTTAAATTACAAAGAATAGAAGTCTTAGATTTCGAACAAATTAGTGTAAATCGATCACAAATTTGATTAGTATGAAATTTGCGAAAGATACGATCTCCCAATGGGCACGTTTGGCAGAGATGTTTGCATCCAAAGAGGAGAAAAGGCGCAGTAAATTTGGAAAGTGTAAAATTTGTCGGCTTTTGTATGCGATTTTTCTCCTCTTTGGATGTAAATATCTCTGCCAAACGTGCCCATTGGGAGATCGTGTCTTTTCCAAATTTCATACTAGCTAAATTTGTAATCGATTGACACTAATTTGCTATAAATCAGATCCCATACGCTGGGTCTACCTCTATTTTAAGTATTAATTAATTAATTAAACGCTATTTTGTTTAAATGTTCTCAGGTCGAGGAGGACATCGAAGAGGAAAAGCGTGCCCGAGAATACTTTCGTTTGAGCATGTTCGCTCGTCCCGAGAAGGACGTCATCAACCCGTGGCGCTACCACGATTGGGAAGAAGACCTCTTCGCCAACTTATCGCACACTGAACTCTTCGGGATCGTCAGAGTGCGTGAAATATTGCAAATTTAAGCATGCTAATTTGCATAGGATTAAATTTATTTTAATTTTTTGCTAGGCGGTTCACGAGCTAATGATTTCTGATTTGTACATCCCTCTGGCTAAATGGTTAACCTTGTTGCGCGGGATTCCTCGCGTGGCCGACTTTGGGCTGGGCCGCTGGCTGACGGAGCTTTCCCCGGAAATGTGGGACTCTGGGTTGGAGGAATTTTGCGAGGGGGCAATTCGACCGATGTGGGATTGGAAGCCCCCAGATGTTCAGCTTGCATAAGGACATTCCTCGCAGGCAACGCCCCAGGTCGACACTCCTGTGGAGGAAGAGGATTTGGAAGGCTGTGCCGCAGTTTTCGACGCGCTGGTGGAATTCGTAATGATGAAAGGGAATGGAATACTGGATTTTTTGGGGGGTTTTTAATAATTGGATAATTTGGTGGTGAGTTTATTTATTTAAAATGAGATCAGGTTAATGTAGGACTGGATGATAAATCGCCAAAATCAGCACATTTTTAATCATTTCTCGGCTCTGGGAGCTTATTTTAAATTTCTGGACTACAAATTTGTATTCAATAAGTTGCTTAATAGAATAGCGGTGAGTTTCTAAACCAGTTTCGATGAGTTCCAATTTTTCTGAAGGGTTCTTAAACTTGAGTTCTCTTCCTTCAAGAAGTGTCAATTCCGGAGTGTATATTTTTTGAAAATTGGGAACGACCTGCTCTACAAAGTTGTTGTCCAGAATTTTAAAATAAATTTCCAGAGGCGAGAAATCATTAAAAATGTGTTGATTTTGGTGATTCGAGTCCTATTTAATAACTAATTATCATTAATTTGGTTAATTTCAGGTGGTTCTTAATAATTTATGCAAATCTCAAGTTGGGAGAGGAAATAATTTTCACCTTTTTATAGTTCTTGATCCATTTACACGTGTGTTTTTTCATGGATGGTTTAGTTATTACCTATCATTAACAATTTGTTATAGTAAATTAGGCCATAATTTTCATTAGTCGTGTCGTTATTAAAAAATGAATTGTAGTGAGCATTTTTATACTGTAGTTTTAACACGATTTAATTATTTCGTAGATAATTAAAGTCCCAATGAATCTTTTTAAGTTGGTAAAGTTCTAAAATGTTACGAGATTTGGTTAACAAATTGAAAAAATAATGTCAATAAAGTAGTAAATTCTAATAACCGTTGATCTTTTTACATTAGCAAAACTCATGTTTTTTTAAGGAACATATTTTGACGTGTTTTTTCTTACATATGCAAATATTAGTTTTTATTGAAATGTTCCAGCTTGAATTTTGCATGGAATGAAATTGGAGAATGTGTTCTCTTCTCGGATATCAGGAAATTTACAGCGTGTGTGTATGTACTTTGAGTGGGTTGTTGTTGTAAAATGAGAAGATATCTATATTTATAAACAATAGATTAGAATTGTACGTACATGGAATTGTGAGGAGGACTAATCGTAACTAGCGTGGGTTGGTTGGTTATTTAACTACGATCAGAGACTGGTCAATCCCGGATTAAGGATTGGGGATTGAGATTCATCGCATCGTAGATCGTAGTCTACGATGCACTTAAAGCTGGTTAGTTGGGCTTGGATTCAGCTCATTTCCAGTTGTTTATCAAGTTCATGAAAAATTCTGGTACTACTGAATTCATAACAAAGAAGAACGAGGGGTGGAAATTCTTGGACGATGATGACGACAAATTGAATAGAATGGATTGTTAAACAGCCGAAGAAATGAATGAGACTAGTTATATAAATAGAAAAATTGTAGTAAAATCTAATAGTAAGTGAGTAATTAATGTGGGTTGGTTATTAAATTTGACAAAATCCGGCACCCCTGCCCCCACCACTGTGGGACGTCGTACACGCAGAAAGACAGTCTTGAGAGACATTTGAAGAAGGAATGAAGTCCTTCATCCCCCAAACAAGGTTCCATCAAGTGACGACTTCTTTTCCATGCTTAAGATGTTTGTACTTACGCGATTTATTACAAAAGGGTTACTCCACGAGTTATAGTAATGGACCTGATGTCAAAAATCGATTTTTTTGAAATCCTTCAAGTATGTGATAGAGGACCTTAAAATATGCAGAAAAATCATTTCCCCCGAATTTTTGATGTTTCAATGTGGCTGCTAAGAGGGGGTGTGGCTTCCGTTGAGATACCACCTTTTCGCAGCCGCTATTGCGCGCAGGGACTCCAAATTTCACATGAAGTTACAATGGGCCAATACAATTGCGGGTCTTTTTCTCTTTTTTGGAAATTTGGTCATGGTGACCGTTTTTAGGTCAAAATGTGCGTTATGTAGAATTTTTTCGTAAATCGTCTCACATAACCCCATAAATGGGGCATCGTTAGATAGGTCTAGGCAAGAGGATTCAGAATATATATACTTTGTCCGGCATATAGCTGCCCCCTGACCTTCCAGAAGCAGTAGAATGAGAATTTTCATTGCTTCCAGATTTTAACACAGTAGAAGATTGGCGAGCTAACATAGAAAGAGATGGGACAAACTCAAAAATATTTGTCAGCCTCAGGAAGACTGGGGAGTGGTCGTACACCCTACAAAGTATAATATTCTTAATCCTCTTGCCGAGACCTTTCCAACGATACCCCAGTTATTGGGTGATTTGAGACTTTAACTTTTCAGAGAAATTTGACGTTTTGTGAATCTTGACCTAAAAACGGTCACCGTGACCTAATTTCCAAAAAAGAGAAAAGGACCCGCAATTGTATTGGCCAATGGTAGCTTGATGTGAAATTTGGAGTCCCTACGTGCAATAGCGGCTGCGAAAAGGTGGTATCTCAACGGAAGCCACACCCCCTCCTAGCAGCCACATTGAAATCTCAAAAATTCGGGGAAAATGATTTTTCTGCATATTTTAAGGTCTTCTATCACATACTTGAAGGATTTCAAAAAAATCGATTTTTGACATCAGGTCCATTACCATAACTCATGGAGTAACCCAAAATAATGATCCTTATATGACTGATAAAAATGACATAATTGAATAACACACCAAAGTAAAGTCGTCCCCAACAGGATCCCATCAAGGGACTAAATTCTTTCGATACTTGATTTTTGTATTATATTTTCACTATTTATGACAAGTTAATTATTCTCATAGGACTGATAAAAATGGAATAATTGAATTATTAGTTTGTAGCCATGACCCAATCTTTGTTACCGTTTTGACCTTGACGATTTTTAGGGAGTAAAGTCATTCCGTTGTGTATAAAAGTCTGCTCGCGTCTCGCTCCCGTTTTTCCATGCGCCGACACAAATGTAAGGCTGGACCAGTGACGACGACATAAAGTTCATCATGACGAGAAGAAAGGTCACTTTGTGCATCACCCTTAAATCGTGCAGGGCTCAGGTTCGGGTTGCATATCGAAACTGACGATGGTGAGGAAGTAATAATTCTACAGGAAGTCTCCCTTTCCATCTTATCATGATAAGCAATTGATGAATGGTCGTTCACTCACTTCCTTATCGGGAGCATTCCAACCACCCAAAAATATTTTATTCAATCGAGATTTCCTTCGTAGTTGTGGTCATCATTCATAGGCAATGACCGCGGATAAGATAACTTAGACCGTGCATGGGGACATCAATTTTCATTAAAATAAAACCCAGCTAATTGTTACAAAAATAATTGCATATTTGAACAGCACTAGTTATATTTAGATTTAATCAATTATGATCTTGAAATTGGATTGGAAAAGCAATATTACAATAATATCTTTATGATAAATGTATCAAATGAAAATTTTCATGCACTACCAATTTCTAGAGTAATTGTTACCTAGTTTGAAACATAATTTCAAGCTAAATTATGTTCCCGTGGGAGATAAATTAGAGGAAAAATTGACCACATTTTGTCCTCTGTGGAGTTGGGCAAGACTAGAAAAGTTGCAACTTCTGTTCGTCTCGGGTAGGTTGTATAATTAATATATTTATATTGGTTCCTCCTTCCGTTCCAACACTACTGTATCGGCTTTGGCCTTAATTTTGCCCAGGTGACTGTGGCGGAGCAATCCGTCATAAGTTGCCTACTGAGTAAAATCAAAAGATAACTTCTAAAATACCTGGCAGGGCTGGGCTAAATACGGTATTTTGAGCTCCGTTCTGAATTTCCAGGGCTATTACACCCACAAAAATACGGTTTTTTTTAAAAGAAATTCACTTTTTTATCGGTGGTGAAATACTTGATTGTGCAAAATTAGTGAAAACCGTGTATTTTAAGGCCTAATTTTCTATTTTATGTGCGCCGAAAATACGGTAAATCCCTCAGAAATGCAATGCATGCAAAAATTATCGTCGATTTAATTTTCCTGTAGCATTCATTCGACTTTAAAAATGTTAAATCAATCAAATCCAACCCTTTCGACGCTCGAGTGGTTATCATGAATTGCGATATGACAGTTTTTTTTTACATGTTATGGGGAAAGTCTGAGAAAATGGTAAAACTTGATCTCGAAAATCCTATCCATTTTTTGTCATATAGGTTGGTGAATTTTCTGTAAGTAGAAATTAGCACCCTTGATTTGCGAAAATTAAATCTCGAATTACGAGGAAATGTGTCACAAAAATTATGATAGATCCACAGATTTGATTAGCCTTTAATTAAATATTTATCTTTCATATGAACACGTGCTCTTATGCAGATGACAATTCACACAAAATAAAATTGTATCAGGATTCAAAATACTTTTTAAAAAAATATTATTTTCATGGAATTGTTTCTCCTGCAATTGCAATTTTTTCCTCGAGATGAGTACCGTTTTACACATTTATTTTCTTTCACACGTCATGAAAAAATCCTTTGTCGTCAAAATAATTCATTTTATTTTACACTAGGAAATTAAAAAGTATTGAAAATTTATGAATTTTGAGAGATGAGAAAAAGAATGTGAAGATGGGAAAAATGCGACCCAACGAGAAATCAGCCGCAAATACGACAAACTCGGCACGTGCACTTCTTTTTTTGTGATGAAACCCTAATTAAATTTTAATCCTCTATTTGCGACAATTCACTATTTTACTATTTTAGTTATTTTTTAAGACTATACGAGACTTTTCTGTTGGTGGGATAAGCGCAGATAAGCCACCACCGTCCGAAGGAGACAGCCCCCCGTCAAACGCAATATTTAAACGGAGGAAGGTGTAATAAGAAATTAAATCAACTATCTCTTTAGAAATAGGTAAACCTAATTTTAACATAATTTTGAATGAAAATCTGAGTTTTCATACAAAATCTGTTCCTCAAATTTAAATAGTGACGTAACAATATCTGTGTAGAGAAAGGGATCCCTTTTTACTTTAACTTCGAGGCGTTGCCCTTGGACAGATTGGAGGTCAACCAGAACTTGCTCAAAAGACAGAAAGCACTCATCCCCACAACGGACGACGACGGGGTCAGATTTCAAGAGTTTCCCCAGAACCCACGCGTCACGTCAAAATTTGAAGATGGAAACTTTCATGGTAACATTGCATTCTGACTTTTCCTGCAAAGTCCGTTCTTCAAATCATCACGCTGACCTAATAATATAATTTTGTATACAGGCAAATGGATTGAGGCACGCCAGCGGTGGGACTCCCGAGACGTTGCACTTGGACGGGATGCCAGAGGTCGCTGATACGCCCCAGAACGGCCTCGTCCCCTCAACAGACACCGGAGAAGAAAGTCTTCAAGAAGCCGGACTTCTTCCTCCTCCTCCTCACCCCGTCCAACCACGTGCCGATAACCAAGCCAAGTCGCCTTTAGCCAGCAGCAGGTCATCAAAAAAAGCCAAGAAATTACCACAGAAACTTCGCAGAAAACGTGGTCGTCGCGCCGTGAAGAAGAAGGAAATCTTCCCCTGCATAATCTGCCTTTGTCCCTTCACCAACAAGTCTAGCGCGTACCTCCACGAACGCACCCACCTCTCCCACGACGAGCGGATGCGGGGGCCAATTTTCCATGCTAACTGTCCCCACTGCAAAAAACTCTTCCTCCGTCGTCGCGACTTTGAGCGGCATCTTTTCACCCACATGAGTGGAGTGGAACGCGCCGTGGTGCAGCAGGGATGGCGACACGCCTGCTACTTCTGCAACAAACTATTCCAAAGTCCATCCCACCTCGGTCGTCACATTGTCGTCCACACGGGGGAAAAGCTGTGCGAGAGTTGTACCGATTGTGGAAAAATGTTCGCCTCCAAACAAAGCTTGACCCGCCATCGTGCTTTCGCCCATCTCAGCAAAGAGGAGAAAATTGCACTCTCAGAACGGCCTGGGACTCGAGTGTGTCTCTTCTGTGGGAAGAAATTCCTTGATAACCATCGTTATCAAGAGCACCTCGTCTCCCACACGGAGGAGAAACCCTTCCCCTGCGACCAATGTGGACAGCGGTTCGCTCGTAATTATGGCTTGAAGGTGCACAAGCGCCTTCACTCCGCGGATCCGCGACCCTTCCAGTGCCCCGAGTGCGACCGGGCGTTCACTCAAGAGGGAAATCTGCTCCTGCATGTGAAGACAGTTCACGGGAAGGTGAAGGACGTCGTCGCGTGTCCCCAATGCGCCAAGAAGTTCGGGAGGAAATGTGACATGGTGACACATTTGAGAAGCGTTCATCTCCAAATTCGGCACCCCTGCCCTCACTGTGGTCACTCGTTCACGCAGAAAAGCAGTCTTAGAACGCATCTAAAGAAAGTTCATGGCTTGGAATGAAGTTCTTCAGCTGATCAGCTGACCCCTCGACTTAATATGTTTCCCAAACTTTATGCATTTTTATATTTCCTAATTTCGCATGACGACATGTGTAATGTTATTTTTTATTCTCATAGGGCTGATGTAATTATTCTCATAAACGGATACATTTGAGGAAGGTTTATCCTTTAGAATAAAGTCCTCCTCCTCCTAAACAGCGTCCCATCAAGTGTCCTTGTCTATAGTTTATACTTTATATTTCTCTGATTTCACCTTTGTCAAAAGATAATTATTCTTGTACGACTGGTAAAAATTGCATAATAGAATTATTAACAAGCCAACTATGGAGGCGCAAACCATGTTCAGCGCAGATAATTTTTTGACCTTATTAGTTTGAAAGAGCAAGTCTTTACAAACAACATTTGGCTCGGCACTTGGGCAGATGCGCAAATTTCAGCACGTTATGGGCGCCGTAAGTTCACAAAAACGCATGGTTTTTCGGGCAATGCCCAGCGCGAGCTCAACTTCGTGCGTTTTTGCGAACTTGCGGCGCCCATAACGTGCTGAAATTTGCGCATCTGCCCAAGTGCCGAGCCAAATGTTGTTTGTAAAGACTTGCTCTTTCAAACTAATAAGGTCAAAAAATTATCTGCGCTGAACATGGTTTGCGCCTCCATTGTAAGTGTATTTTCAGTTTTACTTTATCAATGTAATTAATGTCCTCCTAAACAGCGTCCCAGCAACTGACCACGTGTCGTCCATAAATACTTTGTGTTTTTGCATTTTCCTCATTTCAGAATTGTGATAAGATGTTATTCTCATACGATTGATACAAATTGCTACATAGTTTAATCATTAATTTGTAAACATGCCACAATGTTTGCTACCTTTTTGACCATTATTTATCACACAATTTCAATCCAAACAAGTTTATTTATTTAAGTTTAAAGTCAATTTGTACAATATAAATTACACCTTTACTCATTACGAATTACGGTTAATCAATCATACAGAAATTAATTTGGTGTAGTTAAAAACTCGTATTTCCAGGTACATACATTCATACGTTTTAATGGAGGTCTAACGGTTAAAAAAAATGTCGCTCTTTAAAAATATTGCAAATTTTGTATTTTCATATAAAATCGTATTCTCAATTAATTTCAGGGGAAGTTAAATAAATAATCAATTTATAAACATAGGTAATTGTAATGCTGATTAATTCATTACTAAATAGTAATTAGGATTTAATGTTACACCTTTACAACATAATTAGCAATAAATAAATATTGAATAAAATTCCGACAAATTACAAAAAACTGGAGTCATATAAAAAAATGAAAATCCGCAGTTTTTTTCCTTCTTAAGCGAGATAAGTTTTGACGTAGGCTTTGATAGGCTGGCGACAAACTGCGCAATTTGACAAGGCGGTTGCACAGCGCGTGCAAGAAACAAGATGTCCACACGGCAGGAAGACCACTTCGACCCCGTTGTCCATGCAGATCTTGCACTGCGTCGCTTTCCGTAATTGTTGTAATTCTTCTTCCATGTTATTATTTTCTGGAAAATAGAGGAAACAAATCTTGAGTAAAATCTTCAATTTCATCACCAAAATCACCACATTCTTAATTATTTCTCCGCTCTGGGAATTTATTTTAAAATTCTGGACGACAAACTTGTAGAGCAGAGGTCTTGCCCAATTTTTTAAAAATATACACTCCAGATATTTTCACTTTTTGGTGGATGAGATTTCAAGTTTAGGAAGCCTTCAGAAACATTGGAACTTATCGAAACTGGCTCAAAAAACTCAACATCATTCCATCAATCAACTCACCGACTACAAATTTGTGGTCCAGAATTTTAAAAATAAATTCCCAGAGGGGAGAAATGCTTTAAAATGTACTGAGACTTTAGTGACGAGTCATCGTTAGAATTATTATCCTACCTTTCTCGACTTGATCCGCATTTAAGCTGTCTTCCGCTTTAGACGCCAATTCTTTCCCACTTTCAGACGATTCTTCGCTTGGCACTGGCTGTGATTGAGGTGACGACGACCCCGCGTGACGCTGATCTTGACTGGATGGCGACTTTACAATCCTCGGCGTGCATGTTGTCGGACTCGTCTCGTCACCACTTCCGCCGGACGAAGAAGAGGAACTACTAGCCTGCGGAGACGTTCCGGTAGAACTGGGTCCATTAAAGAAGGACGCGGGGGGACAGTATCTCCTGGGAGGGAGGACGTCATCGTCGTCGTCATCATCGTCATCTGTATCGGGTTCGGAATCATACTCGGGGTCTCTTCTTCGTAAAACGGCGTCCAGTAATGATTCCGTGGTTAAAAAGGCGTGCCCAGTTTGCTGCATTTTTCGCTGAAGAGCTGCCTTCACTTTGCTTAATTCCATCCCCATCTCAAGAGCGGCCTGGTAAAAATTAAGGTTGCAATCGAGGTCTCCCAGCGTGTGCGATCCGATATTGAGCAAAATAGTGTGTAAATCGATGGCAGATTTAATTAATATGCAATTTAGGAAAGACATGATTTCCGAATGGGCACGTTTGGCCGAGGTATTTGTATCCGAAGAGGAGAAAATGCATATTACAGTTGTCAAAGTTTAGACTTTCCAAATTTACTGCGCATTTTCACCTTTTCGGATGCAAATTTATATCTCGGCCAAACGTGCCCATTGGGAGATCGTCTCTTTCCCAAATTTCATATTAATTAATTAAATGTGTAATCGATTGGCACTAATTTGCTCTAAATCGGATCGCATACGCTGGGAGATCTCCATTGTTGGGGATACAAACTTGGCTGAGGAATGGGAAGACATGTCCACGTGGGTACGTACCTGCACTATTGAGGTATCCATGAGATCACGCAACTCCTGGTCGGACACCCTCCGTGGTGAGGAGGTCACGTGGTGTGGGGGACGTGGAATTTGAAACTGATTATAAGTGAGCAATTAATTAGTCGTTATGAATTAATTATGAATTAATTATGAATTAATTATGAATTAATTAATTATTCATTATGAAAATTTTACACGGGTTCGATTTGAAGTAACAATGTGCCAATGCGTTTGTCGAGAAAGCGGGGGTGGAAAACCGTTAAATGTTGATAAGCTACGAAATATTTTGAAAGTTCTCTAGAATTGTCGAGCAGTTTTAGGAATTTTTTAAACATTTTTCGGAAATTTTGAAATTTTTCAGTTTTCTTCGCCCCGTTTTCCACGAAAAAGTAACTGAAATCGAACCCAAGGATTAATTAAATATTGAAATACCGGGGGGTTATTTTTTGCGACGTCCTTGACAAATGCGTCCCCCTTGTTTACCATGACGAAGGGACAGTTCGGAAACCATCGGGCATGTTGGACCCAAGGATCATCCCCTGGCACCCAGTTTCGAAGGGCCCCCTTACACTGGAAACACGAAACGTGGTCGAATCCTCCCAGATAAGAGAATCCAGCTTCCGCCAGACTTTCTGGAGTCTGTCCGGTCAGACACGTGGGCCACTTGGAGGCGAAGGATTTCACACGTGCGTCGTACGTGACAAGATTGGACGCCCCAGAAACTGGTAAACTTGCAGCAACATTTTCATCCAGAGGTCGCGCCCCACGGAGATAAGCTGAAGAGTAAATAATCAGTAATTGATAATTATAATTACCAACTTTTTTTACCCCTGTAAAAATACTTCATTTAGAAAAAAAGTCGTGAAGACAAATTCAGATAGCATTATAAATTCTGTAAAATTTTACACAAATTGGCAAATATTTCGAAGAAAAAGTGGGTTATTAATTTTTATAAACTTGCTCCCATTAAGAGCGTCTTTTGATATTGTAAAAGTTTATAAAATTAACGCACGAATTTTACAAGGTTACCAAAGACTGTGTGAATTGTCTTAATTTATTTGTACATCGACGAAGAAAAGTTAACTTTTTAACGGAACACGTATTTCGTCTTTTTGTAGCATTTTCTAGAAATCCTTGAAAGAACGGAGCTCGAAATATTGTATTTTAACCAGTATTTTGTCCACGACTGGTTAATATTAAAATTGAAAATGGTCCCTACAAATTTTTACCAGGCTGTTGTTCTGGAGGGAGAAAGATTCCACACACGTCCTCACTTCCTGCTTGGGCTTCCTCCTCCGTTTCCGGTTCCTGACCAAGAGGAACGTTGCCCACGGGTAAGTCACACACGAACGGACAGCGAGGAAAATGTCTGCGATGTTCGACCGATGGATTGTCTCCCTCCTCCCACTCGCCCGCAATTCCGCGACAAAATGCGCATTGTACCTAAAGTAATTTATTTATTATTGGTTAATAAATTGTGTAAATATTATGTACTAATTAATTAATAACTCACCTTGTCGCCGTCTTCTAAGTAGAAAAATCCCGTTTTTGCGCAGTCCTGGGGCCGAATAAAGGTCACGGGCCAGCCGGGCGGTAGAGAAAATGTGGCTAAACGACCACGCTCGGTTTTTAGGTTTTCAAAGTCCCTCGAAGAGCGGAATAATGATGGGGTGGAGTCCATCCGGCTGAAAATATTGAAAATAAATATGTAAATAATGTCAGTAAATATACTTCAAGACGACGCACGACCCACAAAATTTGCACTAAATTGTACAAAAAACTTCAGTAATCACTATTGTCTGTCAGAAATTGAAAATTTGTACGAAAAAGGACAATTGTTTTACCTCCGTTGTGGCATGACCATGCGTTCAGTAGGTTCAACGACGGTTCCTTCACTTCCGGAAGGCGACGAGGCCGACTTGATCATTATTTATCGTTTTCCATCGACGCTGATTGGTAATCAGTGTGAGTGACATCAAGGTAAATAGGTGACTTTGTCTAAAAGTGGGGACAAACAAAAATCAAAATAGTGCGTTATTAATTAATTATCAATTACAGTCGTGTATTTAGATACAAACTTGTCAACTTTACTTGGTAAAAAGTGTAAAAACGTTCGCCTGATTTTTATTAAGAAGCTTCTTCTTCCTGTCAATCAAATAAAAAATAAAACTGAAGTAAAAACCAAGATGAAATAGTGCATTTTTAATTAATTGCTAAGATTAAAAATTTACTTTAAAATTAAAATTGGGAGTGATAAGCACAAAGATAAATACAAAGTTATCAACTTACTTGGTATTTAAAAAACGTTTTCTTTTCTAGCAAGAAGTTTCTTCCTTGTCGTCCAATTTAAAATAAAACTATCACATCGTTATAAAAATTGCTTATTTGTTAAAACCTATTATCTTATCAGGTACGAATGTGAATTGTGCTTTGTAGTCTGACCGAAGTATAAATATTTAAGCCTGCTGATTAATTAGAATAGTGACGAAATCAAGATTTTTACGTAAATTCAACTTTCCACGACCTGCGGGTCTCATATTTCTTCCTTCACCCCGTGCGTACACTGTAAAGAGAAAGTATGTAGATTTGCATAATTTGTAGATTTTATGACGATAAAGTTTCCTAAATTGGGAAATCTCCTGTCAAAACTTAGATTTTTTGAAAAATCGATTTGTATCTTGCCGAATTAAAATATCAAGATTTCACGTGTCTTGAAGGGAAATTAATTTCCTTCGCTTATTTTTTTGCAGATTTTTGTCGGATTTTTTTTTTGTCGTTTTTGACCATTTCAAAAATATTTGTAGAGTGCGTTTGACAGAAAGTATGAAGTAGTTTTGGGTCAAATCCAGAAAATTTTGGTGTGTTTAATGGCCCATTTATCTAATAGGTATATAGAAAAGTGAGAATGGGAGACGTTGTGGGAGGCAATATGAGACAGGTGAGACCCGAATTCCATGGAAAATCTCGTCTCAATCTCACTCATCTCAAAAAATAAACTTTTCCACGTTCATAAATATAAAGTAGAATATCGTCACATATTCGCACGCAATTTTTAACCTGTTTATTTTTTTCCCCTGTATTTCCTAGCATTTCGAGATTTTTTGTAAATATAATTGACGCAATTTATGCCCTCATTGGTAATAGTAACTCGTAAAATCCGTGCGTTTTATATACCATAATTTTTAAAAACTTTGACAAAATAAAAAGATTCCCTTAATCATTTCAGATTTTTCATTACAAAAATTTGTGCCCTAATTTTCCTTCCAAATATGAGTAAAATTTCGTAAAAGTTTACAGAATTTAAGGATTTTGCAATGAAGCCAGAAGGATTTCGTGAATTGTCTCATCTCAATAAGGAGCGTAATTCACTTGGATGTTGACAAAGGAATAATTAATTTGTAAATTATTTGTAATTTACAAATTCAAATTGTTACAAATTGTAATTTATGTATTTACAATTTTAAAAATTACAAAATTTACTGGGTTGCAAACATCTGAATAATTCACGCCATAATTGAAATGGTAACTTTGTAAAATCTGTGCATTATGCACCATAATTTTACAGCATAAAAAGATTTGAACCCTTGATCTGAACAAGTTTACACAAATTTGTGCGCTAATTTTTTTTAGAAATATTTGCAATTTTTTGTAGAATTTTGTAAGTTCACGGATTTTACAGTGTTACTGAATTGCCTCACTAATAATAATTCGCAGCACAAATGGGTTTGGATTCAGTGAGGAGTGAGTGAGTGAGTGAGTCGGAGTTTTAGTTTTTGAGGCGATTCTGCCAAAAGTGAGCACACTACGAACCCCCTGCAAGGCGACTGTACCCCACAAAACGATACCCCTCTCCTCAACCTGAGACGGCTGGAATTCGCAACTTGCAAATTTGCAAATCTCTCTCTGTTTCTCTCTCTCTCCATTCAAACCAAATGTTTCTGTGCATGTTGTAAAGCGGATTAGTTTTGTATGGCACACACACCACCACCAGTTTACACATCCTTACGCGACGTCACAAAAAAATACTTATCATGCTAAATCTCCATGTATAATGAATGAATGAACTTTATTTTCGAGCAAGTATATGCAAATGTAGGTTTATACTTTCAACTTTATTCCTTGCTAACTTGCGTCAATTATGCTATAATTTAACTATGGCGAAATTTACCAGGGGATGAAGTATAAGCACAGTTTACTTAAAAGTAACATTCATTAATGAATATTTCAAGAGTTGAGAAGACACGTTTTGATGACGAGCCTTCTTTATTTTGTCAAAAAAAAGTGGATGACTCATTATTCTTCCACTTGTAGTTAATTAATTAGTGATTAATAATTAATCGGTAATAATTGGATTATACGGAGTTAACGAGGAAACGGTTTAGACTAAATCGTTTACTTTCTTTGTTAATATTTCGAATGCTAAATACTATCTACCATTGATTATCAAGCCATGCGTAGAAAATGATGAGATTTTTTTTGTAACAATTTATGCAAAAATTACTAGCTAATTTTTTGAGACTCTGAAAAATTGTTGTAATCGGTAATTAATTATACATGTAAAGCGTAGGATTAAAAAACCAACGCTCATGAAAAACCTCGCCATGCACCAAATCCCCCAGCAGACGGTAATAATCCACTTTTTCTCATTCACCACCAGACGTGAATGAAACCGGGCGGTGGGAATACATAAATAAGGATAATGATTGGGTGGATTGGATTGGATTGGATTAATTTATTTTAATGTGTCATTAAATCTAAATCTACTCCTTTGATACATGGAGAGTGATAAGTAAACCCACTTTTTCTTCAGGGGGAGGAGGATACCAAAGAATAGTTAAAAAGAATCTATCTAAATTATTATTAAGAAGAAATAAGAAATAAAAATTCCTTAAAAATGGTGAGTTTTTAAAACAATATAAATTTTGAGTTAAATTTAAGCTTATTAAAGCTCAATTGATGACAAATTGTCATTTATAATCATTTACAATTATTTAAAAATACACAGATTTAAATTTAATTGGTTACAACTGCGAAACTGTTATTTAATTGGGTGCACAAATTTTGATTTAAAATTTAATATCTGAATTTATTAAGGTGAAAATTGATAACAATCAGTTAGAATTATTTAAATACATAGATTTAAATTTAATTGATTGCAAATTGTTATTGTGTAAATTTATGAAGGCTCGATTGATCAGAATCATTTAAAACTATTGATATACATAGATTTCCATTTAATTAATTGCAAATTGTTATTGACGATTTCACAGCCGACCGCCCCGCAAATCAGTTCGCCGCCGGACGAGCAGGACAAATTGTTGGACGAGGCGCTCGGGATCGTGAAAATGCAAGCGTTCCAAATGAAACGTTGTTTGGATAAGGGTCGCCTCATGGACGGGTTGAAACACGCGTCCACCATGCTCGGCGAACTCAGAACGTCCATGCTCTCGCCGAAGAGTTACTACGAATTATGTAAATAATTGGTGGAAATCTTGATTTAACTATGGCGCAAGTTAGGGAGGAGAATTTTGAAAAGTTTGATTTTTTCAGACATGGCCGTCACGGATGAGCTTCGTCACCTCGAAATCTATTTGGTGGATGAATTTCAAAAAGGGCGACAAGTTTCGGATCTTTACGAACTTGTCCAGTATGCTGGGAATATCGTGCCAAGACTGTAATTATAATGTTGATAATTAAGGAATAATGGAGGTCTTCCGGTGTATGTGGAGAGAATTTGAGGAAATTAGTGGGAATTAGTGATAGGTTTAATTGGTGTGAAATTTGGGAAAGACACGATCTCGGAATGGGAGGGTTTGGCAGAGATGTTTGCATCTGAGGAGGAGAAAACGCGCAGTAAATAAGTGTACAATTTGTTGATTTTAAGGCAGGTGTTTTCCTCTTTGGATGCAAACATCTCTGCTAAACGTGACCATTGGGAGATTGTGTTTTTTGCGAATTTGCTAATTTAATTTGTGAGCGATTGACACAGAAGAAAACGCTAGTTGAAAAATGATAAGTTGACAAACTTTTTGCTTTCCAAATTTACTGCACGTTTTCTCCTGTTCAAATGCAAATATCTGTGCCAAATCTGAGCATTAAGAGATCGCGTCTTTTCCAAATTTTATGCTAATTAAATCTGTGATCGATTGACACTAATTTCCTCAAAATCTGAGAACATACGTAGGGAGACCTCCATTGTAATTAATTAACTAATTAATCCCAACCTAATTAACTTCTCTCCTCTCGCAGCTACCTCCTCATCACGGTGGGTCTTGTCTACATCAAGACGAAACCAGTCCTTTGTCGCGACGTGTTGAAGGACATGGTGGAAATGTGTCGCGGAGTTCAGCACCCTTTGCGCGGCCTGTTCCTGCGCAACTACCTCCTCCAATGTACGCGCAACGTGCTGCCAGACATTCCCGACTTGGTGGAGGGGGCGGACCCGCCCCCTCCGCCGCCGCCGACCACGTTGGCCACCCAGATAACCACGTCCGGAGAGGAGGACGGTTTCGGGGGTTCGGTTCAAGACTCGATCGACTTTGTTCTCATGAACTTTGCCGAGATGAACAAGTTGTGGGTGCGGATGCAGCACCAAGGTCATTCCCGGGACAAGGAGAGGAGGGAGAAGGAACGGCAGGACTTGAGAATATTGGTCGGAACGAATCTCGTCCGCTTGTCGCAGTTGGAGTGTATCGATTTGGAGAGATATACCAGGGTGAGGAGTGAGAGGAGGGCGCTTATCATGTATCGATCTGTTGTTATCGAATTTTGGATGGTTAGATGTCAAATTTTGCGTGTGTGGCGAACAATTCTTATCGAATATTGTGACTAAATAATTTACATGGATGGAGAATTTAGTAGAAATTGGAAGAAAAAGTTTGTTTTCGGATGCTAGTGTACACTAATTTTTAGGAATTTGCTAAAAAATTGAAATACTTTTGGTATTTCGAATTGAAATATTAAAGTTTGGTTGTGATTGTTATTATTTATTGTGACTAAAATTTCTAAATACGATACTTTTTTCAATGTTTATGTTACGTAAATATCAGTATTTTGTAATGAGGTATTTCTTCAGCTATTATTTCAAAATTTTATCAATAGTTCATCTACTCTAGGCCAAGAATACCTGAAAATTAGTACTTTTACTCTGTTAAATATTTGGTAGAATTTTAGCGTTTTGTCGTCAAAATTTCTGTAATTTTTCATAAACACGCCATTTCCGCTATTCACCAATGTATGGTTTGTAATTGTAATAAATCTCTTCCCAGTTTTTTAATTGAGTTGAATTATTTGATTGCAGGGCGTGTTGCCGAGCCTGTTGGAGCAGGTGGTCTCGTGTCGTGACGCCATAGCGCAAGAGTACCTTATGGAATGCATCATCCAAGTCTTTCCCGACGAGTTCCACCTCACCGCCCTCGACTCCTTCCTCAAAGCCTGCGCCGAACTCCAGCCCGCCGTCAACGTCAAGAACATCATCATCGCCCTCATCGACAGACTCGCAGCCTACACGCAGAGGGGGAAGGACGAGCCGGGTGCGAATAATGGGGGCACAGGCGGCACCACCCTCCCCGAGGATTTGCAACTCTTTTCCATCTTTTCTAAACAAGTGGCCCTAATTATCATGGTGAGGAAACACAATTAAAGTTTGCCAAAACCGTCAAAATCAGGACATTTTTAAGGATTTCCTCGCCTCTGGGAATTTATTTTAAAATTCTGGATGATAAATTTGTAGTCAGTGAGTTGATTGAAGGAATGGCACTGAGTTTTTTAAGCCAATTTCAATAAGTTCCAATTTTTCTGAAGGCTTCTTAATCTTGAGATCTCCTCCTTCAAAAAGTACCAAAATCTGGAGTGTATATTTTAAAAAATTGGCAACGACCTGCTATACAAATTTGTCGTCCAGAATTTTAAAATAAGTTCCCAGAGGCGAAAAATGATTAAAAATGTGCTGATTCTGACCATTTTTGGCGATGAGTCGTCGAGTCCAACCTTAATCACGAGCCCAACTAACTCTTATCTTTCCAGTCAAAGCCGGACATGCCTTCCGAGGACATCGTCTCCCTGCAAGTCTCCCTCATCAACCTGGCCAACAAATGCTACCCTGACCACGTGGACTATGTGGACGACGTGTTGGGCAAGACGTGCGAAATCTTTAACAAGTTCGACCTGGAGAAGATTTCCGGTTCGAGTCCGGTCGGCCGGGAGCTGCTCCTCCTCCTCAAAATCCCCGTGGACAATTACGACAACGTGCTGACCCTCCTGAAGCTGGAGCACTACGGGAATCTCTTGGACTTTATGGACTACGAGGGGCGCAAGAGCATCGCCGTGTACTTGATCAACAACGCGTTGGAGAACGAGACCCGGATCGGGACTTCGGAACAGATCGATTTCATGTTGGGGCTTATCAACCCGCTCATCCAGGACCAAGCGGACGCCCCCGATGGCAACGGGGGCTCTGCAGATGCGGAAGAGTTTGCCGAGGAACAGAGTCTCCTGGGAAGGTCGGTGGGCTTTGAGGAGATGATAATGAGCAGAGGGTGGATATGTATTTACGAAAAATTGACGAAATATCGACAAAGTTTAACCGTCGGTCGTCATTAAGATAAATACATATCCGCCCTCGGATTATGATGTCATATACGTAAATAATTGAGCTGCTTTGATTGATTGATTAACTGATTGATTGACCACGCAGATTCCTGCACCTCTTATCGTCGGAGGATGCGGACGAGCAGTACATCATACTCAACACGGCGCGCCGACATTTGGGGACGGGCGGCGTGAAAAGAATCCCCTTCACGTTACCACCCATCATTTTCGCAGCGTACCAACTCGCCTTCAAGTACGCCGAGATGAAGGAGGAGGTGAGTCGGGCAGTGCTAATACTTTGAATTAGCTTAATTGGTAATGAGCTAATTGTTAACTTAACTGTCTGAATTTAATTTGCAGGACGACAAATGGGAGAAGAAGTGTGGTAAAATATTCCAATTTTGCCACGGGACGATTGTCGCCTTAACAAAGGCGGAACTCGCGGAACTGCCGCTGCGTCTCTTTCTCCAAGGTGCCCTTGCCATTGCGCAGATACCGTTCGAAAACAGGGAAACGGTCGCGTACGAGTACATGTCGCAGGTTGGTTATCTTATCATAAATACTTATCAACAAAATAATAATGTATCCTTTTTTGTCAGGCCTTCTCCCTGTACGAGGACGAAATCTCTGACAGCAAAGCCCAACTGGCCGCCATCACCCTGATCATCGCCACTCTCGAGCAGATTGGCTGCTTCGGAGAAGAGAATCACGAACCCCTCGCGACAAACTGTGCCCTCGCGGCGTCCAAACTTCTCAAGAAGCCGGATCAAGCTCGCGGTGTCGGGATTTGCGCGCACCTCTTCTGGTCCGGGAAGAACGTGGCGTCGAACGGGCTGCCGATCCGGGACGGGAAACGGGTCCTGGAATGTTTGAAGAAAGGGGTCCGGATCGGGAGCCAGTGCATGGACACGCTCGTGCAGGTCCAGCTGCTTGTTGAACTACTCAATCATTACGTCTACTTTTTGGAGAAGGGGAACGAGGAAATCACGGCCGCCTTGTTGAACCAACTCCTCGCCAAGATTCGCACCGAGCTGCCGAACCTGGAAGTGAACGAGGAGAGGGAACAGATCCATAAACACTTTGACAATACGAAGGAACACATCAAAGTTGGCCAAGCGAATGGTGGCGTTCTCGTCGAAGTGCAGTTGGAAGAGTGAGAAAGAGAGAGAGAGAGCTTCAGTTTTTTGGAGTAATGTAGGATTCGGGGAGGCGTCATGAAAATTGGGAAGAGCAGGACGTTTGTAATCATTTTTCGCCTCTGGGAACTTAGTTTAAAATTCTGGATGATTAATTTGCAGTCAGTGAGTTGATTGATGGGATGGCACTGAGTTTTTTAAGCCAATTTCAACAAGTTCCAATTTTTTTGAAGGCTTCTTAAACTTGAAATCTCCTCCGCCAAAAACTATCAAAATCTGGAGTGTATATTTTCAAAAATAGGCAACTCCCTGTTCTACAAATTTGTCGTTCAGCACTTCAAAATAACTTCCCAGAGCGGAGAAATGATTAAAAATGTCCTAATTTCGACGATTTTAGTGGCGAGTCCTCGAATCCTACGTTAATCTGATGCCATGATGACAAGATGATGATAATAATTAAGTAATTAGTTAGCTAATTGATGTCACGTTTAGTTTATTTATGGTACGAAAAACTATTATTATGTAAAACACATCACATTACAGTAAAAGGAATAATAAATAAGATTAATGATTTGTTATCTAATGCACGTTCTAATCTCGCCAATGATGGCCACACTTTCTGCTGCAACATTCATAGAAATTTGTCATGGGTTCGTCCGCAGAGCGAGTTTGCATTTGGTAAAAGTAGGCCTCGTTATGGGAGCATTCGGGACAGATGACCTCAGTCTTTTGGCGATGCTCGTTAGCTTTCGAGGATTCGACGATGAGTTCCTGGTCGTCATCCGGGTTCTGGAAAAGGGAGAGAAAAATATTTAGTTTTAGAATGGTGTGACATAACTCAGGACAACTTATTAATTTCGCAAATTAAGTATAACTTGGCAAGTTTTACGAAATTCGCAACATATCGCAAAACATTTTGGTTAGGTTTTGTTTAACCAGTAAAACAATTGTCATGGTTTAATTTCGTAAACTATTTGCTAAATTATTTACGACGGGGTAAGACCGATCTGGTTTTTAATCAGTGCAAGTAACCACGTGCAAGAAACAATGGGAAACATGTGGTTTTTGGAGGTAAATATTTTGACCTGGGAGAAATACAAGCCGCAGGAAACGACTCCCCGCCGCTGTAAATAGTTCATACGACGCGTGGCTGGATGGCGCATATTTCTCGCAGTTTCTTGCACCTCGCATTTCTTGCATTGATTGTTTATCAGTGCAAGAAATGTGGCAAACCCGCAAGAAATGAGATCTGCTTTTAACATGTTCACCCACCTCTTCAACGAATGTGACGTAGCGATGTTGTCTCGTGACGGGGAGGGAGTAAGGACACGTCATACATTTCCAACGCCAAGCATCAGTCGCTTTTCCGCTCACTTTTTGATTAACCTGACCAAAACATAATACATTTAAGTAATTAAAGTCCTTCAATCTAAATAGGTTATATTCTAGTTAATTGGTATGTACACAAACCTGGAGGAGATTACTGCACCGCGGACAAAATCTGAACTTTTTATCCATCATGTTCCAAATATTGAGAGATTTCTTCTTCTTTCCACTTTGCACCGCTTGCTCATCCTCGTCGTCATCGTCATCTTCGTCACTTCCGGCCGCAACTTTGGTGAGGAGGGCGAGAATCGCGGTGGACCTTTCCGTCAGTGGTGGAGGAGTAACGCCAGAGTCCAATTTCTCACGCTTTATTTTCTACAATTATAAATTTAGTTAAGATTAATTTTAGTTATAAGGATTTATAAATGAGTTGAATTTAACTTCTTATCAAGTTGGGCCAGTGTTATTGTGAGACAATTCACGCAGTCATTTGTAACAATTTAAAGCTTGTAAAATACTTTTACAAGATTACTGGACGCCCTTAATCTGATTTGTAAACTTACAAAAATTTGGGAGCTGATTTTCCTTCGAAATATAATATGAGTAAAGGTTACAGAATTTACGGAGTTTACCAAGGCCTGCGTGAATTGCGTCAGTATTCACGCAATCTGTATAACTTTGTAAAGCGAATACATTTCGGGAAATTATCCCACAAAAATCAACACACTTATGTATGGTACGAAACACACGGAATTTACGAAGTTACTAATGACGGCATGAATTGCCTTGAGTATAACTATGGCGCAAATTAGGTTAGGTAGGTTATATACTCACGACTTTGGAGTCCTCCTCCTCCTCATCTTCGTCCATGGCGTAGTCCTCGTGCTTGCCCCTATTTTGAGCCTCCTCATACAAGTGGATCCCTTTGCTGATGATGCTCTCCTCGTCGTCGTCGTCGTCGTCTTCGACCATCCCCAAAATGAGGGGGGCCTTTTCTACGACGCTGCGGTAGTAATGCAAATCGTAGTACAGATTGGTCAAGAAGTTCCTCGATTCTTTGTCGTCATCTTGATAACCGACCAAGGAGGATGGTCCTGCTGGGTCCATGCTTATCTAAAAGAAAATAGTCTAATTACAAAATGTGTGCCATTTTTTGAGATTCGATTGAATTCAATTGATTGATTAATTAGGATTTTATTAAATCTGTCAGACAAGACTGAATGTAGGAGTTGATCAAAATCTGCACATTTTTAACCATTCCTCGACTGTCGGAACTAATTAAAATTACTTCTTTTTAATTAGTAACTCCCTTCTCTACAAATTTGTCGTTGAGAATTTTAAAATAAATTCCCAGAGGGAAGAAATGATTAAAAACGTGCTGATTTTTAACGATAAGTGGTCGGTAAGTACTACGAGAAAATCTACTAGTGTTTTTCATCTTTGGACACTGGAAGCTATACATAATTAAGAATATAATTGTATAAAATTTTAAATAATTGTTTAAAAAATCCAATCCAATTTTTTTTTAATTCATCAATCCATAATCCGAAAAAAACAGGTATCCATTCAGCTCACCTCCTTTAGAAAAAACCACAAATTATAAAAGAATCCCCTACTCCTTAATTAATTAAAGTTGACGATAAGTGATTATCTTGATAAAAACGAGAGCACGTTGTTGCTTATCTGACTGAGGAGAGAGAAGCCGATGTCAAAAATATCGTATTGAAGGCGAGCGGGTCTGCCTCACATGTCGGCCATCCACCTGGTTTACTGCGGGATCTCGTCTCACACTCCAAACAAAAAAACTTCTACCACAAAGTTCCTGCCTGCCATTCGGAAATTTATCCCAAAATTTCCTTACCCCCAATTTTTCCAAAATCTACTCTTTCTCCCCACGATTTGTCCTGCGTGGTGTACAAAAAAATTAGAGATTACTTACTACGCTGCCAAGTTATATACGTACGTTTTTAAAAAAACAGCGGAGAGATTAATTGAACAATTAATTTAATTAAGGAAATGTTTTAACTTTTTCTGCGAGAATTAGTTTGTTTGTTGGAGGGGACATATTTTCGTCTTTCTTTTTGATCCAGTGGGGGGTGGGGTTCGTACAGATTTGTGTAAAAGTGAAGAAGGATAAAGAACAGAGGAGATGTCGTCGTCAAAGAGAGGTAAGTTCTTATCTTTTTCTTGGGTGGATACACTTAAGGAAATGATTGATGATACGGTTTAATTATTTACGGGGGGAGGAGATAACAACTTCCCGATTGTGCCACAGTTTTCATTAAAAATGGACACATTAAATTATGTATGTATGTACATATGGCTAATTGCAATTAAATTGATTTCCTGTCAAGTTTCTTGAAAGTTTTATTTCATTTCTCCCAATTTTCTCTGAGTTACAGTTTGTGAATGGAATTTTCAAAATTAATAGCGTTGCGTGATACGGATTTATTAATAAGTTAGGAGTTACATTCTTAAATGGAGTTACAATTTATTATTATTTTATCGAATAAAAGTCAGTCATATTTTTTATCGAGTATGATGACGATAACCTTGCCGCACGGATAAGTAGGCGAATTTCCTTCCTTCCTTTCTCCTCTAATTCCTTTATGCGGAGAGAAAGTGTTTATTGGTTGGAGGGAGGCAGAGGTAAAGTAAGGTAAAAAGTGGTCTATTTTTATGACTGCCTATTAATCGCGGAGCTATTACCTCCAGTGTCACAATAATTTAGCTACCGTGTCGTGTTTATCTCCTGTATCGGGCTGGACAAATAAATTGCATCGTTTGTCCCAAACTGTCGCTGTCCTTTTGTGGACGTGGTCTCATAGTCGTCGTTTTTGTTGAAATTTCCTAAAAATATTTATGTTTCGGGTTAAAAAAAGTGAAACTAGACTTTGGGCAAGTAAATAAATAGCATCGTTTGTCCGGAATTGTCCTTGTTCTTTTGTCGACGTGTTCTCATAGCGTCGTCGTCGTTTTTGTCAAAATTTCCTAAAAATATTTATATATTTCCCGTTAAAAAAAGTGAAACTAAACTTCGCACATAGCATCGCTTGTCCTGAGCGGTCGGTGTCCTTTTGAGGACGTGTTCTCATACCGTCGTCGTTGTTCTCCTCTCCCCAAAAATTTCCTAAAAAAAATATTTCTATATTTCCTAAAACTAAATGATGCCTTCTTGTTTTTTGTGGTTTTGTTCGTCGTCTTCCTCCTTGTCGTCGACAGTGATGGCGATCCGGGCGAAGAGGAAGCATCGTAAATTGCTCCTGAACAAGAAGCTGGCCGCCGGAGGGGGAGGGGGCGGAGGGTCCAATAATAAAGGAACTGGGCGAGGATCTCCAAGAGGCCGGGATGTCAACCACAGTCGGTAAGTAGACAGTTATCTAGTTCATCGTCATCATCGTCGTCATTTCAGTAATTAATTAATTATCATTGCTTATCGGTGCTTATCTATAAATGCAGTGCTTATGCAACTTATATTGAATCGTTGTTATTATAATTGCCTTCTTGATACGGACGGGGATCGATGATCGATTGGACGTACGTGCCAATTCGTCCATCGTGCCAGAGTAGTAAAAGTAGTAGAGTAGTGTGGATTTATTGATCAGCAGTGGCCGCGGAACGGTGTGGCGACATGTGGGGACGTTAAAATAGTAGGATAAGGGAGGGACGGATTTATATATGATGGGGACATCGAATAACCGTGGGAGCATGGTCCCCCTGCCCCCACGCTTCCGCCGCGGCCACTGTTCTGCTGATCAGGGGGGAACTGTGGGGACTACAATGTCCACACCTTTCCTATTCCTTCAATCATGCATAACTCCTCCCCTTATTGTCTTGTAATATTAATGTTATTGTCCCCACCCACAATTCCGTGGCGCAGGGGGCATGGTATTGATTAATGATTGTATTCCCCATCCCGCCCGGCGTCATGGAGAGCCCGAGGCGTATGAATCGATTGATTGCTCCTAGTATGCAAATATTGGAACGTGCTTTCCTTTCTGGACGGACGGATGAAGGTGACAAAGAAATGCATGCAAGCAAGGATAATGGTTGCATTGCATGTGAGGAGTGGGTGGTCGTGGAGGTGGTGACGTACTAAATATTTGGTGATTGATGTCTTAGGAGAAGATATAGCACAGTTTGCAATAGTTTGCATGCCATTACATTTAACCTTGTGGCTTTGTGTAAAAAAGGGGTGAAAGTCGTTGCCCATTGGAGTCGGCATATCCTTGAGAATATGCAGTTTCTAGTCTTGCCCTGTTTGATGAGGAGATTGTAGGATATTTTCCCCAAGAAGAACGTGGAATCATCTCGCTCACTTATTCGTCCTTGTATAATCAGTACATTCTGACAATGGGGTTCTCCCAGCGTATGCTCTCCGATTTTGAGCAAATTAGTGTCAATCGATGATAGATTTGATTAGTATGGAATTTGTGAAAGACACGATATCCCAATGGGCACGTTTAACAGAGGTATTTGCATCCCAAGAGGAGAAAATAGGTGTTAAAAGTTTAAAATTTGTCAGATTTAGAGCCCGCTATATCCTCTTGGGATGCAAACATCTCTGCCAACCGTGCCTATTGGGAGATCGTGTCTTTCGCAAATTTCAGCCTAATCTGTCATAGATTGACACTAATTTGCCCAAAATCGGACAGCATACGTTGGGAAATGTCCATTGTTAGTGTAAAATACGGGTGAAAGTAGTTGCCCGGCAGTCGGCATCCTTGAGAACATTATGCTTGCTGTGTTTGATGAGGAGATTTGTGTCATACTTGTCCCAAGAAGAAAGTGGATCTCGTACGCTTTAATCAGTCCTTCCCGAGTGGTAGGAATTTAGCCAGATTCATCAATTTTTTCCTCTCCTCGGTTATTTATCGATCCATCCCGTAACATGATTCCGGCAGGCTTTTGTTACATCCATCCATCCATCCAGCAGGTGTGTCTGGTTGTTGTTGTTGACTGGAAATTATTACTGTGTGGGCTTAAGTGTTGACTTGTTGATGCTATAATTAGGAGGAGGGAACAGATCTGCTTTCACCAACCACAGGCACGATACGATTAGTCACCAATACCTCGTGGTCAGTGGTGGAGGAGAGCAAAAGCCGTGGGGACATGGGGGGACATGAGGACATTAACATTGTAGGATGGGAAGATGATTGTCCCCCTGTCCCCACGATTCCGCGGCCACTGGGGTGTGAAGGTTGTGGAAGAAGTCGTTGCTAGTTGAAATTGAGCGAGTGAAATTGGGTACGAAGAGGTGAAAGAGAGGAGAAAGTGGTGAGAATTCGAGGAAAGTGTGATGATGACACGAGTTGGTGAGGATTCAGCTATAATTGTCCCCGCTTTTAATTGTCCTCTGGGTGGATGAGTGGTGAGGTGGGCTCATCCATTGTTTCTGAGTGGCTGCAGGGATAATAATAATGCATCTTGTCCTATTATTTTTCTCTGATTGTTTCCGTGTCTGCTTCTGATTTGTTTAACGGTGGAGGTTGTGTTTTTGTATTATTTTTTCTGATGGAAAGGATTTAGGATTCGTAGGACTTGATGGGTCATCACCAAAATTGTCAAAATCAGCACATTTTTAATGATTTCTTCTCCGCTCTGGGAATTTATTTTAAAATTCTGAACGACAAATTAGCCGTCAGTGAGTTAATTAATGGCCTGAGTTTTTAAAGTCAGTTTTCGAGAAGTTCCAATTTTTCTGAAAGCTTCTTAAACTTGCGATCTCCTCCGCCAAAAAGTGTCAAAATCTGGATGGTATATTTTTAAACAATGGGATGAGTTTGATAAGACTGTTAGGAAAAAAATTACATATTTCTGGGGAACATTTCATAGCCCCACCGTTTTCGCTATGTATTTATCTACTCTGAAAGAACAATGGTACACATTTGGTGCAAGAAGTATGATAAAATTGTCTGGTTAGAAAAAATGTCAAATTTCTGGCGAACATTTTACAGCCTCACGGTTTTTTGTTACTCTGAAAAAACAAAGGTGTCAGGAGGCGATGGATAATACATGTTTTTTTTATTCTTTTGTCGCACCAGATTTCTAAAAGTAGCCGTTTATATTTATCACACTTACTAATCTCATTATTCTCCCACCTTTGATCCCACCTCGTTGATTAATCGAGCATCAAACAAGTTTCTGTCATTCAAGTATGGATAAAATGAGGCAGAAATTGTAATTAGTTTTTGTAGTCAGCAGAAAGAAATACAAAAATTTCGAGGCCAGAGAAACCTGAGAGTTGTGAAAGCGGAGAAAGTTTCGCTTTTCTGCGAAAATACTCTCGACTTTGTCGTCATACATGTGAAAGTATGGATTCTGTACAAAATAGAATTATGCAAGGTGAAAATGAACAAAAAAGTATGGAAGAATTTTTAAAATTTTGTGGGAATCAGGCATGCAAATATTAGACGCCGTGTTTTGGCAATTTTTTAGCACTTGTGATCTTCGTGGGACACTACGGATTCTGACCAAAAACTGAAAATAGTATGCAAAAATTGACACTTTGGAATTTTTAGGATCAATTGTGCAAATACTGACAATTTTTTGGCAGATGGGGTAAAAGATCAGATTAAATTAGTGGATAAAAGAGGATCCCTTAATTTTTTGCAAGGCTGGACGTGGAAAAATCTTGTGCAAAATTTGAGAAATTATGGTTCCGCTGTGATTATGAAATTTAGATCAGTTGCACAAATATTTGACGCATTGTTGCCAATTTTTTTAACCCTTGTGAATATTCTTGACTTTCTCTTCATGCGATAGTATGGATTCTGTAAAAAAAAGATGCAAAAATTTACAGTTTGAAATTTTATAAGAATCAGATATGCAAATATTGGACGTCATATTGGCAATTTTTTTAGCAGATAGGGTAAAAGATGACATTAAATTGAATTAAGTGGATAAAAAGGCATCCCCTAATTTTTTGCAAGGCAAAATCTTGTTCATGCAAAATTGAGAAATTGCGGTTCTTCTGTCATAATTTATGAGCTTCAGCACGTCGTAATCTCTCTCTTGGCTCGATTTGCTCCTCACCTTGACCAAGTAGTAATAATAAATGAGAGAGAACCCAACAGTAGTGTAAGGTTGCGGCGGCTTTGGTTTTTTCTACGTGTGTGTATGTGTGACTTGCCATTTTTTACGAGATTTGTTTACCCGTAAATATCTATGCATGTACACAGAAGAAGAAGAGTTGCGTTGCTTTTTGAGTTATTATTACCACCGGTGAAGGAGGACGCAGAAGGACGCTGTGGGGACGACGACAAGAACAAACATTACTAGATTGTAGGGAATAAAGGTTGATGATAAGATAGGAAATTGAACGTCTGTGGGGGGGGCATATAGCTTGCACCCTTACAAATTAACCAGAATGCAATATGCATCCATCTTTTGTAAATTATTCATTGATTTCTACTTGTGCAATTAATTGCATCGGTTTTACTCTGCAGAACCGTATGTGCATAATTGTTTGCAAAAATCACTCCGCGCTAAAGTTTTTTGCGGAAAATTGGGCCGAATTTTAGCAGGAAAGGCGTTACTCGGGATTCTTGGGTATGGAATTGAGGTGTCGTGGAAATGCCCCTTAAGACCCAGGAGGCTTCACGGTTTTTAATACATCACGGTTAGAGTTGTATATGTTGAATGAAGAGATGGAATAAATTCCCGGAATTTTGATATAAATTTCCTGGAGATGTGGATATTAATGGGGGCATGCATTTCAATTAATGGGTGGCATCCCATACATAAATGTCCCCCTTTAAACACGTACATACGTACAACTCTGGGTGCGAAGTGAGGTATTCTATTCTGAGGATGACGAGAGATGCAGTCGAGTAAGTATTTAGTTAAAAGCGTTTTTTATTTATTTTCCGTACACACTCCGCATCCTCCAACCGATGGGGTACGATCTGCAGTACAGATTTTTCCTTGTGTACCATTTTTTATGCGAGTCGTTCGTCCGTATGGATGGTGTGACTGAATGAGATGTATGTATACAAGTCGGTCGGTCGGTACGTGCGAAATAAAAAGAGCAAGGTTTTGGCTGGCGTTTGCATTTTGCAAAGTCATCCTCGTCGTCTTCGTCGTCGTTGACCTATGCCGAATCTTACTTAAGAAGCGTAGAATGTTGTTGTGTCTTATACGCTCGCTTTTTGGCAATCATATCTCACACGCCAGTTGGATATTGGCTCACATCTGAATAAGAATCGCAACCTTTTAGCACATAGTAATCGAATTTTTCGCCAATCGCAGCGTGGGTGGTGGGTAGGAGATGGGATTGAAATTTCCCAAATTATTGAAAATTGGGTGATATTAAAAGTAAAGTGAGTGTTTAGATTGGTTTTGTAGACAATGTGCTCGAGAAGGTGGTGGTGTATATCCTAGTGGAGTGAATTAGTAGATAGATGAAGCGGCATGAAAGTTGCGAACTAATTGGTCTCCCTGCTTTTGCACCTGTTCTTCATTTGAGGCGGCGTCGTGTTTTAGGATTTCAATCATTATTCCTGAGAGCGAGTGAGAAACGTCCCGATTGTTCCTGGAAACTTAATCAACTCGAGGTTCATCATCTTGTTGCATTGTGAATATTAGTCTGAAATCTGTGCGACTTTATGGTGGTGGATCTGTGTAGAGTGATATAAGTGGGCATTGTATTTTATGGATGTGCCTTATTTATTGCGTGGTTGTATCACACTGGGTGCGTGTAATATATGAATGTACATAAAGTGTGCCTCTATTGTTCTCCGTATCATTATTGGATGGATAGATGCGATACAAATGATGATGTGATCCAGTAGGCTGGACTAGAATTGAAGCTATTTTTGACATTATGAATCCCATCCGGAGAAAGTAGCGTGGATAAAGCGTTGGGAGACTGTTTGGGGATGATGACGAGGTAACGCGGCGGTGTGATGATGGGTGGGGGTGAGAGTGCCGAAGCCAGGGCGACGGTGATGGCATCATCCTCGCCACCACCTGCCCATTGTGGGAGGCTGGATAAATACGGGGTCGCCCTGGACCGCGGGCTCAGTCCGAATATGGAAGAGTGGTTTCTCCTCCTGCTCGCACATCAGCAAGATCGAGAATCAGTCGTGACACCGGCCTCGTCCTCGGAGGATCTTGCCTGTCCCGTCGCCATAAAGAAGCCTGAAGGGACCGGAGTCGCACCTGCCATGCCACCACCCCCGTCCATGGGCAGACCACGGATCGGGCGTCACAACGAGAGCAATAAGACCGTCGTGGCTCCCAACCCCCCGCGGCAAGAAGTGATGACGGACTACAGCGTGTACTTTGCCGGCTTGTGGTTCGCCGTGGGGCTCCTCATCGGCGTCTTGGTGGTCGTCGCGTGCTACAAGAAGTGGCAGAGCGTGAGGAAGAAGAGGGAGGCAAGGAGGAGGCGGTTGTCGCGGGGGGGACGGAGAAGGGCTGGATTCAGGGTGAGGATGAGGAACGGCGTGGGTGAGAGGGATGCAGGGGAGGAGGAGGAGCGGGATGAGAGTGGCGGAGGGGGAAAGGAGTTGGACGATAGGATGGCGCGCTTTAAAAGGGACGGTGGCGACGGAGGGAGCGGCGGCGGGGCTGAAGGGATCGCGGTGGTGGAGCGATGCCCGTGCGGCGCGGAGCTGGAGGGGGGCGAGGATAAGGACGATAAGGAGAAAGGAGGTGGAGGAGAAAGTGTGGACATTGCGGCAGAATCATCGTCGTCTCATCCTTCCCCCGAGGTAAGTTGAGTATTCTTTCTAACAAATATGGACGCAGTGTTTCGTTTCTTACCTACGGGTTTGCCACATTTCTTGCTCTGGAAAGCAAGAAATGCAAGAAATACGAGGTGCTATCTAGCCACGCACCGTATGCAGGATCGGGAAGTGGTTTCTTAAACGCCGTGCATTTCTTGTAGATCTAAATATTTCCCCGAAAGAAACCACTTTCTTGACATTATTTCTTCAACTGGTTTCTTGATTGCACCTGAAACTGTGTGGGGGCGTGGGTGGTGACGCCTGGGCCTCAACTTTTTTTTGCGTACGTGGGTCGAAACGTCTCAACTTATGTACGACGACCCTGAATGAAGGAGTCTATTATCCGCATTTTTTTTTACATAAGCGATGCCGCAACAACTTGTTGATTAGAGAAAAACCCGACTTTCACCCCAACCTGCGTACACACGGGTGGGGCTTCTCCCCGACAAAAGTTTCACCTTACGTAGGTTCTCGCTCTTTGTTATTTTTGGATTTCTTATAAACGAGTCGAAAATGAGTGAGTGATTGGGCTGATGGAAGGATTCCTCTGCTCGAGAATAATTGAAAATTGATTGAGAATTTGACATTCAGTCGTCTCACTTACGTATCATTCCATTTGGGACTCATTTTCACCTACTCTTTGATCTCTTCAAAGAAAGAAAAGGTGTACATTAATAAGGGAAAAGTTGGGCTAGGTAAAAGTTTTGGTGAGTGGGTTGAAGCAGTTGTATCTATGTACTTTTCTAGGCAAAATTATGTATGTGCGTAACACAATGGACTAATTTGAGACGAAATTGTATAGTATGTAAGGTTATGTCAGACAGGGTAGTGAAGAAATTAGTGGGAGTGGTCATGTTTCAGGGCTGCAGATATAGCTGTCGGGTGTGAGGATTTGTTCAAGGTGGTTAATTTTTGGGTACTTTTCGAAATTTTGGAAGTGGCTAGATTTTTCAGGGTGTTGCAGGTGCAAGTAAAGATTTGCAGGAAAGTAGTTTCTTGCATATAGATATTTTGACCTGGGAGAAAGGCAAGGTGCAAGAAACTACGTCCCGCCGCTGTAAATGCAGCATACAGCGCGTGGCTAAATGACAAATTTCTTACACTTTCTGGCAGTTTCTTGCACCACGCATTTCTTGACTTGCTTCGTTTCCACTGCAAGAAATGTGGCAAACCCGTAAGAAAAGGAAAACTTATTTCCCATGAGGAATTGTGTCCCCCAATTTGGAGAAAGCTGAGGCTTTTATTTACTTATTTCCCTTGGTTCAGGCAACTCCCTTGGAGAAAGTGGTTGAGCCGGGTGTCGTCGACGGGGGGAACGTCGTGGCGGCGTTGGAGGAGGACAAAATATTCCTTCTTCGTGTCTCTTCCACCACGCCACCACCTCCACGACGACCCAGCTTCCTAGCAGAGACTGTCCCCTCGAAGGATGAAGTCAACGAGGTCAATACGACCCCCACGACCACGATTAAGGGAAGAAGCATGTTGGGGAGGAAGAGCTCGCTCGGCTATGCTGACCGATTTCCTCCCGGCTCCCTCCTCCGGAAATGCGTGTCCTCCACCCTCATCCCAGAGGCTGCTTGTACATCGCCCCGAGGAGGACCCCTCCTCCCACCCCGGACGGAACGGACGTCAGCCTCAGAATCGGACCTACTCGGGGGAAGAAAGCAGGCAGACTTGATTTCCGTCACCGTGCCGCCCATCCGCCCGCCCTCGTTGAACCTGCTCCACTCCCACCACGTGACGAGCAGCAGTCCCAACATAATCGCGAAGCCCCAGACGCCCGAGAACTGTCCCAACATAATTATCAACCCCCACATTCCCCCGGCAGCTGACAATTGTCCCGTGCACGGAAGAACGTTGAAGAACGCGACACCATCCGACTTCTCGCCCCCACTTTCCCCCATCCCGTCACCACCCCCACCGCCGGCGCAGTACTTCCTGTCCATCCCAATGCCACCACCACCACCCCCATCCGCCCAGGAAGAACAGGACATGCTCCGGTCCAAACTGGTCAACTCGTTTACACGTGTGATGCACATGTTTCTACCGCCGCACTCGGCGACACCTTCTGTTTCGCCACGTGGGCAGAAAACAAGGAATGAGTCGTTGTCTCCGCGGAATCCGTCGACGGGTTCGTCCTCCATCCCGAAGAAGAAGAATAGCGTCCCCACGGCGTCCACGGCGACAGATTCGACACCCCCAAAAGAGACCAAGTTCGTGTTCGACTTTGACTTTACGCATCACTCGAACCCTCCAACCTTTAAGCTGATGGCGATCCAGAAGGTGGACGAAGATGAGAAGGGTGACGAGGATAATGAAGATAAGCACGATAACAACGCCACGACTCGTAGGACGGTTCATAAACAACGGTCGTCCTCCTCCGGGTTCGTTTGAGTGATGATTGATGATCCTCAAAACTTATTAAAAAACACGTGTTTTACAAATATGTATTTATGTAAATGTCGATTATTTTTGTGTACTTTTTGATGGGATTTGAGTGGGTTTCATTTCATGCTTCACACACGTGTGCATATCTACTTCTGATGCGATTCGTAGCGTAGTCTTGATCTTGATGTGTTGTAGTTTAGCTAGTTGTAGTAGAGTACGAGTAACAATAAGATGTGAAAATAAAAGTGTTCTTTAGTTGGCTGGGGTTGGATTGTATTGTTGGTGGTGTACCATCGTTGTGCTAATATTTCGCACATTATTCGGGTGGATATCGTCTTGATTTACTTGGTGTTGTTTGTTTGTGCTAATATTTGGCACATTCGGGATGGATATTATTGTCTTAATTTAGTACTAACTCTTCCTGCTTCACTAATACGCACGCATTGCTTGGATGATGATGACGACAAATGGTGATGATGACGGTGATGAATATTGCATAACTGGTGGTTTGGCAAGAATGGTTGATAATGAGAGGATTGCTTCTTCTTCTCGGCAGATCTGACCCACGCACCTCGTCCAACACGAGCGAGGGGAGCGACGATGACGAGGAAATCCTGGGATCCGACGACGACGAGCAGGAAGACCCCAAGGATTATTGCAAGGGTGAGGATTGGGCAGTATTTTGAGCTTGGGTTTGGATTTCCTGGGGTATTAGAGCCATAAAAAGAGGAGAATCTACCTGGAGAAGGCAGCAGTCGTATGAAAATAGAGGTTTTGTGAAGAAATTAAGCTTTTAATAGAGGTGTCGAAATATATTGACTCAATTCACGCAAGTCTTACCAAAATCTGGAAATTCTGCAAAGTTTTACACAATTTTGCAAGTATTTCGAGGAGAAATAAGGTTACAACTTTGTGTAAGCTTACAAATCAGATAAAGGGGGTCACTTAATTTTTTAAAAATTTATACAATTATGTTACAAAACGCACGGATTTTACGAGTTACAAATGACTGCGTGAATTGCCTCACTGTATTTTTGAAAAATCTAGAAAACAATGTATTTTTCCTGCAATGGAAAGTTAATTTCTTCACAAAACCTGTGTTTTTGTACGACTGTTACCTTCCCCATGCAGATTGTCGTCTTTTTGTGGGTGTAATACCCCCGGAAATTCACCCCCTTTGGAAAAACGGGGCTCAAAATACTCTATTTTGACCAAGTATCTTGACCACATGGGTGGATTGGTGACATGTGGAGGGTCGTCATCTAAAAAACAACTTGTGTGCACAGGTGGCTACCACCCCGTGAGGATTGGGGACCTATTTCACAGTCGTTACCACGTGGTGAGGAAGCTCGGTTGGGGACACTTTTCCACCGTCTGGCTCTGCTGGGACTTGAAGCGAAGTCGGCAGTACGTGGCGCTGAAAGTCGTCAAGAGCGCGCCCCACTACACGGACACGGCTCTCGACGAAATCAAACTACTCAAATGCGTATGTTCAGAGATAATTTTTGTTCTCAGAATGGAGATCGACCAGCGGATGTGATCCGATTTTGAGCAAATTAGTGGCAAATTTATTTAGTATGAAATTTGCGAAGGACACGACCTCCCAATGGGCACGTTTGGCAGAGATATTTGCATCAGAAGAGGAGAAAATGTAAAGTAACGTTGGAAAGTGTCAAATTTGGCAACTTTAAGACATATTTTCTCCTCTTGGGATGCAAATATCTCGGCTAAACGTGCCCATTTGGAGATCGTGTCTTTCGCAAATTTCATACTAACTAAATTTGCGATCGATTGAGACTAATTTGCTCAAAATCGGAGAGCATGCGCTGTGAGACCTCCATTGTTTAGTTGGTTAGCTTTAAACTAATTAATTTTTGGTGGGTGTTTTTCCAGGTGCGCGAGTCTGACGTGGGTGATCCTCACCGCGAGAAGACGGTCCAACTCTTGGACGACTTTAAGATCACGGGGGTGAACGGGATCCACGTCTGCATGGTGTTTGAAGTGTTGGGAAACAATTTACTAAAGTTGATCATTCGGTCAAACTATCAAGGAATTCCGCTGCAAAATGTCAAGACTATTATTAAACAGGTATATTTCTTGTCTGGATTGTTTTGGGAAGTGGTTAATTATGATTTTGTATTTGTTTTCTTGCAGACGCTTCAAGCTCTGGATTATTTGCACACGAAATGCAAAATAATTCACACGGATATAAAGCCGGAAAATATTCTAATGTGTGTGGATGACGCGTATGTGAGAAATTTAGCGAATGAGGCGACAACGTGGCAAATGCAGGGGGGACGCTTGCCTGGGTCGGCAGGTAAAAGAATTAGATTAATTATAATTACAAAATGGTTTAATGGGAGTCTACTCACGGCAATATTCACATACTTAGCTCGCAAAAACATAGCGTAGGACTCGATATGGTCAAAATCCACACATTTTAATCATTTCTCGGCTCTGGGAATTTATTTTAAAATTCTGGACGAGAAATTTGTAGTGAGTGAGTTGATTGATGGAATGGCGATGATTTTTTGAAGCCGGTTTCGATGAGTTTCAATTTTTCTGAAAGCTTCTTAACCTTGAGATCTCCTCCTTCAAAACCTGTCAAAATATGGAGTGTATATTTTTTAGTTCGCAACTCCCTGCTCTACAAATTTGCCGTTCAGAATCACTACCATAAAATGACAGTGTTAAGTTCTGGGTCGGTCCGTAAGTCAATGCAAGTCGCCCCGTAGAGGAGACAAAGAAGGAAGCGGAGCAAACACTGCATGCATGAATGCATGAACTGCTACCCCATACATACATCAACTGATCAACCAACCATCATTACTCATCAATAGTGGTTATCATGATAAGTGATCGTGATAAACACTATTAATTAATTATTTTAGTTTGAGAAACTCCACCCACAGCGAGTGGCATATCAATTCGAATGTATTTTTGACGCTGAATCCAACGCCATTAATAGTTTTGACCTCCGAGGCCCCCGTGACCTTCCCGTGACCGTGGCAGCCAAATATGGCTTATCCGTGATGTCGCATATCAATTCGAATGTATTTTTGACGCTGAATCCGAATCCGTCAATAGTTTGACGTTAATTATAGAAGTTGGGGTTTATGGAACTGAACGGGAGCGTGAAGCGCGGGAATATAAATAGTTAGCTATGCAGTTACTCCCACACGACGGGAATTTAAGTAATTAGCTATTCAACTACTCCCACAGGGGGAAATCAAATTGTACTGTGACCAGGTTAATTAAAATGCAGTATGACTGGGGCAAACCCTCACTCTGATGTATGTATGTAGTACGACGAAGTCTCCACTGGGAATTATTTAAAGTATAGCATGACGGATTTTTCGCTTTGGGCACACCCCCCACTGGAACTCTAGAACCCGGCCTTGGCCGGGCTATACGCTAGTTTTAAAATAAATTCCCAGAGCAGAGAATTGATTAAAAAAAGTGTGCTAATTTTGACTATTTTAACGTTGAGTCATCGAATCCTAGATTAAATAATTTGTCACGAAATTTGTGACATAAAAACTTGTGTTTCTGGAAAAGGATGAAATTTGTGTTGTAAATTTATCCTACTTATAAATCGATATGTCCATATTCCGGAAGATGACGGAGGTGCGATGCAAAATATGTGCAAAGTTGACGTGCGTGTACTCAATGAATGCTTGTTAAACTTATTAATATATGTTTATCTCTCATCTTGCAGTGAGCACAGCCCCGAAGGAATTCCAGAGTTGTACGTCTACCTCGAAAATGTCCAAGAACAAGAAGAAGAAAATGAAAAAGAAGGCCAAGAAGCAGGCCGAGCTGCTGGAACAGCAGCTGCAACAGTTGAAAGAGGCGGACGAGGATGGCGGCGGGGAGGAGGAAATGACAGGCGGAGGGGATCACGAAGAGTCGTCGTGCAGTGGGGGCGGCGGCGGTGGTGATGGCGCGGAGGGTAAGGCTTGCTGTTTTTAGTGGGTGGGTGTGATTGGAAATTTAATTGGGTGTTGTATTTGTAGGAGGTCGATCTCATAACAAGAGTGGCGAAGAGGAGGAGAAGGAGAACGGTGAGAGGGGGGACGATTCGAATAATGAGGACGTCGATGACGACGAGGGACGTCCCCAGATGAGAAGAGACGGTGGTGGAGACGGGTCTGAAGGGGAGGATAAAAGCTTGGGTGAGTAAAGTAGCAAATTTCAGTGTTGCAGATGAGTTCTAGATTAGTTGGCCTTACTTAAAATCACTATAACTAGTGCATTAACTTGTACAAAATTGAAATTTTAAGCATGTTTTGGACTCCCAGATAAATTTAAACTTTAACAAAATAAAAAAATTGCTAATTTTTGGACAAGATTGTCTACGACTCATTAACAGTTTGGTTTCAAAGTGAAAAAAGTTAACATTTTTGTACTTGTTTGTACGATTTCATCTTAAATTTATCTACGAGTTGAACAATGCTTAAAAACTCAATATTGCACGAGTAGTTGGTGACTATTTCTAGTGATTTTAAAGCCAACTCATTAGCAAATTTCAATTGGATGATGTAATCAATGTTTGGCTATTGTTTTTCTTGTCCAAATAGCGGTTGAAAACAGGTCCAGTTTCAACAACTTGGCCAACGCGATGATCACCATGTCTCCGCTGAACGGGCACGACGACGTTGGTGGCGGCGGCGGCGGTGGGGTCATGCACCAGTCGAAAAGTACGGGAGAGAGCGGACTGGATGCCATGGCGGGAGGCATGATGCAGAATGAAGGTACATATTTGCCTTGAATACTTAATAATGGAGGGCAATTTTGACTACTACGTTATAATTTTTAGGAGGTGTTAGTAGTGGGAGTGGCGGTGGCAGTGGTGGTGGTGCCGCGGGGAGTTCGTCGTCTTCTTCCGCCATGCGTCGCACGACGTCATGTCCCGACTCGAAATCTATCCTTGCTCGGCCAGACCCGGTCAAGGAAATTTGTGATATTCAGATTAAAATTGCAGATCTTGGAAATGCGTGCTGGGTCGTAAGTCGTCTTCTTGGCACTCTTTATACATGCGTCACTCTGATGAATGAATGAATGATGTTGCATGTGTCCATTTTGTGTAGGATCACCATTTCACGGAGGATATTCAAACTCGTCAATACCGTTGTTTGGAAGTCTTACTGGGGGCAGAGTACGGAACTGGGGCGGATATTTGGAGCACGGCCTGCATGGTGAGGACAAAGTTATGAATGAGCTAAATGCAGTGTTACAGTCCCAAAATGTAGTGTTTTATTTCTTGCGAGTTTGCTAAATTCCTTGCACCGTCAAGAAATTCAGGGTTCAAGAAAGTGCAATAAAGTGCAAGAAACATGCTCCATATGGCACCGTATGGCGGGGCGTCGTTTCTTGCACTTGCATTTCTTGCAGGTGGAAATATTTATCCGCAGAAAACCACTTTCTTCCCGTTATATTTTCCAAGTTGTTACTTGCACCCGAAACACTGTTAAAATGTGAGCATGTTTGTTCCTCCTTAGGCATTTGAGATGGCGACGGGCGACTATTTATTCGAACCACACACGGGGGACGACTATTCCCGGGATGAGGATCACTTAGCCCACATCATCGAACTTTTAGGAGCCATTCCTCGACAAATAGCTACCAATGGGAAGTACTCCAGAGACTTTTTTAACAGAAAAGGTACTCAATCCAAATTATAAACGTAAAATCTACTCAGAAAACTAACTATGCTCTCCTATTTTTAAGGTGAACTTCGTCACATTACCCGTCTCAAACCGTGGAAGCTGAATGACGTCTTGTACGAAAAGTACGAATGGAGTGCCGCCGACGCGCACGGATTCTCCTCCTTTTTAGTCCCGATGTTAGAATTCGATCCGTCGAAACGCGCCACGGCCGCGGAATGTTTGCAACATCCTTGGCTCAACTCGTAATAGTTGCGATGAGAAACTGATAAAAATGGAAACTCACAGAAATCTTCTCTCGTCTTCTTCCTTTTCTTTTTTTTATACCGTTTTATTTAACTGTAACTTGAATTCAAAATTAATTAATTAACTAATTAACTAGTAGGTAGGTAGGTAACTATACGAGAAAAAAATACTTATTGATTGTTAATCATTAAAAACGAGCAGCCTGGGAAGAAGTCAATTAAGTCAAAATTATGAAGTATATTAAATTAAAGGTAACATGTAATAAGGAATAGTGCATAATATTTTATGAATTAACGATGCCATTCTCTATACATACATATGTAAATGAGTAGGAAACACGTGTTACGAAATTTATGTGAGTATATATCGTCTTCATTTACATATTTAATAAGATAAGTAGGGATTGTGTTTTGAATTAATTAATTGTTGCTATTTACACACACACACACACAGCCAGTCATTGAATGTAATGTAATGTATTTAATTTATAAATCCCCTGCTACCACTAATTGTTGTACTGAATTGATCATGTAAGAAAAAATTCGGATGAAAATTATTTATATTTACATACGTAAAATCTCTGCTGGAAGTTAATTAATTTATGTATCGTAATATTCTCACAGGAATGAATTTTAGGTGTGTAACTAAGAATGGAGGTCGACGAGCGGATGCTGATCAGATTTTGAGCAAATTAGTGTTAATCGATGACAAATTTGATTAGTATGAAATTTGGGAAAGCCACAATCTCCCAATGGGCACGTTTGGCCGAGATATTTGCATCCCAAGAGGAGAAAACTCGTAGAAAATTTTGAAAGTGTAAAACCTGTGAAATTTACTGCGCGTTTACTCCTCTTGGGATGCAAATATCTGGGCCAAACGTGCCAATTGGGAGATTGTGGCTTTCCCGAATTTCATACTAATTAAATTTGCGATCGATTGGCACTAATTTACTCCAAATCGGAGAGCATACGAGGGGAGACCTCCATTAATCACGGGGTGATGGTGGGTGGGTGTGGTCTTGTGTATGTACCTGTCGTTTTTTGGGAAAATTGATAACTAAAAAAATCAGAATAACGTAAAATTAACTGAAATACGTATGTACCATTGTTTAAAAAAAGATGGTCAGGAAAGAAAATCAACCTGTTTTAATTATGTCCTAATTTATTTGAAAAATTGTAAAACTAATTAAATAAAATTTACGTATGAATATGAATTTGACGAGAAGAGGGAGACGCGACTCTTTGGCCTTTCGTAGCGAAATAAACTCGAGTAGAGGAGGAAAATTCTCATATATTCTGAAAATATTGACTCAAAAACTGTAAACTACTTAAGTACGTAACGAGTAGTGAACAAACAATTTACATGTATGTAACTCGCTGATATAAGGTGTAGGTAGGCATAAGATAAGTGAATATGTGGAGGGCTTATCTAGAAATATGTATGTACATATTCCTCGTCAATATTGGCAAAGTATTTATAAAGATATGTAGTGCTGCTCGGACTATAATGCGTATATTCTTCGAGACCTTGGGAAAATCAACGTGGCGTAAATTTGCACATTTTTCTCGACATGTGCAGAAAAATGGAAAATTTCCAGCAGATTTGTCTGTTTTTTTTCTGCAAAATTTGTCTGTAGAGTAAAATGCACAGGATTTTTTTATGCAGAAAAATTGGAAATTTTCAGGAAATTACAAAATGAAAATTTGTTTCTTTAGCAAAATTTTACCAATGCAGAGACACGAGTTTTTTCCCCCGGGGGACATTTTTAGCCGAAAAATGTGCCAATTTTCGCCACGTGGATAGGCAAAACAATTACTTTGTTGTTCTTCTTCTTCCTCCTCATTGTACATTATGATGGACTGGTTATCATACTTTTTACGGTTATCTTTATCTCGATGTATGTATGTATAATTTGTAGTCTTGTCAATGTTACTTATCTCTTGCGTTATCTTGGTCCTCCTCCTCTCTCCGGCGTAGGCTAGTTTTTTAGGCCATTTTATTTCAACTTTTACTACTATTTTACTACTGCAGAACCCTTTTCCGGGGGGAGGAGCGAGTCTCGGGACAAGTCGCTGTCATTGTCCTGTTTATTTATAATGACACAAAAATATGTAAATCTGTGTAGAGGAGGGCAATTAATTAATAAGATGAAGGTGATCAAGGCTATCAAATTACTGAATAAATATGTAGGACGTAAATAATTAATATTAATATAGTTAGCTAATTAATTTTTGTAATAATGTTAACGGGCAAACTTAATGGTGGGTGGAACTTTGAAATGGTAACGTAACGTATTTCTTCACCACTAAAAACACGACGCTACGCCGATAAACTATAAGAATTTGGATGTAATAAAGTAAGAAATTTGAAAAAAAGTAGTAAGATATTTTTTGCATACTCGTAAATTTGCACGTATTCACACTTTTCACGTCTAAAAGAAGCAGAAGAACAATTTCATATTTCATTTCTCATGCAAATATCCGTAATATGAGTTATTTTTTTGCATAACATGTAACACCCAAAATTTGCACATATTCGCATTCTTAAAACGTTTTTTCATGAAAATATGTATCCTGGAAATATTGCTGAATTTAACACATTTTTTAAATCAAACCAGAAAATTGGAAACGATCGGACACAATTATCACGGTTCATTTGTTGCGTATTTATCCAAATTATGTTTAGCATCGTGATTAATTTATGTACCAATTAGTTTAATCATTAATGTCCCAGGAGCAGAATTAGAAAATTGCTATTCTTATCTCATTTTCGTCTCTTATTACTCTCAAAATTAAGATTTTAAATCTCAAATTCCCGTCTCAAAATTTCCATCCCAAAATTTCCGTCTCAAATGCAATCCATTCATGCGCGTCACTGATTCTCATATTTTTCCGTTCTCAAGTGCGGTAGGCAAAAAGTCAAACTCGACAATCACACGAATCTTGTTGACTTTGTGAAGAACTTTTTGCTCTCTCGGACGACAGATTAATTAATTAATTAGTTAGTTAGTTAATTGCTTAATCCCATGTCGAAATGGACACCCACCTCTTGGGCGACCGTGGGATGCATCTGGTTGACGGTGTAATTCGAAAATTTCGTGTCGCCAAAGTATTTCGCGAAAATACGGACCGTATAAATTCCCTGTGTTTCGCACCACAAGGCGACCTCCTGATCAGTTCTGCGGATGATGACCAGATCGTTCTTTACGACTGTGAAAAGGGAACGTAAGGAAGATAAGCGAATTTAATCATTTTACGATAACGAATCACCAAGATTGTCAAAATCAGCACATTTGGAATCATTTATCGGCTCTGGGAACTTATTTTAAAATTCTGGCCGACAAATTTGTAGTCAGTGAGTTGATTAATGGAATGGTGGTGAGGTTTTTGAGCTAGTTTCGATAAGTCCCAATTTTCCTGAAGGCTTCTTAACCTTGAGATCTCATCCTTCAAAAAGTGTCAAAATCTGGAGTGTACATTTTTAAAAAATTGGGAACAACAAGCTCTACAAATTTGTCGTCCAGAATTTTAAAATAAGTTCCCAGAGGCGAGCGAGAAATTATTAAAATGTGCTGGTTTTGACAATTTTGGCGATAAGTCACGTAATTAATGTGTAATTAATTATCAATTTCTCACAGACAACGACGTGTCCTCAACTCGAAAAAGTATGGCGTCGACCTGATCCACTTTACTCACGCGAAGAACACGGCGATCCATTCTTCCACCAAGGTTGACGACACGATCCGCTACTTGTCCCTGCACGATAACAAATATCTCCGCTATTTTCCCGGACACACGAAGAAGGTGACGACGTTGTGCATGTCGCCGATGGACGACACCTTCCTCAGTGGGTCGCTGGACAAGACGTTGCGCTTGTGGGATTTACGGTCGCCAAATTGCATCGGTTTGATGCCCCTGCTCGGCATCCCGGTGGCCGGCTTTGACCCGGAAGGACTCATCTTTGCGGCCGGAGTTAACAATGAAAGTATCAAGTTGTATGATTTGCGGTCTTTCGAAAAGGTGAGCAATTTGTTAAATTGGTTATCGAAGTGAATTACTAATAACGACTCAATTCACTCAGGCTTTGGTAACATTGTAAAACCCGTAAGCTTACAAACTTTACAAAATTGTTCACGTAAAAAATTAGGTTAAACATTTTTGAAAACTTACTCAGATCAAGGGCGTCCCTTTATTTCGGAAAAGTTTGTCAAATTATGCTGACACACTGATTTTACAAAGTTACCAATGCAATGACTGCGTGAACTACCTCAATAATTAACAACTCCATCAAAATATTTATCAAATACTTAAGTATTTATGATTTAAAAATGTAACACTTGGATTTCTTGGTGAAATTGGATTGTTTAAATGCAATTATTATATTTTTTTATGGCCAAATTTTTTTGGGGAGATAATTTTATAGTATAAAATCCTTGAAATATTGACAAACTTCGTGTATTTTTGAAAAATATAGATACCAGAATGGAATAGTTTTACATACTTGCAACAAATAGCTGAAACATTTACAAAATTATAGCAAGAAATATTGAAAAATTGACATTTTAGTTAATTAAACACCCTTGAAAGTTGTGTGTCATTACAAATATGTAAAAATATGATGGTAATTTGTCTCCTTTTACTTTTAGGGGCCGTTTTCCACCTTTAAATTCGCCTACGACAACGAGAACGAGTGGGCGTCCCTGAAGTTCTCGCCGGACGGGAAGACCATCATGATTTCCACGCACGGCCCCATCATTCGTCTCGTCGATGCTTTTCACGGCCTCCCCCTCCAAACATTCTCGGGCTTCAATAGCAGCAAAACTGCCACGATTGAAGCCTCGTTCAGCCCTGACTCACAATTCGTCCTGTCCGGAAGTATGGATGGGGCCATTCACGTCTGGAGTACGGAACATGGACGAAAGGTGGATAGAATAAATAATTATGGATTGTTCAGAATTAATACATGATCGGCCACCACGCAATGTTTAGGCGTAATCTGTTGATGTGTTAAATTCTGGAGAATCATGACTCAAAACTTTAGAATGAAGGTCTCCAAGCGTATGCTCACCGATTTTGACAAGATTAGAGTCGATCGGTTACAAATTTGATTAGTATGAAATTTGCGAAAGACACGATCTCCCAATGGGCACGTTTGGCAGAGATATTTGCATCTGAAGAGGAAAAAACGCCCAGTAAATTTGAAGATGTAAAATTTGTCGACTTTAATGTGCGTTGTCCCCACTTTGGATGCAAATATCTTTGCCAAACGTGCCCATTGGGAGATCGTGTCTTTTACAAATTTCGTACTAATTAACTTTGTAATGGATCGACACTAATTTGCTTAAAATGGAGAGCATACCACCATTTTATCAGTTACATTTGGCCGATCGTCTAGTAATTCATACATTTCAAAATTTTGACCAAAACTTGACTATGCTTTCCTTTTCCACGTGTCATTTTTAGGTGGCCGTGCTGACCGGGGACCACACTGGACCCGTTCACTGTGTCCAATTTAATCCGAAATATATGATGATGGCGACCGGGTGTACAAATATGGTGAGTTCACAGCACAATTATGCAAATCCATCTCATCAACTATATTTAACTATGCACCGCCATCAATTAACACTTGATACGATTTCTTTCTTGCAGTCATTTTGGCTCCCGGCAATTGAAGAGTGAAATCATTTACGTTTTCCACATCCGGTTATGTACCAAAACAAACCTTACCAAATACTCTCCAAACAAAATCCCACCTCATTTTTATACATTGTTAACGTTATTTACATATTATTTATCTATGACATATATTTATTAATTGACATGTGGCATGACATTAAATTGACAAATATTTAGCCTATTAGCTACTTTTCGAGTAGACAGACTGCCGTTTATAACAAGTCTAAAAAAATACGGTGAACTGTAGTAAAAAACCAAATCCAGAATAAAATATGTTTTAGAAAAGGCAACCAAATCATCTTTTTCAATTCATACTTTACTCCATTTGCAGGATTTTTGGACAGTGTTTCGTTTCTTGCGGGTTGCCATACATTTCTTGCACTGGGAAATAACATACCTGTTCGAAAACACTTTTTCACTCAAATTTCAGTCATCCTGATTTCGAACCGAAGATTTTCATTCACATTCAGTCATTTTCGCTCAAGTTCATTTCATTTCAATTCATCTGACTTCATTCTTACTTCGCCTCATGTATTAAGCATAGGGTGAAAAATGAAATGTGTGAGAAATCTTTCATTCACAGTCATTCATCTGAAATGACGGAATCTTTCACTCATTTTTATTCAAATGACAGGAAATTCATTTTCATTCATTATCATTCTCTATCATAATCAGTTACATGAATGAAAGTGAACAGGTTTGGGAAACAAGGAAATGCGAGGTGCAAAAAACTGCAACAAATATGCACCATCCAGCCACGCGCCCTACGAAGTATTGCAGATTGACGTAGTTTCTTGCACCCTGGATTTCTCCCAGGTCAAAATTAACCACTTTCTCCCCCTTATTTCTCCCAAGAGGTTACTATTGCACCCGAAACATACATATTTATATTTCTGCAGTCATCCAAATAACAATTGGTCTTCTTCTCGGCTGCGTAAGTAAAATTCTTGGGAGTCAAGCCGGACAAAAAAATGTTGGTGAAAAGTTGTGTCGTGCGTCTAACAAGCCGTCCAATTACGTAATGTGACGATTCGTCACCAATATAACGCGTAGGCGAATGAACTCGTCTCGAATTTTGTGTAGGTCTGGTTTTTTCTTATTATCCAGGTCATCGGATAACTCTAGTTGTTAAGTGCTCATGCAAAGCAAAGTGGCCGAAATATTGAGGGGATAATTGACCAAGTTATTTTCTCACGGTTCGGGTTAGTAATAGCCTTATTACTTAACATATTTATGCAAATATGTATACTTGTTGCGTCTTGGTACGAAAATACGTATGTATTTGCTTGCACGGCATAACGTCATTGATCCGCATCCAATCCATTTCACGCCAGGGTTCGTAAATCATTGTCGGGGGTTCGGTTTTGTGCAACAAATCGTCATGCATGCGGGTTTTAACACAGAATTCATACCGAGTGGTGCACGTGCAGCGTCTCGTTTTGGGGTCCAAACGAATTTTTTGTCAGTCTTTGCACATATTTGGAACTAGTCTCTCCTTAATTTGGAGCATTTTGATGTGCGTGTAATACCATGAAATTTGGAAAAACTTTTGTTTTAGCATGTTTTCTTACAAGGGAACATACCGAGGTGTCCAACGAGTTAAGGGTCGACACCTATACCAAAATGACCACAATACATGACTTATTAAACAAACTAAAGGAATTTCCGTGTAAAATTCACTTTTCGTCACGTTGTGACGATATTTGTGACGAGCGCATGACCATCGGGTTGCCAGAGAGGGAGAGGTCAGCCGCTGAACGATCAGGTCGACCACAGAGAAGCGTCGTCGTCTTCAGAGATTTCAAATTTCAAATAACTTACACATTTCCAATTTTTTCAAAATTTCATAATTGTTTCAAAATTTCAAAATTTCGAAACTTTTTAAAAATTTCAATTTTTTTAGAAATTTCGAAATTTCATCAAAATTTCAAAAAGTTTTTCAAAATTTCAAAATATTTTCAAAATATCTTCAAACTTAAAAAATGTTTTCAAAATTAAAAAAATGTTTTCAAAATTTCTTAAAAATTTCAAAATTGTTTCAAAATTTGCAAAAATTTGAAATCTCTGAAGACGACGCTTCTCTGTGGTCGACCTGATCGTTCAGCGGCCGACCTCTCCCTCTCTGGCAACCCGATCGTCATGCGCTCGTCACAAATATCGTCACAACTTGACGAAAAGTGAATTTTACACGGAAATTCCTTCAGTTTGTTTAATAAGTCATGTACTGTGGTCATTTTGGTATAGGTGTCGACCCTTAACTCGTTGGACACCTCGGTATGTTCCCTTGTTAGTTGAGAATTTGAGAAATGTTCTAAATCTTGCTGTATTACAGACAAAAAAATCTCAAAATTAGTGGGAGATTGCATAAATATGCGTCAAGAGATTATCGAAACATGCAATACTTGTAATATTCCGCCCCATTTACTATTTTGATTTCCAAAATTGGTTAAAACCGTTTTTTTCACAGTGGTTAAAACCATTCGAAGTGGATTTTTGTATTCACAGATTTTTTTTTGAAAATTTCTTTAACCATATATGATTTCATTTTAACAGCTAGCATATTTCTCACCTATGCATTTGCAGATTAATACATACATAAATGTACCCTGATTTCCACATGTAACGCAAACCAACACAATCTTAATGCAATCAAAATTTCCTGAAAACCCGGGATATGTTCCCGAAACCCTGCGTGTATTTATTAGCCTTGTTATTAGAGGAATGAGAAAGGGAAAGTCTGGAGGGGAGAAAGTTGTGGAAAAAGTTGTCCTCCTCCTCAACTCAGTCGCTCACCTTCTACCTCCTTATTTCCACTAATTGACAAGTTTTCACTTTCCAACTCCTTCAAACAGCCATGCTCATTGCCCAGAGTGACTGACTGACTGGTTGGCAAGGCAAGGCGAGGTCATCACCTTTGACATCACGGCATCTCAGATTTATTCGTGTCAAAGGAGGAGGAGGAGAAAGTCAATCATCTTACTTATTCCTTTCATCTCTTCACGCGATAACTTTCTCTCATAGGTAATTAGGCATTTCGAACTAAATGAAGGTGACGTCCTTCGCCACGAGAAGTGGCCGTGGAAGCCATAGGTAGGGACATCTGGGGACTTTAATATGGTAGGATAGGGGAGAGACGGGTTTGTATAAGATGGGGAGATGATGCGGACATCGAATAACCGTGGGGACATGGCACAACCCTTCCGCGGCCAGTGACGACGAGGACGAAGTGGGATATCAAATCTGTCACAAGAGGTCAAATCAACTCGGTCTTTCACCACCACGCCGAGGAAGAATTGCATAAGGAAATCGGTGCAGTGTTTCGGGTCAGGTAACTACTTGCAAGAAATGGAAAATTGCAGGTATTTCGGTCGGCAAGAAATGCAAAGCGCGAGAAATTACGACCCCCGCCGGGGTAAATACGGCATACGACGCGTGGCTGGATGGCGCTTATTTCTTGTAAATACTTTTCCTTTCCACTGCAAGAAATGTAGCAAACCTGCAAGAAACGAAACACAGAAATGTGTCAAATCAGGGAAAATACATACTCATGAAATTCTCCAATAAAAAGAAGTATCCTACAACCTGTACCGTTATCAAGTTTAGAACTGCTACTGATGTACCTCCCCATGAGGGCAAGACCTGTGCGTACATCTGTATCACGGTGTCGTATATTTACGTCTACCCAGTTCCCCTCCCTCCCCATGGACGAAGCAAATAAATATGAGTACGAACGGAGAGAGAGAAGAGAAAGCGAGAGAGAGAGAGTGAGCACCTCTTAAAAATTCCGTGTGAACTTATCTCCGAGTGAAAGTAAATGGATTCGCTCCTCGCATCTCGGTTAATCGAATGATGAGTTCCTCCTCCTCCTCCCCCTGCTGCAGCTACTGCCCCCTCTCCATCAAGTAGCCCATGACTCATTCATAAATCGGCCTACCGTCAATAATCCATGATCGCTACAATCACATGACAGAGCCAACCATAATTTATTTATCGCACTGACCAATCAACTAACTAACCACCACCGCCACCAGAATGTCGATATGAGAGCCACTCCTTCCTTCTGAGGGCAATGGGGCCCGAAGTTGGGGGGGACATTAGGATTTTGGGATTGGAGGAGGAGGGCCTTATGGTTTTATTTATTAAACTCTTCCCCGGCAAAGTCCATAGAGTTACATTTTCTGAAAATGGTAATATTGAAGGAGGGCCTTATTAACGGGAAAGACACGATCTTGCTGAATTTCTGGGGGGGGGGGGGTGGGGCAATGTCCCCCTGCTTCCACCGCCAAGGGAATCCATACGATTCACGACAGGCAATTTCATGATAAATCTAGGAAATTTGTCCAAGTATAATGTAAGTTTTACAAAATGTATACAACTTTTTGGTGGGGAAAAGGTTCAGATTTTTTGTTTTTAATTTTTGCCTCGACGTTTTTACTTCACCAATGTCCGAGAGGGGAGGAAAAGGTCATGGTTTGTCCGTACAGCATGGTCAGCCCTTCTTCCTAAGATAGCGTGATGGCCTGGACTGGACGTGGCTGCACGTCCTTCTGCACAAGGCGTCATCATCGTCATCATCATCATACCACCATCTGTCCATCGACATCCACCCACCCACTCGCCACCGACCAGAAGCACTCGCTATTTATTCCCACCCTGGAGAAAGTAGAAAGTAGAAGGTAGAGAAAGAGTGAGACAGCGCGTCCCCGTTTGGGTAGCAGGGCCGCTATAAATATTCCGTCGCCTGCCTGCCACAGGAACAGTGTGCTCTCACCAAGGACCCCACCTCCACCTCCGCCGCCACTGGAGAGAGCCTGACCAAAAAATAGAAGAGTCACAGCAACCACACCCACACTACGGAGAAGCAGAGACCTTCATTAAGTAAGTCAAAACACATCCATCTTGTCAACTATTAAACAAGGATAACTTTTTGCATTCACATATTCAGTCAATTTACTTTCTCTCTCTTTCCTTATTTAATAGCTCAGGAGAGGAGAAAGTATTCAGTTGGTACTGCGACCCTTCCGGAGAGAGGACATGTGTCCCACGATAAAGTCGTTCTTGGTCGACCGGATGTGAAGAACACAGAAGAACAAGGGACAAGACTAAGGGACAGTACTTCGCCTCCACCCTCCTCCTCCTCCCACCACCCACCCAAAGTCACCATCAGGAAGTAACAAGGTAAGCAGAACCATAAAATTTGTAGGTTTCATTTCATCACGAGCAAAATGAAGTAGAAAAATGCAGAGATTTTCTCATATTCGTCTCACATTTCCCCGTCTCGTGTATGCATCGCATCGACCCCCTGGTCACTCATCCATTCATCGCCACACATGACAACTTTTCACCAAAACATTCTTGTTGTTCCTCCTCCCACGCAGAAAAAGATGAAACGAGTTAATTTTAGACTACAAAAAAAAGAGGAGGAAATGGTGACAAGTGTGGTCTCATTATTGCGTAAAATACTCATGTATCATCATTCTCATCCACTTGGGGTAAAAGTGAGACAATCCTTCCTATTTCTGTTCACTCACACACACACTCCACTCAAAAGCATATTTTCTCCACACACACACTCTCTTCCTGGGTCTTCAATTATGACCCGAATTTCAGGAAACTTCTTTCTTTCCCCCCGCACTTTGCCCGATGAGATGGGATGAGAGATCAAAAGTGGGCCTCTGGGTCCAACTTTGTCACACTTTCAGCCACAATAACAATACTACATGGGTACTCGTGCACCATAAAAATGTGGAATATGGATCCACCCACCATGCACCATCATCGCCACGTAGGCAATAATAATTTAAATGTAATTCCATTCAGGAATGAAATTCATATGAGAGACAGACACGAAACAGGCTCAACTTTCCCCATCAGACAACTTTACTTTCTCCTTCACGAGTGAGAGCCTGGAGGACTTTGTCCCCCGTGTTGTCTTTCTCTCAGTAATTGGCGAGTCGTGATGATGTTCTTCTTCTACATGGGCAGCAACCTGTGTGGGGAGGATTATTATAATTAGAACAATAACTATTATATCCTCGCCTAATTGTTATGTTGTGCTGGGAAGAGGAGGAAGAAGGAGAGACTTTGCAAATATTTATTTACGTGCGGAGGTCGGAAACAGTGGGACATGGTAGAGATGCACAGGAGGTTTACTTACTTGTAGATTTTAGAGGTGGGCAAAATCCTATGTTCTTAAGTATTTTGAGCTCGGTTATTCCCAGGGTTTGCATTTTCGGGGGTGTGACACCCACAAAAAGACGAGAATATACGTTGAGAAGGCAGAAATCAGTCAAAAATACGAGTTTTTGTGAATAAATTAGCTTTTTATCCCAGGAAAAATGCTTTATTTAAAAAAAAAATCGTGGAAAAAATGTAGTTTGACAGCGATAAGAAGTTAATTTCTTTATAAAACCTGCGTTTTCGCGTGACTGTTGCCTTCTCGACGTAAGTTTTCATTTTTTTGGGTGTAACACCTCTGGAAATGCAAACCCTGAGAGAAACATGGGTCAAAATAGGGTACATTTTGACAAAGTATTTCGCCCAGCCCTAGACTAAGGATGTACAGGTAGAGAAAGTCGTACTTGTAGTAGTGCAGGGGGCATTTTGTCACTTGTTACGAGCATAAGGCCAATGTTACCATGAATATCAAAGTTGCATCCCATCCTCCTCCTCCTCCTTATCCAAGTCTCAGCAAGCAGCGGAATCTTACATCATTATCTTAACAGTAACTACATAAATATGTGGTCGTTGCAAGTTACATGTGTAGCTCTACGTTTCCTCCTACGTTTATACATAATAGAAACGTGTAATAAGCCATTTAATAGTGCAGATTAGTGGGTCTTACATACCTCCCACTTTGTTATTGCGATTAGTATTCATTCACACATTAATCCAACTTATTAAAACACCTCCGTGGTCTGATAATATGTCCATTCTCGACCCAGAGTTGCACCTCACATTGCAAAAATAGTAACAATGAGGGTTGTTCCCTCCAGGTTTTTTTTTGCAAAATTCCACACATTTACTACCTACAAACACTTTTATTTAGTTCAAACCTCGGCAAAATGAAGGGTTTTTGTAACTTTAAAATAAAAAAAAACATTCCCTTTTCCCCAGCGGAATCATGCATTATGCAGATTTGAGAATCATGAATCCATCGATTAAGCTTTTGAAAAGTGTGCAGATTTTTATTTTTTATTTTAAACTTACAAAAATCCGTTGTTTTCCCGTACTGGGCCGAGTTTTGAACTAAACAAGTCACCTTTATTTAGTAGAATTATTCAGTTTTGCAAAAAAAATCTGCAAAACCCAAGCCTACAAACTTGCGAATTTCTCTGGTAGAAAATGTTCACATTTATGGGATGAGCTACATGAATTTTACGGTACTCAAAAGTTCCTTTGGCATCACAATAAAACATTACATGATTTTCACCCAGTTTGACCTATGGCAAAAAAAATAAAGACAAAATGGTCAAAATAATAATAAATATCCAATAAAAATATAATTCCCAAACTTTCACTTTTTCTCATCTCCCATCAAAAAAAATAGTGACTCTTCCCCCGTCAGAAGATCCACGTCAAACTTAAAACTCGACACTTGGGAAATCCCCAACGTTCCCACCCACGTACGAAAAAAATAAAAAATAAAATAACGAAAGCTTTCACTCAAATTTGTGGGTTGCTTTAAAAAAAAGAAAAAAACCTGGAGAATTGTACTCCTCAATAAAAACGTGCCCTCCTTTAAACGTGCCATCCATCAAATCTCAACCCGCACCAAATTTTATACGTTTCCCTTTGAACATTTCCGAGAAGAAGAAACCTTGAGCCAGAAATTGTACCCGTGATTAAACGATGATGGATTAGCTCCACTCGATTTAATCCGTGATATTTAAGAAAGTAGCCGTTTTAGAAAATCTTGTCTAATTTCCAATCATCTTAAATACATTTCCACATGACGAACCACAGACCGAACCCTCATCATAATCATGGCTCAAATCAAATCAGGAACATATAGATACAAAGTTTCCGAACCCGTATGGAAGTTTTACGGGGGCAAAGTGCGACAAGATGATGATCAAAGCAGGAAGAATTCTTACCTTTTGAGGTAAAACGAGACAGACGATGTATATATATGTACGTACGAGATCATAAAATAAGCTCGTCACTCGTGTCTGATTTTTTTTTATTGACTTTGAAGGTAAAAAAACTGAGAGTGGCTTTTTCTCCGCCGAGCAAAGAAGCGAATCATGTGGGATAATCGGGCCGAAATGGTTACTCAAATTGACAAAGAATTGTAGGTTGACAAACATGACTCCATTTCCGGATGGATATGTACACCCCACTTCCGTACACGATCAGAGTTTGTGCAATGATCACGGCATGAAAACTAATTTCTGAACGACACATTTGTAGACAGTGAGTAGATTAATGGAATATGTAGCGTTGAGTTTTTGAAGCTAGTTTCGACGAGTTCCAATTTTTCTGAAGGCTTCCTAAACTTGAGATCTCCTCCGCCAAAATGGGTCAAAATCTGGAGTGTTTATTTTTAAAAATTGGAAACTGCCCTGTTCTACAAATTTGTCCTCCAGAATTTTAAAATAAGTTCCCAGACTGGAGAAATGATTAAAAGTAGAAGGATTTTGACGATTTTGGTGATGACTTCAAGTCTTATGTTACATTCCTCGATGCCACATGTACAACTCTGCTCACTCACGGACCACAAAAGTGGTCTTTTTGTTCGCCCTGATTCCTCCAAGCATACAGATTTAGTTTTATTTTGAGGTGAAATCGATCTCAGACAAAGCAACCAATTTACTACCACGTTTGATTCGAAGACAACTTTTTATCTCGTTTTATGATGACTTTCACTCTCGGGTGGCTGAGTTGTGGGGAAATAAAAACTATGTACATACGTACGTAGACTCCAGTCTCAAGTCAGTCATAAAAAATCAACAGGTTTTCCATTTCCGTCGGCCACTTTAAACTTTTTGTGAATCTGCGACTTCTTTTTTTCCCCACTTGAAGGAAAAACATGACTCAGAAAAATCTGGCTGACATAATCGTCGCTAACAGTGGCCGCGGAAGGGTGAGGGGACAAATGGGGGGGCAATTTCCCCACGGTTGTTGGGTGTCGCTATCATATGTCCATCTTATATAAACCCCTCCCTTCCCTATCCTACAATTTTAATGTCCCCCGATGTCCCCACGGCTTCCGCGGCCACTGAGGAAACATATGCAAAGGGGGAGGATGCACAGTGCCGCGGAAGGGTGAGGACAGAGGGACAATGTCCCCAAGGTTGATCGGTGTCCCCATATCTGCCCATCTTATGTACGTAAACCCGTCCCTCCCCTAGTCTAAAATGTTAGTGTCCCCCCGATGTCCCCACGGCTTCCGCAGCCCCTGCATCGTCCTGATCTCAGGTAATTATGTAAGTCGGGCTGAGTAAGTGGTGTGTCTCCTTGAGGATCCGCTCTGCTGGGCCGGCCACCGGACCGACGGAGCGGAAGGAGGCTAAAAAGCCGACTAAAAGCTGCATTAACAAGAATCATCATGAAATTAAAAAAGGAGTCATTTTTCTCCTCTAGAGTCTCTTGGGACCGGACAGTAGTGCGTCGTGGGTCGTCGTTGGTCGTCATTAAATAAGACGGCGTTCTCTGCTAAATACGTCCCACGTTTAATTAAATGTTCCACATTATTCGGGGACCCTATTCAAAATACGTCATCTTCTGCAGTGTTTCGTTTCTTGCGGGGGTTTGCTAATTTTTTGCAGTGCAAAGAAAGAAATGCGAGGTGCAAGAAAGTGGGAGAAATGTGCAAGAAATGTGCGCCATCCAGCCACGCATGTATTAACAGCGACGTGGTGTCGTTGCATTTCTCCCAGGTCGAAATATTTACCTGCAAAAAACCACTTTCTCCCCGTTATTTCTTGCACCCGAAACCCTGGTATTTCGGTCTCTGCTTGTGCACAACAATAGAATGGACATCAATATATAGAAGAGGCCACCACAATGGGAGGGAGGACAATTGACTGGCTAATCTCCTTCTTCTTCTTTAGAGAACGGCACCATAATTACTAAATTGAGCTCGTGAAGAATGACGCATTATTTTGTTAGGAATGAAGATGATCTCTTTCTGCCCCATTTCACTCTCTTGCCTTTCCTCCCCAGAGGAATGGATGGGGGCGAAAAAGAAAGACTTATCTATTCTCACCATCACCCTGCTTATCATCTCAAAATCTTGTCCAAATAATTAGACTTGTCGCTTTCTGCCCACTCAAATTCTGTTTCGTTTCCTTCCCCAGGGGAAAAAGGGTGGGTGACACTCCTGATCCATTTTCACTATCACCGTGATTATCATCTCGACCTATGTAATCTTGCCAAATAATTAGCCTTATGAAAGGGTGACACACTCCTTATCTATTGTGATCATCAGCGTGCTTATCATCTCCTCCAAATCAAAGTAATCTTGTCAAATAATTAGCCTTGTTATCTTCACCTCCTCAATTTTGCATGGAACGAAACAACGTAACGAAAGGAAGAGGAAAACAATCGAGTGAATAACTGGAACAGTGAATAAGTACATAATCCATCTCTATCTGCCCCCTCAATTTCGCTTTCCTTCCTTTCCCCAGAGGGAAAAGGGTGGCTGACACTCCTTACTTATCTATTCATTCTCACCATCACTGTGCTTATCATCTCCTCCAAATCAATGCAATCTTGCCGAATAATTAGCCTTGTTATCTTCTTAATTTTGCATTCAACATAAGAAGAGGGGAACTAGGGAGGAAAACAATCGAGTCAATAAATGGGGCCATGAATACGTAATCCATCACGAACCAGAGAGAAAGCAGACACGCGGAGAAATCAGATTCTCAGAATTGTCTCGTTCAAAATCCTAGATTTTCTTCTGTCCCCGTGATGAAAAATCTCGCCTTGCCTCCCTCCCCGTCCCCCAGCTCATTTTCTTGTCCTCCTTCTTCTCCTTCCTCATTTACATATCTTAAATAGGCAACCAACAAGCAGTGATCGGGGCGAGGAGGAGGAGGAAATTGAAATTTGCATAAATAAGAAATGGGGTCTGGTCTCACAGCTCATTTCATTTCTGGTATTTACATGCTGCTGCTGCTGCTGTCAAGGGTGTCCTGTAATTAATATGGAGGTGGGCACCCCATCCGGTAACCTATAAGCCCACCTCCAGTACCACCACCAACAAGTGGCCTGTCTGAAATTGGCGTGGGTTTTGGCGCAGCTACGTGACGTGACGTTGAGTCACTCTCTCATCCCCCGTGATGGACGGCTTCCTCCGGCTCTTCTCTTCTCTTATCTGGCCGTGGCGTGGTCCGTCCACCAAAAAAAACAGTGGCCGCGGAAGGTATGTGAGGACAGAGGGACAATGTCCCCACGGTTGTTCGATGTCCGCATCATCTGCCCACCTTATATAAATCCTGCACTCCCTAATTCTAAAATGTTAATGTACCCACATGTCCCCCCGGCTTCCGCGTTAAAGATACATGTGTAAAGGGAGGATGTACAGTGGCCGCGGAAGCGTGGGACAATATCCTTACGTTTGTTCGATGTCCGCATCATTCCCCCATCTTATATAAACCTCTCATCCCCTATTATTCGACAATGTTAATGTCCCCACGGCTTAGTTTCCGCGGCCACTGCATCTCTCACTAAAACCACTAAAAATACTTACGTTCCACTCTGTGACGGTCTTCGCCTGGGGGGAAGGCAGGCAGAATTACGAGAAATCATTCAATTTCCTCCTCCGCAAGAAGAAGTAGAAGATGACGACACAGGGGAAATGAATAAAACATGGATGGGGCTCGATAAATATATCTATTTTCTTGAGAATCGTCACTTCTTCAGTCAGAGGTCACCTCCTCTCTCTTGGGGTATTTATAAACCATCGGGTGACGATGAGGATAATCCCCCCTTGCCAATCATCATAATCCAGGCTGAATTTAAATCAGAAGAGTTGAAGTGAAACATTGACGTGGTTCCCGTTTAGTAGCCTGAGGTGGAAGTGGAAATATAAACCTTGTCTCAACTTCCCCGTCAACTTGGCAGAGAGACAGAGAGGACGGGGGGCAGAATGAGACTGGATATACTTTCTCCCTCTCCTTCCCAATCTTAATTAGCACCCTTCCTGGCTCGCTAATGATGTGGTCTGGCCGTGTCAGTCTGTCCGTGCTAATTCCTACGACTAGTGTCTCATCAAATGCAAGATGTTCAATGAATGAAATGTTTGTTAGCATATATAGCATCTTCCTCATTGTGGATGCAGTCTTCTTGGGAGTTAAGCTGTCTAATTGAATCAAACTGTAAGCACCTGAAACCCCACTTTCACTCGTACGACTTATAGTCGCCCCAAGTTTGCCTTCTTACCTCGTGACGTGACCTGGCGTTCCATTCTGACCACGATTTAATTTCAGCAAACTTATGACTGCATGACACTCAAAATCGTGAAAGGTCAACTTTCTCCGCAGAAACTGTGTTGTTTTTTTTCTGGAAAAATGAAGTGTACTTATGTATACATGTACCACGTGGATGTGAACATGTACTTAATATCGTACTTATACATTTATTTAATTGGCAATTAGTTAGGAAGTATGTACGAGAATTGACGTGATGATAAGAACGTGTTTACTACTTTCTACTTCCGTTCTCCCTTGGGTCATTTCCATGTCAAAGTGAGTGACTGACAGGTGTCAGTCACTCACATATTCACTATGTCCATCCATCCACTCATTACTTCCTGAAAGTATGATGAGATGCAAATAATTTTCAGAAAAAAAGACCCGGACTTAATGTAATCAGACCTCTCGTTTTCCACTGGTTTCTCAATATTCTAGGATGACACATACATAATAAGTGGCCTTGACACAGAAGAAGAAGGCGCAACAGGAATTATCTAAGCAGTGTTTCGTTAATAGGGTCGAAACCTACTTTTGGTCCGTCCTTACTTTACGTCCAAAAGCGTACAAAAACTGCGCAAAATAATATTTCAAAAGTGTCCAACATTGAAAAATGAGGCAAAATGATTAATATTTACAACTTCTTTCTTAACGACTTTTTTGCAAATCTATGCGCAGATATGTGATCCACCATCAATTTTGAGCGAGTGTATGCAAGGTTGCAAATTTTGGAAAAACTTTTGTTTTCATGTTTTTTATGAGAAATTAACCATTTTTCTAAATCATGTGGTATTTATTACAAAGCAAAATGCTCAGAATTAGTGGGAGATTACACAAAAATATGTCAATGAATTCGAAAATAAAGAACTTGTAGCATTTACCCCATTTTTGACACTTTTGAACATTTTGAACGTCCAAAATTCTGTATTCTGAACCGGTTTTGTGTCGTTATAAAAATCAGAGGGGAACCCTGTACTTAATTCCTGGCAGGAAATCACGTCGACTGAATAATCATCATGTTTCCGAGAAATTTAGTTCTGATTTGTTCCTGTTTTTGTTGGAGTTGCAGATCACGTAGAAAAGTTGGGATCCAATCAGAAGCCAAAGTCCGAAGCCCTCGAGACGTTTGTGATGTCGGAGCCACGTCAAGCGCAGCATTTGACCTCGTCCCTCATCGCGTCCGCCCTGCTCGCCCTCCTCCTCGCGGCCTACTCGCCCCCCACCGTCGCAGCCAACACCTTCCCCCTCATGCTCAACAACCACGTGGTCCGCGACGTCGACGACTACGACGCCGCGTCCCTCCCAAACAACAATGTCATTAATTGTGAGTTACATATTAGTGGACATATGTAAGTAAGTAAAAGAAAGGTCCTTAATATGAACTTGTATTTTTTGCAGATGAGCTCCCATTTTTGAGACAAGTGCGACGCCTGGGGTCCGAGTTTCTTGGGAAAAGGTGAGCAAAAACAGTTACCTGTCACGAAATAAAGAGCGTTTCGGGTGCAAGACCACCACGTGGAATAAATAAGGGGGAGAAAGTGGTTTTTTTGCAGAGAATTATTTTGACCTGGGAGAAATGCACGGCGCAAGAAATGATGCCACGCAGTTGTATGGCGCGTGGCGCAGTATTTTTTGCACTTTCTTGCACCTCGCATTTTTTTGAAGTGCGAAAAATGTAGCAAAACCTGCAAAAAATGAAACACTGGAAATAAATGATTTACATACATGCAAAAATTAAAATAATTTGCATATCTAGGTCGTCCCCTCCTTCGTTGGAGGAGGAGACCGCGGGCGACGTTTGGGAGCCACCTTCCTCCTCCTGGCCGGATTCGGACGGTATTTTCACCTCCTCCCTCTCGAAACGGGCGAGGATGCGGATGGGGTCCGAGTTTCTGGGGAAGCGACGCCTGGGGTCGGAATTTCTGGGGAAACGGAAACGTGGCGCGTTGGGGTCCGAATTTTTAGGGAAGCGGTCACCAGCCTCCTTCCTCCTCCGCCCGTCGCCCGACTTCTCCTGGAAAAGGGCTCGGCTAGGGTCAGAGTTCCTCGGGAAGAGACAACCGTCCCCTCCTCACAGCCTCCTCCCAACCACCAACGACTTTTAATAATCTAGATGATAACCACCCAGTCCTTATCCTTATCATGCCGCAGTATTTTTGTCTAAACATTCACCTCACACTTTTACCTTCTTTTTGCCCTCATAAACTCTTAGAAAACTGGGGTTAAATCATTACTGACCGGAGTAAATTTACGACTCTAAGGGACACTACTTATTCCTAATGTTGTGACAATGGAAAACTATTACCAATCCGGTAGAAAATTACTACCAAATCAATCCCAGTACGGAGTACTTAATATCTGACTCTACCAGTGTATTATTTTCCAGAAGTATGTACCTTTCCCCAAAAATATGTACTTATTTAGATGTGTCCTTATACCTTACCTCCACGAACTACTGGAACAATGCAATGATACATACATGAATAGTATTTAGCAATATGTAGTAGAGCCATGCGGTATTTTTTAGCGTCACGTGGGAAATAATTTCATCCATAAGTAAGTCCTCCTACTAAATAAATAGCAGTCTATCTCTATCTCTTTCTCTCTCTCTCTCGATGTATCTTTATCTCCTAATAAATGTGCTTTCCCCGTACATATTTATGTATCTACTTCTCTGTAATTTAGTGTAAAATTTGACTCTAAAAAATCCATCACTTTTAATGACTCACTTATAAAATTAGATTATGTCAACCTTTCACCCTCGTGACATTATCATCACATGCTTATTTTTGTAGTTATATGTATCTATCTACGTATTTAGTACGTGGCCAATCTTGGCGAAAATGTCACACTGTAATTATACTTAGCTGTATTTATGTAGTCAAAGTGGGTTAATTATTCGTCACTTATTTACTCATTTACATATGTATTTATGACCCCATAATATTGATCTTACTCTTCCGAAAATATAGGGGTAAATTTCCAACTTTTTTTTGGACGGTGTCCTTCTCCTGTGCAGTTTGTGCTTCTATAAAAAAACACTTTGTAAAAAAATGTAGCGCATATGTAAATGTAGCGCAGAGTAGGGATGCCTATGAAAAAGTAGTGAGTAGTGAGAATATCATGGTGTAATTTATTTTATGTGGTTATTTAAATACTTATCCATTTCCTGTTAGTCTATATGTATGTATAGCGTCTCCTCACTGTTGTATGTACTAACTACTAAAATATGTGTGTACACTACCCCTGGCAAAAGTTAATTAGTGTGACTAATTATATGTATTACTTGTGAAATAATAATTATAACCATCAAGTCAAAAATATTAAATTACATGGAAATACTTGTTTTTAAAAATGAGCGATAATTTTCTTGATCATTGAATATCTAGAAGGAACGAGTGGGAGTGGGTGGATAGTGAATACTATGCAAGGTGCACGTTTCATGGGGAAATTATGTAAATTTTGCGTACTGAGGGTTAAGGAAAGATTGGGGGACATTTTGAGACAATGATGAAAATTTCAAAGTTTTTTACATGAGCAAAGAAGTGGGGTCAGAAAATATGTAGTGTCGGACCTCCCCCTCATATTCGACAAAGTTTTGGGTCGCGATTCTCCAGAATTTAACACAGGGATAGATCAAGACTTTAAATTGATTAGGATTAGAAGAAAAAGTCGAAAGTTTAGATGAAAATTCCCAAATTTTGAACACTGTTTTAACTCGTGTTTCTCCAGAGTTTAACATATCGATAGATTTTGGTTTTACTATACATGCATTGATTAGTATTGAGAAAAATCGAGAAACTAAATAAGTTTCGGGTGAAAATGTCCTAATTTTTATCAAAGTTTTGACTCGCGATTCTCCAGAATTTGACACAACAATAGATGATAACTTTGCATTGCATTGTATTTCGAAAAACTGTGGGTATTTATCGTCCATTATTTCTGAACATCATGACAAATAAGAACTGGCATGATTTTAATTAGGTTGACGTGAAATTTTATTATTCAATTTTTGTCCTGGTGGATTGGATAATTTAATGGAATATAGGATATTACATGATCATTTCATTCTCTTAAATATTTACGCTCTTTTCTTATTCTTCTCCTTCCTCCTCCCCCTCGTCGTCGAAGTAAATGCGCCTTCCCCCGAAGAAAAAAGAGAGAGATTCTCCAATCCCCAATCCACGTCTCCATTCTCGTATTACAAACAGATTCATATAGCAATATCATTATTATTATGGTGGCGGCGGTGGTGGCGACGCACAATGACGCCCCACCACACCCCAGAGCAGGAGGAGGGGTGAAGTAGGTAGGTATTTTTTAATACAAATGCAAATTTAATACTATAGGATCATCATCATCGTCATCATTGTAATCACCGCCGTCATGATGATGACCAATCAATGTATATAAATAAGGACATAACCAACTAATTGTCACACCCGAACACGAACAAGGGAACCTTTTGTCAAGCTAGACCGGGATTGTGGAGCGGATTATAGTAAAAAATCGAGCCAAAAATTAGGAATCACGTGGCACTTATGATTCCGTTGAGGGACCCATTCGAAGAAAAATATTGGGGGCAAAGTTCCCACGTGGTTTTGGCCACGTGGAGGAAAAATTTACTCAAAAATTGAACCTTGTTTCTTCAAAGGGGGTACCCTTCAACGGAAAGATAAGGGTCTGGTAATTCCTAATTTTTGGCTTGATTTTGTTATATAACTCGCTACAAAATCCAGGTGTAGCTTGAAAAAAGGTTCCATTGTAAGTACTACTAACTAATTAACTAACTAATTAATTAACTATCCAATCAATAAAATTACGTAACAAGCAAACATCAACGACAACAAGGAAATTGTACACGATACAAAATAATAACAAAGGGGGATTTTATATGAGGAGGAGACACGATAATTTGCACGCATACACGTGCGCACTAGTCGGCAGTAATGATAATTAACAATTAATAGCAAACAGTTTTATTGACGACGTTTCTCTCTAGGTTTAAATCGTAGTAAGTAATATATGTAAATATGTACTGACCCTGCCTGATATTGGATTCTCATTAACTCAAGACGTGAACATGTAAATTATTCTTTAACTGCGCAGGATAAGAGTCGAAATTTAGGAACTAACGTGGTGACATTAAGTATCTGGGTGAGTGAGTGAGGTGAGTGAGTAGCTTGTCAAAAGTAGAAATACATACATACAAAGTCGTGTATGTAACAAATTCTAGGAGGAGAAATTATATGTAAATGTGACACTTTAAAAAAAATTGGAAGTGCATTACTTAAGTAAAACGATAAGTATGTAATTACTTATCATTGGACTCGATGACTTATCGTCGAAATCAGCACATTTATAATCCTTTCTCGGTTCTGAGCATGTATTTTAAAATTCTAGAACAAGTCGTTGCCAATTTTTTGAAAATGTACACTCCAGATTTTGGCCATTTTTGAAGGAGGAGATCTCAAGTTTAAGAAGCCTTCAGGAAAATTGGGTCTCATCGAAACTAGGTTAAAAAACTCAACGCCATTCCATTAATCAACTCACCGACTACAAATTTGTCGTCCAGAATTTTAAAATAAATTCCCAGAGCGGAGAATTGATTGAAAATGCGTTGATTTTTACGAGTCCTATGTTATGTATGAACTTGAGAACATAGCTTTTAAGTTTGGAAATTTGGAAAACAGGATAAACTTGATTTCCACATGCAAAGAAAGTAACAATATGCATCGACCAGGTCACAGAAAAGGTCAAGAGTGACGATGATAAAAAAAACAAAGGAGGTTATTAATTTACTTAGGATTGATTATTAGTAAAATAATACTTGTCGGCGTGTACTGGGTAGAAGATTATTGGTTTGGCTGAGGGTATAAATTTTTAGCACAGGAGTAAAGTAGTAGTAGATAGTAGTAGATACACAATAGTGAAGAGAGGAGGATATCATGGATAACTGTTTTTTTTCTTCTTCTTCTTCTGACGGTTAACAATTGAAGGGCAGGTTTGTAAGTATTTATAATAATGGTATCTTGTAAAATTGAGTAGTATAGTATTAAGTAGTATTTTACGGTGGAGAAGATCCACTCCTATTTTTAGTATCTGTGGTGGTTGGTGGTGTGTGGGTGGGTGTGTGTGTAGTCTATATCATTATTAAGTTGGTGGGTTGGAGGTGGATTCTTAACTCAGATCATCATATTATGCCTTTTTCTTTATTGTTTAGTGCTGCTCCTTCAGTTCTCCGTGGTCTTTGACGCTGCAAGAGGAAGACAGAAATTAGGGGGAATATTCGTGGGGGGGGGGGGAGGAGTTTAATTTGAGACGTTAATATTTTTAGGGGAGGGAGAGGAGGTTGATTTGGTACCTTTGCTGCAATAAATACTGTGCCATGCGTATCTGTCCGGGTGCTCCGGCGATCGTAATGATCCTATCGGTGGCCCCAGGGAGAGCCTCATCAATCGTAATACTCGCTCCGGAATCCGCCCTTATCCGGCGAATGCGGGAACCTCCCTTCCCAATAATTGCCCCCGCATACTGCACAATTAAATATAAGTTAGAGTTGGTTGGTCATAGGTATTACTAACAATGCAGGTCTCCCAGCGTATGATTAGGACAAAATTAGTTTCAATTGATGACATATGAAATTTGCGAAAGAGGCGATCTCCCAATGGGAACGTTTGGCCGAGGCATTTGCATCCGAAGAGGAGAAAATGAGCAGTAAAGTTGGAAAGTGTAAAATTTGTCGACTTTTAGGCGCGTTTTCTTCTCTTAGGATGCAAATGCCTCTGCCAGTTGTGACCATTAGGAGATTGTTTGTGTCGCAAATTTCATACTACTTAAATTCGTGATCGAAATCTTAGAGCACTCTACGCTGAGCGATCTCTATTGTCGATCTGACTGACCTCTTTCGGTATCGTAACTTGATTCGTGGTCCTCTCAGCGTCCGGATATTCGTCATATGACCCACCGGCACCATCACTACCGCCGCGTACACCTCCATTGTTGCTCCCTTAAATAACAATCGGAATACATATTAATTCACCATCCCTCCTCTCCTCTCCTCTTCTTTTATTATTTGTTACCTCCACTCCGGTGACGACTGCCACCACGATCACTGCCTCCTCGCGACGAGGAGCTTCCACTCTCCCTAAGTCCATCTCCTCTCCCTCCGCCACCACCGCCGCCATTCCGATATCTGGAGGAGGAGCCTCTCGACCCCCCGCCGCCACCGCCTCCTCCACCACCACCTCCGGACATCATTCGTCCCCCGCCTCCTCCTCCCCCCATGGAACGCGAGTAGCCGCGATCTCCACCATACCCACCACCTCGCCCTTCCCCAAATCCCCCGTATTGAGCCGCGTACAGTTCGTCGTAGTTGTGCGGGTCGTACTGCTCACTCATCCCTTTGATGGGACTCTAACAACAAAATAAGGACACAAGTCAGTTAAAAAGTTAAGGATGACGAATTAAAAAATAGAACTTACATCCGCCGCTAATGCGACAATCTGCTTGACAGCATTTACCACAACGTCCGATCCACCCACGACGGCCACAACGCGGTCTGTACTTCGAGGACAACAACTCCCATACACCTTAATCTGGGCACCACTCGACTAAAATGAATAAAAAGCAGTGGATTAAATTAAATGCTTCTTAACTGCTTCAATTAGCTAATGGCGAGTTACACATAATGTTCTTAAGATACACGAATGTCCGCAAAATTGATATTCAAAGAATGCCAAAGATGTCTTTAAGTCGTGTCGCGTGTTGTGCAAGATAAGACACGTTTTAAAGACATCTTTGTCATTCTTTGGATGTCAATTTTGCTGAGGTTGGGAGATCCTAAAAACGTCGCCAAGATGTGCGAGTCGTCAGTGGCTGATTGGGATGGATATACTCGTAATCAGTGGCTGCGGAAGCGTGTGGACAATGTCCTATCAACTCCTCATCTGTATAAACCCCTCCTTCCCTTATCCTACAATGTTCATATCCCCACAGCTTCCGCAGCCACTGCTATCGTAATGGAGTCTCACCTCTCTAAGCTCCTTAATTTTGCCGCCTCCCTTGCCAATGACGCAGCCGACCTGGCTGTGGTGCAGGAGGAGACGAACTTCCGCCCCTGAACTGGAGGTCGCAGCACCCGAGTCTGACCCACGGTCACCACCACTGCTCCGACTGCCATTCTTACTACTCGCCTACAACAAAAACGAGATAATCAATTTGTTAGCTAGTTATTTAAGGGAAATAAGGGCTAATAAGGAAACACTCACGTCTTCAAGTAGAGGCACAATCTCTGTCAACACGTTGAAACTGGTATCTTGATCGTCCGCCGCGATCGTGATGAGTCTAAAAGGATCAAACGAGAGTTTAGAATGGATGACGGCGACTTTGACGTCAAATAAGCAAGTACAACTTGTCGAAATACAATATTTTGAGCTCCGTTCTTCTCAACATTTGGATTTCCAGTGGTGTTACACACACAAAAAAATGAAAATCTACGTGGAGAAGGCAACGGTCAGTATAAAATACGGGTTTTGTGAAGAAATTAACTAGAAAATACATTTACTTCATCGACTGTTAAAAAACAAAGTACTTTGACACCAATAAAAAGTTAATTTCGTCGAACAAAACATATTTTCGTATGACTTTTTTTTCTCCACGTAGATTTCCATCTTTTTGTGAGTGTAACACCCCCTGATATCCAATCCCTGGGAAGAAAGCAGCTCAAAACACTGTATTTTGATAAAGTATTTCGACCATCTCTGCAATCAATAGCACTATTTTGAAAACCTACCGTTCCGGACCCGGACAATCTGGCACACTGATTGTTGCCTTGTTCTGTAACGATACAAAATACCGCATCAAATTAAGTACTCCACAATAAATCATTCCTTTACGTACCTCTGTCCTTAAGCGACTAATGTTGCTGCCACCCTTGCCAATAATGCTGCCCGCGTTCTACAACAAATTTACATAAACATTTTTCGTCATCCTTCTTAAATTAAACATAATTCTTATCCGTACCCTGGATGGGATCAAGATGCGAAGTTCATGACCCACATTTCTTGCACGTTTCAAAGGAGTACCCATATCTCTGTCAGCGCTTCGCTTCATCCCTGAAAAACAAAATGACAAAATTAGCAATTTATCTAAACTCCTTAAACAACTTTTCCAATTTTATTTGTGTCACATCACATTTTATTGAAGTAATATTTCAATTAATTAATTTCTGTACAAGACAAGACACGTGGAATTCTTTGTCTTCTTGTGATTCGTCTGCTTATTAACATGACTCGATGAAATGATGATGATAGCACATGTGCGAAATCGATGACAAATCAAGAGAAGGATAAAAATCTTACCCAAAATTTTGTAATTGATGACAGCTAGAAATTTCTTATTTTTCTTAACGAAATAAATAGTCTTACTTGGCCTTTCTCTGTCTGCCATCATCATCTCCGTCTTCCTATCACTAACTCCTCGTCCAATATTATTATCTCGGCTTCTACTCTTCCAGCTTCCTGGTTATTAATTATATATGCCGACAGTCTAAGAAAATATCTAAGTCTCTCGCCGGCATGATATGTATGCAAATTGTAGAATGGAATGCAAAGCTCGACTCCTAAAGTCATACATTTAGCTGATTAAATGAAAATCTATGTATGCAATGGTAATCTGCCTGCATATCAATGTTATCAGGATGCATTAACCTGAATAATACATTCACTAATCTCCTCATCCTCTTCCAATCCACCCAAAAGTCCAGCCCAGACAGATTTTGTCCTTGCTTAACCATGGTTAAGTTGAGTGTGACTACATAGTTACACGTGTAAATAAGGACACTGCTGCAGTGATAAACCGTACTTATCGAGATAAGGCAATTGTTGGGAAATGCACGTGTTAATTTGTTAACGATACTGGGTTGTCGTTTGTTTAAAATGTGCAATAAACTTAATCGACGAAGATAACTATGATTGTTTAACTGAGATACAGTTGAACTTATCGGCGACACGACTTACCTTCAACTCAACATGAGGAAAAAAGGGTTTGCATAATAGCAAACTTGTCGGGTGTGGCGGTAGGGGCAGGTGGGGTGGTGGTGTGGTGGGTGGGGCCAGCCAAGGAAAAAGTCGCTGATACCTCGCCTCGGTTATCTATAGAGGAACAATAACAATACAGATTTTATAGGTTTTTCATTAATTAAACTTGTTATATCACACAGAATATGAATAATTAATTGATGACGAAGTTTGTTTACAAATTTCTGCCCAAATTTATTAAAGTTTCCTTAAATTTAAAATGGAATCGAACAAAGCCGACCAAAATACTGGAACAAAAGTTTAAAAACCTGAAAAATTGATATTATAACGATAACAACTCACACTTTCAATAAGATAATGTCGTCCTCCTCGTCTACTTATCGCCTTCTTAACCTTGTCACTTATCGTCGTCACTGTCTAATAAATTGTTAATCAATCAAGTTCACGAAACAGTCTTCACTCCTTAATTCTCGGCAACAAAATTAATTACTTGCAATTACTAGAAATTTACCGACTTATTCTTTCACACCGTTAGTTAACTTTAAACCCTCGAGTTAGTTATCTTCAAAAATCCCAACTACACACACAATTTAAAGTCTGCCATACCACCGACCGACACCTTTAACAGTACAAAGGTGAAAGGAAGGAGAGAACAATGAATGGGGGACAGGACAGACCGGATCGCCGTTAACGAGATGATTACCCTCCTCGCCTTTTTTTACAGTTATCTTATCGTTGGAGGGAACTTATTACTATTCAGCTGAGGAATGAGTGTTTTTCCTTTATTACAAAATAATGTATGCTCTTCTTCTTCTTCCTTTTACTTCTTTCTACACACTCGCCTGCCTTGGGATTGGACGCCGCAACACAATTCCGCGTCACGTCACGGATCGATCTAACCACCCCGGAGAGAGAGAGAGGCATCACCACCACCAATACCACTCTCTTTTCTCCCTAAATCACCACCACCACCAGTACCACCATCACCACCACCACGGCTAATACCCGGGTATCAGCAGCAGCAAGCAACACATCCCGATCACCCGGCTCGGTATCATCATCATCATTAAAGAATACATGTACCCGTCCGTGCGTGCATGTCAAACAACATTTATTAAAGCGGAAGCTTGTCTTTGTCTTCATGAGAAATGAGTCAAGTTGACGTTTTCGTTTTCTGGATAAATATTTCATTCATTTTTCATGACTGATAAAATTTGTGTATAAAATTAAAAAGTTTTAGTTGATTTCTTGTAGTAGTAAAAGTAATACTTTCGAGGTGATAAAAACTATGGGGGGATGATGATAAGATATAAAAGATAGGCACCATTCGTTTTGTGTTTTGAGATATTATTTGTAATGGACAAAAATGTAGAGAAGTATTGATTGCAGATTTTCTGTTCTTGTTCGTTGTTCGAGTTTTGTGGAGTGAAATAAGTTTGGTAACTCTTCCTGAAGTGAGGACGACTAGGGGGAGAAGATTTGACTAAATCCAGGGTGTCCATCCCTCAAACATTTTACTCAGGTTGACATCATTGCTCGCATCCCGGACCAAAACTTCGACCTGAAAGGGTGTACAAATTAGTAAGATAAACTGCACAACTTATCATAAATTCAGTCAGCCACCTCACTTACCGAGCTTTTCACGTTAAAACCCTCCACCTTGTCGGCCACATAACCGATCAAAGAGTCGACACGGGCCATATTGATATACTCCAAGTTCCCGTCGATACCCACCAAGTCGTCCATCGTTACAACGGGAACGTTTTCAACGGAGAGGAATATTTCGACTAGGGTCAGTTCAGCCACTTCCACCGCCACGAGTAAGTCTTCCCCCACGGGAATGACGTCCATGTGGGTGTGGAGCCAGATATGGGCAACGTCTCCGATCCATTTGTCCTCCACGAGGGCTTTAAACGGTCCCCAAAACCCACTGCTACCCCCGTTTCCTCCCAACTGACCGGCAGCAAAGACCAGGAGCGGATCCAGATTTGCGACGATACGACGCATCTTGTTTAGCCTTCTTTTCAACGCTGCCTTCTTATCGAGTAGTTCTCTTTTCGAGACGTTGAGCCGGGTAGATTCGTCAAATTTGTTTTTCACGGTGGTCTGGAGGTCGTGCGTGAGGAGGTCGCCGACCCGACTCAGCCATACGACTGGATCCCCTGCAACGTTCCCGGAACGAGGAGACTCTCTGCATTGACTCGTCAACCGGAAGAGGACCTGTTCTTGGACACACTCCATGGACGGAGCGGCCATGAGGACGATGCGAGTGTGCAGTTCTTTTAATAGAGCGGGGTCATATTCGGCATTTTTGATGTGCCCCATCGTCACGGTGAGTTGCTCCACCGAGTTGGAGTACAACGCGACGAGTTCGGTCTGCTGTTTTATGGCGTACTGTACTTGGCTTAGTTCAAGGAGCACTTTGGCAATTTCAGTCCTGCAAAAAAGAGGTAAGATAAGATATGGAGAGAAAAAAAACAAGTAGGTCACAGGTCAAAGAATGACATACCGAGAACTCCTAATATTCTGGATCATCGGTATGTACCGCATTTTAAATATGCTTATGGCAGAGATGACTTCAATCGTGCGAAGTTTGGTGGGATCGATGACAAAGTCCTCCTCAATCTAAGGAGAATTACAAGGGTCAAATTAGTTAACAGTTTTATTCCTTAAAAAATCTGTCGCTTATTAATTTACCTGGGACGCGAAGGCAATGCTCCTTGCGCAAAACTTTGCCAGCTCCTTGTTTTCCTGAAAGGCAGAGATCGTCATTTCTACCCGGTTGGAGAACGCACCCCCAACTCCCGGGTATTGCAAGGCCGTCTCAAAATTTTGTGTCATCCTGAACGGCACCACTTCCGGCACGCGGAGCTTGGCACCTCGACCAAATACTAAGCTAAAATCAACATGCACCAACTTCCCGTCTTCCACGTCGACCAAAATATTATCCAAGTGGCGATCCCCGATCCCCATGAGATACCCGATGGACGCGGAGATTCCAGAGTCTCGCGTGAAGCCTGTGCCAAACAAGAGGTTAAGGTCACACAATTACACACCTCTCACTATTAATTAGGCATACCTTTGACCGCCTTGAACCATCCCTTGGCACTCGGCGCACCGAAAAACATTTCTCTCGAGATTAGATCTTTTGGAGCCGAGTTGGCCAACGAGTGGTAGACTTGTTTCAGGGTAAAGGCGTCAACGTTTGTGCGATCCCGTCCAACCACCCCGTAGGATGCCATCTTCTTCCAGAACATCTCGGAAGTCCGCTCTCCCGGCATCGTTCGGTTCAAATGCCGCTTGTACAGTTGGAAGACTGGTGTGGCGCGCTGAACCATTTGGATCAAGCCGCCTCGGTTTCCTAAAAAATAGTAACAAAAACCCGTTTTAATTTGTACAAAACCCGTTTAAATTGTGTACAAAACCCGATCTAAATCTGCACAAAAACCCGGTTTAAATTTTCACAAAATAGTTCCTCTACTCTAGATAACCACTTACCTAACGGCGTGACTGCATACGTCCAAACGGGCTCTTTTAGGAACGACTGGCTCAAAGTGAGTAACTGCATCATGCTGGAATCCACGTTCAAGTTCTCGTTCCCTTTGACAAGATACTCGTAACTTTTCCCATTTGAGGCGAAGAAACGGACCTTCTTTGGCCGTGTTTTCGTCGGCAGGGAGAACACGACGGGGTAAATGCCCGCGATATGAACGCAACCAGGCATTCCCAGTAGAGTTACGGTTGAAAGAGTGCCCCACTCCTGCATAAATAAACTCACATTTTAATAATCACTACTAAAAAATTAGCACATAGGCATTTAATTAAATCCTGACCTGAAAGGCGGCCAATTTTGGGGAAAGATAATCGAGCTGACTCCTCATCGGGACGCTGGACTGGAAGGTGTCACAGTGTTCCAACAACTTGGTGAAGCTCCGAAGCAGACCATCCACACTGGTGCAGATTCTCAGGGAGACAACCAGCCCCGAAATGATGACGTGGTTCTTGAGCACGAAGGCTGACTGGGCGGGGGAGCAAGCCGTGTCGGTGATATGGCGCCACATGTCTTCCAAATAGGTTACAATCTGGACATGAAAAGAAAGTTAAGAGAATCCTACGACAAAACCATCCTGAATATCGTTGTTCGTGCAAAAGTTATCGGTTGAGAAACCAGTCGGAAACATAAGTTGTAATGTAAAATGCATCCGTCAACTTCTGTGGTTTCTCAACTGCCAACTTTTGCCCGAACAGGGACGATATGACTTGACATACCGGGTCAATGTAGGCCGTAACCTTGCGGGGGTCAGGGTCCCGGACCATGTCCTTCTTTAACATGTTAATCCGTCGATGCCAGTCGTTCAGGATCCTTTGCATCGCGTTGGACCAGAGCTCTTCGGCCGAGGTGCCGAGTCGGAGGAGTTCCCTGGCCAGGGTGTCGACATGGGTGGATATCCCAAGGTGGGATCGAGTCACGTATTGACGAACGGGGTACCCAGCCTGCTTATCGGGGCAGCAGGGAGGGTGCATGATAAGTGGAAGAGGGGGATAGTACGGCTCCTCATTGACGTCGACCACGCCGTAACTGGAAAGGTCGAAAAGTCCTTTCCTAAAATCAAAGTCAATTCACCAAGTTAGTAGTGTAATTTTGGTGGTGAGTTGTTCATTTAGATGGAAAGTCACAGGGCGTATTCACGACAATCTTGGCGAAATCATCATAAAACGACAAGTTTTCAGTAAACTTTTTGATGGAAAAGTATGGGATTTGAGTTCACAAATCGCCATATTTTTATTTCACAAACTATTTGCTGAATAAGTTACGATACGAAATGTCGTGAGTACGCCCATAAACATTTGATCACAAATTTAACAACCACATTTAATGGAGACGAAAATTAAACTAATTACCGTCCCATCGACGCGAAGCTGGCTTCTCCCTCGGATCTTGACGAGTCATGCGCCCACAAGTACATGGCAGTCTTTTCCGGAAACTTATCCAGCATGGCTTCCCTTAACACGGGGACTTGAACAATGGCCGGAAGAAAATCTAGCCACCGCGGATGCTTGAGAATTTCTCGAAGATCACATTCGAGCAGTGTTTCTACCCTCTCCATTCCGAGACCAAGCTTGATGAGAGAAATCACGCGACAAATGGTTTTGACCAGAAGCCCATCGCGAGTCACCGGGCTCAGCTCCAAACCGCGTGGACTGAAACGTAAGTAGTTAGAATAAGCGTTTAAAGCTCGCTTTGGGGACGGTCCGGCACAACCATTCGTACGTCGGGTGGAAACTTCCTACAAAAATAAATCATAAAATCGTCAAAATTGAAAAATAGTTATTTAATTTTGTTTACTCTTTGTGGGTCACTTTTGTAAACCCGATAAATTTAAAATTTTCAAGGTTTTCATAAATATTTTGACAAAAAAAGCTCTTTCCCTCACCACACTTACTTGGTCATAAAAAGCATTTCCTAACTCCAACCATGCCTCTGGATGGTCACCATGCTGCTCCAGAATGCGGTTCAAGTGTCGTACCAACGGCGATCTGACATCTTTCTCCCCAACCCCACTCTTCCACCCCATTTGCTCCATTAACTCGTTCAAGTGGTCCGGATGGGGTCCCAAGTTTCGTCCAATCTCCAACAGCAAATCCAGCACACCGGTGGTCACGATTGGAACATCGTCTTCCTTCGTAACTTTAGTTATTATGTTCTCTCTCTCGGGGTCTCGCAGGAGGAGGTCTTTATAAACTTGCATGGCCTCATCGACGCAGCCGTGTCGGAAGAGCAGCTTCGCCACTAACTGACCCAAAGGACGGGCTTGCTTTTCAAAATCTAAATTGTCCGGAATCACCATGTTTGCCCCAGAGTTTAGATCTTCAGCCTTGACTTCCACGCCCAAACTGCGTACAAATTTTTCCACCCAGACGAGATTGCCGGCAGAGAGCATTTCTTCTCCGAGACGGAGCCAAATGAACCATTTTTCGAAGACGGGCACACCCGGGAGGAATCTACGACCAAGGCATATGTACATAAGTCAAACTATCACTTATCACAGAATAATGAGGCGTTTCACGTCAACCTTAATAATTTCGTAATTATGTAAACTTACGAAACTTACGAACTTCTTTTAAAGAAACTTAGGAACATCTTTAAGGCAATTTACAAACTTACAAACAATTACCAAGACAAAAGACATGTTTTTTGGTTCGTACGCTGATCTTCGTAATTTTACGTGGTTATTACGAACATACGAAGGCTGACGTGAAACGCCTCAGTGAATACGACACCCACCTTATGGCATCTGCCGCTTTGATCAAAACCCACAAGTCTAAAACTTCTCTCTTGTCCATCACTCGGTCCAAGTCCAACGCGTTGTAGAGCTTTCTCAACCCTTCGTCCTTTGTCCTGAACATCTTTTGGAGATGGATTATCTCCTCGTCCAACAAGGTTATGGAGCAACTCCTGCTTCCAGTTTCTGACGGCACGAGAAAGTCTAAAAAGGGTGCTTGCAGACGGGGCTGATCTTGCTGAAGAACAAAGTCGAGTTCCAACATTCTTGAGGCCCTTGTCGTAATCAATTCTTTGAGCTCTTCATTCGCCACGTGGGCCTCGTCCTCCCAGATTTTCATGGCTTCTTCAAACCGACCCTGCATGTAGAGCCAGGCTGCGCGCTGCCAGCTCTCTTTCCCACACAGACCGGCACCGTCTGTAATAAAGAAACGGGTCAATTAAATCGAAGGAAATGGAGAAAAGGAGTAAAAGTACCTTTCAAATGGAACAGGGCGACTTCCCCCTTGGCCCGTTCGTCCCCCATGGAAGCGTGGAAAAAGGAATCTTCCCACTGGTCCGACACCCCCGCGCAGTTGAGCACGTCCCATCTAATTCTTTTCAACCACTCGAGACAGGAGCCACGGTTCACCATGAAATAGCCTCGGATCGCCTAAATTCACAAGAGGATAAGTTGCTAAAGTGGAACTGGATGGTTCATCGCCAATTAATTATGAGTATGCATTTCTAATAGGAGATCGTTTCATGATTTACTTACGTCCGGCATCTCCGCGCCATTCATGAAACAACTCCCGTTCCCCCAAAGCTCGAGTCCTTGCTCGAGTTGGAATAGAAAATCGAACTTCCACCCGGGCACGACCCCCTTTTCCTCCTTAAACACTGTTTGTACGAGACTGAAAAAGTCAATCGGCGATCCCAGCACCGTCTTCAGCTTGGACTGTATCACGAAATCAACGGCCGCACGTCCGCGCCATGGAGGCTCGGGAATGGTCAGACTCAGTTTCTCCCTCCTTTCGTCGTCGCCCTCGTCCAGCGACGCACTGCTTGTCCTTCTCTTCCTCAGCGTCGACGTCGTCAGTCCGTATAAGTAACTACAGAAGTCGGTCGGCATGAAGAAGATTTGACAATCCTCTTCCACATCTGTCTTAGCATTAGTGGTTCTGTCCATCCATTGAAGGATGTTGCACTCATCGCACCTCCGTCGCCGACTTTCTCTCCGATAAGGAGTCATCGTCAAGTCGCGAGGGCCCCAATTCGACACAACGAGAGCATCACCACGTACAGCGACCTTAAAGAGTAAAATCAAAACTTGATTATCAAAACTTTATCGTAAAATTATAAATTTACAAGACAAAAGTCAGCCCAAATTTAATTCCACTTTTCGATTCTCTGTAAACTAATATGCAGTGTCGACCACCACCGCTTAAGATTGGCGACCACTTGTTTTGTCAACCAATCGATTGCCGACGACTTATTTGTCGAACCATCAGTCATTTACGACGAGTCAAACTAGTTGAAAAAATGACTATTTGATTTATAGTTATATACCTGGACCAACAGGGGTTTCATGTCGGGCGGAACGTCCCACGCGAGGCGACCCTCCATTACGTGCAGCTTACAAAACGAGACTAGCAGTAGTTGAAGATCGACCTACACAACAAATCAGACATTAAATAAATACCAATATTACTCATACTAATACACGTATGCATGTCCCGACAATTATGTCTTGGTCAAGGACGTCGCAGGACATAATTGTTGCACTCTCAACTCACCACTTTGACATACGGCGACCCTGGCTCCATCAGAGTATCAAAAATCATCTTAGCCTCCTCCAAGTATGGCCAATTTTCCGGGACTGCCCAGCCCTGCTCGTGTGTCGGTCTTCCCACGGGAGAAGCGAGTTCATCGGGTGGGGTGGTCACTTGCTTCTGAAAAAAATGAGGGGGAACCAGGCCCGACGTATTGAAATCCTGTCCCACCGCCAAGTTCAATGTGGGCTGCTGCACCCGAGTGCTGGGACCAGGCTGTTCTTCGCCACCACCACCATAAGTCGCGTCTCTTCTCGGCTTTTCTCTGACCACGAGGGGATTTGCGGGTGGGGGTAGTGTCCTTCCTTCCCCGCTGAAGGAAACGTCATCCCTGCCAGACAACTCGTCCAGAATGTTACCGTGATGGTCCCCATTCGAGATGCATAAGAAATTGACCAGACGTTGGAAGAATTGTTGTCCCGTGGTGAACACGGTGGAAGCGTAAGTTTTCGATCCGATGAGGAACTTGATTATCCAGTGGAGTAAGCGACGCTTATCTTGAATTGTATACAAAGTGGAGGAAGAGAAGAGAATCTCCTCCCAGAATATGAGCAAAGCCTTGAAGAATCTGAAAGACAAGGGGGAAAATTAAGAAATGAGACTGATATCTATTTAACAGATTCGACAACTCATCGCTAAAAAGAGCACATTTTTAATAATTTATCGGCTCTGGAAATTTATTTTAAAATTCTGTAAAATTCTAATTCTGATAAATTTGTAAATAGAGCAGGGAGTTGCCAATTTTTTGAAAATATACACTCCGGATTTGGACACTTTTTGAAGGAAGAGATCTCACGTTGAGGAAGCCTTCAAAATAACTGGAAACTGGTTTAAAAACTCAGCGCTATTCCATCAATCAACTCACTGAGGGCAAATTAGTCAGTACAGAATTTTAAAATAAATTAGTAAAGAGCCGAGAAAGGATTAAAAATGCGTTGATTTTGACGATGAGTCCTACGTTAAGTATGTGAGAACCTACTTGGCACCCGGCGACCCTGTCGAGTATTCTGAGCTGGAGAGGCTGGCAACCCAGTGAGAGTGGGCGAAGCAGTGGGCTTCCAGCAGGTTGAGGACGGTCCGAACCTTCTCCATGTCACGAGTCTCTCGGCGCACGAGGGAAACTAACATGTCGAAGATTGATGGTTCCAAAGCGTATAACGTTAAAATTGAGCCTCGCTTATTCACAGCTGCAAAAACATAATGATTAATTAACTTGTTCCACACAATACATAATTAATTTCTTCTCTTTTTATATACTTCACTTGCGCCATAGTTAAACTATACCATTGGCGCAAATTGGACGAATAAGCTTATTCAGCTTTAGACATCAGACGACAAACTTATATTCAAATATTTGTCGCCTGGTGTCCAGAGCTGAGAAATAGACGCTTGACCGACACCTTTAATTAAAACCTGATTAATTAATCAATCAATCAATCAATTAACTCACCAAGATCTGATATCCCCGAAAGCACGAAGTAAATGGGATCATCATCTTCATCATCATCTTCATCTCGCTCCAATTTCCCAATGTGCCAGGCCCACACTTTCTGCAAGAGGGGCACGTTCCTCGTCTTGAGCAAGGTCTCGACCAACTTCACCCGTCCCACCGACTCGGACATCTGATCCACAAACTCGACCAGATTGTTGGCAATCTCCAAAGTGTCGTCGGGCAGCTGTGTGGTGGAAATGGCGCCCTCCAACCACCCGCAAATGCCAGCCCACATGGTGGACACGGCGAGATGGGACCATCTTTGCCAGTGATCGTCCCTCCGCATGTACTTAATTTCAGTCTAGAATCATTAACATTATGTATGGTTAACTAGGGTTAAGCAATTAATTAATATTAAGTGGCGCACCTTAATAAAGTTTCTTGTGTTCCAACCATCCACACCAGGCGACAATGCGATCACATTATTTGTTGCGAGTAGCAATTTGTGTGCTACGGTGTTACAGACCTTAATCGTCCCTACACGGCCAGCCATCATGTTGAGGATGTTTATCCCGATTCCGATCACATGCTCGCTCAACTCATTGATAAATGGTTTGTCCTCAATCGCTTTCAAGTCCAGGATGGCGGTGAAAGCTCTGAAATAATAAATAAAATCATAGGGCGTTAAAACTATGTCGATTTATGAAAATCGATTGATTTCCTCGCCCCATACTACATCTAAAACGGTAGAATTTAACAAAAAATTCGACATTTTGTACCAGTCACCTCATCACCGTGACCTTATGACCTACATATAATGCCCATCTACGAACTTAACTCCTCCCGAAAGATTAGAACATGTTGGTAAAAACCACAACTCGAAATTCATATTCTAAAGTTATTGTGGAGATATAATTACAGATAGACCAGACAAAACACGAATAGACAGACAGACAAGACATTTCCATAAAGATGTTTCACCCCTTAACAATTAAGTAACGCTGCCCTCCGTATATATGAATATTCATTTAACTCACCTCATGAGGAGCATCACGCGTTTAAAGTTAACATCCACGCCGAGCATGGCCTCAGTCTCCATGTCCTCCGCCACTTGTTTGATCAACGTTCTCGTGAAGGCAACGTCCTCCACGAAGTGTGCTTTCAAGCATAGTAGGAATGTATAACAGAAGTTCGACATGTCGTCAGAACACGCGTCGTCTAACATCCAACCAATAACGACGTCGACAAAGTCCTGTCACCAGAATAAATAAAAAACATGATAAATTCACACACAATTTCTGGGGCAATCGGATTTGTTGAGAAGAACAGAAATCGAACCCACGTAAATTAACAGATAAGACCACAACTTACCGGAAAACATGCTGTTTCCAAATCCTGTGAAACTGAGATCGTATGCGCATACATGGTACACATCAATTTAAAAAGAAGCGCATTTTGGCTGCCCAGGGTATCCACCACGCTCAGTACGAGGGACGCAAGCGCCCCCAAATCTTCCCCATGCAGACGGGACACGATCTATCGATAAGAAAACAAACGTACTCAATGATAATGTATTATTGCTGAAGTCAAAGTTGAAAAGTTCACCTCATTGAATGTATCATGAACAAGGAGTAAATGTTTCGGGGGGACGCGACAAATCTGTTTAGTCTTCCCTCCCTTGACCAAAAGGATATTGAGGAGCCACTGCATCACACGGTTTCCTCCACCTAAGGGCTCCAAATTATGCAGAATGTGCCAAAATTCCGTAATTAGACGTCCCATTAGTTTAACTCCCTCTGCAGACCATTCCCCACCTGAGAGAAATATTATTAGTTCATCATATCATCTCAGAATGGAGGTCGACCAGCGTATGCTGCCAGATTTTGACAGAAAACTAGTATCAATCGATGGCAAATTTAATTAGTATGAAACTTGTAAAAACACGATCTCCCAATGGGCACGTTTGGCGCAGATATTTGCATCCGAAGAGGAGAAAACGCGCAGTTAATTTAGAAAGTGTAAAATTTGTCAACTTTACTACGCCTTTTCTCCTCTCCTAATGCAAATATCTCTGCTAAATCTGCCCATTGGGAGATCGTGTCTTTCTCAAATTTCATACTAATTAAATTTGCCATCGATTCAGACCTCTCCAAAATCTGACAACATACACTACGGGAGACCTCGATTGTCATCAGTCATGCCGCATTTCTTAATGTATGCACTACTCACATGACGCCAGCCCCGTCCAAGTATCAAACAGCATTTTGCTGTAGTGGGTAAACCTCTCGCCAATGTCATGTCTTTCCTCCTCCGATGTGGCCAATCGTTCGAGCAAAGTTTCCACCGCGAGTTGAAACCCTTTCGGTGAATTGACCCTGGCAATGATGGAGATGAGGTCGAGGGACACGTAGGTGAGGATGTTCTCCTCGTTCAGGCCCTCTCTCGGTATTAACTGACTCTGTACGGGTGTTTCGTCGATGAGAAGTGTTCCATCTTCGAGATAGCGAATCCTTGAGGCCTCAAGGAGGCGACGATAGACGTTCATCGTTTCCATTGTGCGAAGGAGGTTGATTACTTCGTGCCATGCAGCAAGGTTCGGGTTAAAAAAATATCCACCTAAAAGACAAAGGAGGATGATAAGTAAAGTGAAATGAAATCTTAGACTTTGTTAATTTTCGAGTGAAGTGGACCAAATGGTGGGAACGGAAAATTTCCAAGTGGCCGGGGCAGAATTAATTTGATAAGGGTCAAATTGTATGTTAGGGTTATCTTCTGCCTCGGCCATGAGACTTATGGCCGGGGTAGAAGATAACCTAACAGACAATTTGACCCTTATCAAATTAATTCTGCCCCGTGACATACGCTCCCATGCTGGGGACTTGTGGCTGAGGCAGAATTAATTTGATAAGGGTCAAATTGTCTGTTAAGTCGGGTTATCTTCTGCCCCGGCCATAGGTCCCCAACACGGAACTTATGGCCAGAAGATAACCTAACCCTACCAGACAATTTGACCCTTATCAAATTAATTCTGTCATAAGGTCATGTTGCAAAAACTTGGAAATTTTCCGTCCCCCTTATGTCGCCCCCTTCTATCTTACCCCTCTTTTTCAAACTATCACAAAAAAAACAGTCTTATCCCCAGGATCGCTTAGTTTTACGAGTTTCGAATTAATTATTTGACAGAAATTGACAAAAAGTGGAAATTATATAAAAACTAGGAGCAAGAAAGTAGCGACCGACTTCTTTTCCAGCAGGAGTGAAAATGAAAATGTGAAAATCTTTCTGCCTGCCTGCACCGAATCCCGGGCAACAAACTCTGCCGTCTGAGACGACTTTTTTGCACACTGTGGGCTCCAGTTGGCACCCAAACTTTACAAAAGAAATTGATAAGCACCCCCTCGTCTCGATAAGTGAGATATAATTAGAGATAAGGCTTCCTTAATTTGTTTTGTTCGCGTGACCCAAAAAAGGGGGGATTTCTGAGGTCAAGAAAGGTCACCTGGGTGCGAGCTGATGGTTTGTAAGGTGGAAAGTAGGAAAAAATCCAAATTCTGCTCGCGGAATTTCACAGTCAAGTCAAGTCTTGACCTGTCTTGGTTTTTTCTCGCCAGAAACTTCTGGAAATTTTAATTCGGGAATTTCAACTTGGAAATTTTAGTCTCGTCATTCATTTCATTTTACTACTGCGACCAAGCACAGTCACACATAATCTTCTTCTCTAATCTTTGACAAGTTTTTGAACAATTAACCATGTCTTCCTCGGGGGGTGGTGGTGGTAGTGGGAACGGGGATATGGTCAATCTGCACGATCCCGACCTTGAACTTATCGACCCTACGCCGGATATTCACGCGCTGTTCGCCCACTTCAATAAGGAATTCTTTTCCGGCGCTTTGGGCGCAGTGACGGTCGAATGGAGCAGCAGGATGACGTCGTGCGCTGGATTGTGCTACTATCTGGGGAGGCGAGGGGGTTGTCGGATTAAGCTGAGTAAGCCGCTGCTCACCCTGCGACCAAGGACTGACCTGGTCGATACGCTCCTGGTAAGAGACTTGATTAGATTTTAACTAATCTATATACTTAATAGTTAATTTAGGATTTATGATAAACGTTGTTCTTTTTCCAGCATGAGATGATTCACGCTTACTTCTTTGTAAAAAATGGATTCACTCGTCTCGATCGGGACGGTCATGGGCCTGATTTTCAACAGTATATGAAAGCAATTAACGAAGCGGCGGGGACTAAAATTACGGTAATTAATTTAATGATAACTCGTCGTTAAAATCAGTACATATCTAATCATTTCTCGGCTATGGTAATTTAGTTTAAAATTATGGACGACAAATTTGTAGAGGGTGTTCCCATTAAAAAAATATACTCCAGATTATGACAGTTTTTGAAGGAGATCTAGAGTTTCTGAGGCCTTCATAAAAATTGGGAATCATCGAAACTGGTTTAAAAAGCTCAATGGCATTCCATTAACCAACTTACTGACTTCACATTTGTCGTCCAGAATTTTAAAATAAATTTCCAAAGCGGAGGAATAATTAAAAATGGCCATTTTAGTGATGAGCCCCTGAGTCATTAAGAAAATTAAATATCGCTAGGTTTAGAATTCTCTATAATTAAACTTTATCTCTCTGATCCTCAGGTGTATCATACCTTCCACGACGAGGTGGACCATCACCGACGTCACTGGTGGAAATGCACTGGACCCTGTGTCACCCGGCCGCCATTCTTCGGGATCGTTAAACGTGCCATGAACCGAGCTCCTGGACCGAATGACCTCTGGTGGTCCGAGCATCAGGCGTCTTGTTCCGGCTCCTTCGTCAAAATCAAGGAACCAGAAAAACCGGTCAAGGTGGCGAAACGACGACTGCCTGGAGGAGCAACATCTCTTGTTGGATCTGGTGCTGTTGTGGGGGGAGGAAATACGATGCCGATGCAACCCATCACTAAATTTTTTACTCCTGCAAATCATGCCGGAGGAGGTGAGTAGTTGCATTAAATAACTGTTCATTTGTGGTTGATTTGTTAATGTATCATCACCAAAATCCACACATTTTTAATCATTTCTCCACTCTGGGAACTTATTTTAAAATTCTGAAGGACAAATTTGTAGTCAGTCAGTGAGTTGATTGATGGAATAGGGATGAGTTTTTTAGCCAGTTTCGATGAGTTCCAATTTTTCTGAAGGTTGCTTAAACTTGAGATCTCTTCCTTCAAAAGGTGTCAAAATCTGGAGTGTATATTTTTAAGAAATTGACAACTCCTTACCCTTACAAATTTGTCATCCAGAACTGTAAAATAAATTCCCAGAGCCGAAAAATAATTTAAAATATACTGATTTTGGCCATGAGTCATGGAGTAATATGCTAAACGTATATTTTTTATATGGTTCCAGTTGCTTCAGCGTCCTCCTCATCTCACGAGATTACTGAGATTACTGATCACTCCACCCCAATGAGTGTGGACGACCCTATCACATTATCCGACAGTGACGACGACGACATCGATTCCGATCTGCGAAAAGCTATCGCGCTCTCACTTGGTAGCAGTCTTACTATGAATGGTCAGTCATCATCATCGGGCAATCGACCGTCTACAAGCAACGCTGCTACTGCTTCTGTCGCCGCTGGAGGAGGGGGACCATCGACATCTCGAAATACTCAGGTCTACCAGTCCGTGCCTTTTCCGCAGCTTCGTCCGAACTACAGCAACCCCTCGACCACAAGTTCGTACAACTTCCCAGGGGTCGGACACCGTCTCGGAAGTTAAGAAGAAAGCTGAATACGTCGACCACACAAAATACCTGATCCCACCCACCCGTCAAGTTTACAAACCGCAAAGAAATCCATACAATTTTTATACAATTCCTACCTCACCACCACCACATTCCATTTTACCAAACAAGAAGTATTTTTATTTAGTAACCAAATTCTTAGTTCTGTGCTGTTAGGTTATAAAACCATTATAAAATTAGCATGATAAGTTAATCAAAGTATGTTTATTTATGTACAAGGAGTTAATACTGTTGCCCTTGTTCTTTGTAATTAATTAGCGGCTGAGAGCAATCGGTGTGATCATATGAAATTCTAGTTTGTCAATAACTACATACGTACATATAACGTGAATAATCTCTTTGTGGGATCACAATTCTGAATGATGAGTAATCTGCTTCTCTTAAATAAAACTCAGGTTTGTAGCAGAATGAAAAAATCGAGTCTGATCAAATCACCGTTGTTAATTGCTTGTAAATGTATTTTAACCATTCACATTTTATGCATAACTTGTGTTTATTACATGTTGGATAGATGTTTATTTGTTCATTTATTTCTCATCTTTTCATAAGTATTGATTCGATCAAGCTTTTTGGGCGTGGTGGAATCGAGCACTCAATTTCATACTATATTCCCATATTTTCATGAAAATGTTCCATATTTCGTAAATATTTTGAGCATAATTATTTCTTCTATTCCTTCAAAAGAATAAATTTTTCTCGATATTTCGACGACTTTATGACACGAGAAAGATTTTCTTAAACAAACGGATCGAAAAAGATTTTGAATTATAAACAGAATTGGGTATTGAATTAAAACTCTAATTTAGCGAGCTTAAAATAACCCTGAAATCTATATTTTTATATTATTGTCTGGTAAAGAATGTTTTAAAAAATGTATATATACCCAAATAAGTGCATACATAAGTAAATGAGGATGTGGATGTAGTAAGTAAGTAATTTGCGAAAAGTGTGTGTGGATTGTTGTCAGTCTGAATATCGGTGATGAGAGGAGATTAATTGTCGCGATAGGAGGATACAATTTAGTAATGAGATTCCACTAACTGCTCCTCATTCTCCTTAATAATATTCCTACTTCTTACTACTTCTTCCTATTGCAGACGAGTGAGTGAAAGTGTGCTGTGAGAAAATGCAGACTTATACATAAGTATCTAAGCTAGGAATTATCATCCTCGATCTCTTCTTCTTCTTCGCGTCCTTATCTCTGCAGATCTCTCGTCTCTCAGCCATTTACTTATTAGCTTTATGGTAGATATTCAGTGGACATCGTAAAAACGTCAAAACATGCGACATCCTCCATCAATCAGCACTCACTCAGTGTCCCACGGCCATATTTTCCATCATATGCCTTATGGGATCGTCATGTATGTATGTCCGCCCGTCCGTCCGTGTGAGATACTTTATGTATCCGATGAACCACTGATAAGTGTAAATGACACCAAATTTTATAGATTGTGCAACATAATAAGTAGATTCAGGTATGGATTCATAACAAAAAGTTGAACTTTTGCATGCAAAACTTAGATATTTTTCATCATGCACCGAACCAGGCCTTATGGGATCGTCATGTATGTCCGTCCGTGTGGGATACTCTATTATATGAACCACTGATAACCCGTCATTAACGTGTAAATAGCACCAAATTTCATAAATGGTGGATGAGAGTGCAAATAAGGGGAAAGATTTAAGAATATTCTTGAAAAAAAGTGAAATTTTGTCATGCAAAAATTGGTGTCCAATAATTGTCACAATTTTCGAAATAAAATAAGTACCCATATGCAAATTTGTGTCTCAGGCTGCATCAAGTCGATCTAGTAAAGATTTTCTTCTCGAGAATAGTAATAAATATAGAATTGCATTGCATCTGAGGAGCTAAAAGTGAGTAACTCTCTCTGCAACTTATTAGTGTCGCATGCATGGTGGTAATTATTCCCCAAGCACCTCATTTGCATAAGTATTGCAAGTATTTAGTCGTAAAAATGGTGCACATGCAATGCATTCACTGTATCGCGAATTCGCGACGACGACCATCGATCGATGCAATGCAACGCGTGCTTGCCTTCCGGCCTGCAAAATTACAAATACTTTTTCCACAGTGACTGACGCTGCGATTGGCCGATGTACAGATAGATAGATTAGATACATATGTAAATGTGTAGCTAGATAGATATGCAAATTTGTGTCACATGCAATTCAATTCATCCACACACACACGCTTGCATTGTCATAAAGTCTTAATCTCATCGGCATCTCAACTATGCGGCTAATGGTAAGCTGATAAATACAAAGTTTACTTGGGGTTGGTGTTTTTAACCTTTATAAAATTTCGAAGGACATCGTTGTACATGGCTGGGGATGGGTTGACCTTCTGGGGGCATGAATTTAAATGGGGGAATAACTAACTGGGGCATGTGGACAAATTACATCTCTCAATAACTGGGCGACAATATTACTACCGCTGTATTTACTACGGTATGGTAATATGCATGCTGGCTATAAGTTATTATCTCCAGTTGCGGTGATATTTTATTACTAGATAATGCGTTGAAATTGTGGATTGAGCAGGGTTATTAGATTATGAATATATACTACCATTCGGTGATGATAAATTGTCACTGAAGCGGTAGAATTGCATATGTATGTAGTACCTCCGCCGGTAACAATTATATCCACAAATTGTTGAGAGTTGTGTACAACTAGTAATTCTACGAGTGAGACGATTTTGAAGGAATTTTTGTAACCATCAATTTTTCTGCATGATGAGACGACGAACAGACAGAGATCCATTGTCTCTCTCGACGCGAGGGTACATATACCACAATATATCTTTGAAAAGAATGCGCAATACTCGAAAATAAGTAGGTGCCCTTTGACTCTGAACTAACTGTCCTCCCGTCAATCAAACGGGAACGTCTACAGACTCGCTCGATGATGAGAAACATGTTCTTTTCAATTCATCTCTAAAGTTGTGTAACAATGGGCAGGAAAATGTGTGAGTGTCATAATTTCAGGAATAAATGCCTCCCTAAAGGTGCCTTTTATACTAACTAACTTGCGCCATAGCTTAATTAATTATAACATTGGCGCAAGTACGTATTCATGTTATCACGATATTTAAGTACGTACATACGTATGTAGCACATTGATTTCACGTTTTTAGTTCGAGCAATGCACGCTCCCTGGTCATCATCATCTGTCATCCGTCACCCCCACAACAATGCAGCCCCGAAACAATGGAGTACCTCTACTACATCCGCACCTCATTCTTCTCCTCACCCCGTGATTCATATATTCACCAACAATACCATGATTCATAAGCAAATCATACATTGTATCACGCCAAATTTTAGCAAAAAAAACAATCCTCTGATTTTTAGCCCGAACCAGGGCTTATGTAATCGTCATGTCCGTCCGTCTGTCCGTCCGTCTGTCTTTCGATAACTCTCGAACGAGTTGACGGATTTGGACCAAATTTTGTACAGACATGTATCTGGGCAATGCAACGACCGAGTTCGAAGATGGGTTCGATCAGAAAAGTTTTGGACCGGTGGGGGTCATCGGAGTGGGTGGGGTATTACGCACCAAAATTTCAAAATTGTCGTAGAAAGCTGAAATTTGGCACAGAGGTTGCTAATGGCTCCTAATAGATAGAAATGAGTTCAAGATGGAAAAATTTTCATTTTGAGGGACCCTAGGGGGTGACCCATACTGATTTTTCAAAATTGTCATATCGAGCTGAAATTTGGTGGAGAGGTTGCTTATGGGTCCTAATGGAAGAATATGACATGACATTGGTATAATTTTTATCTAGAGCGACCCTATGGGGTGACCCATACCGATTTTTAGAAATTAACGTAGAAAGCTGAAATTTGGACCAGAGATCCTTACTGCTTTCTCATGAAATAATATGAAGTTATATACATATACTGAGAAACATGGGTTTACTAATCCTGGTTCGGGCTAAGCAAAGCTGTACTGATAGGTTTTTTCTTCTCTGTTGCACTTCAGTTACAGAAAGTATACGGAATAAGAAATAAGAAAACCAGTTCTTCCAGAAATGCAGTCCAGTCCAGTCCTCGGGCAGGCACCCCACCAACAATCCATCCTCCACCACCATTAAAGACATCCCAACCACGCTCTTCTTATTCCCACTGTGGGAACGTCTGCCGCATTGTTGGAGAGATCATCTCACACGTACGTATATAACGTAACAGTTTGTTGCCTTTCTTTCTTTACCATCTTAAGTAGTCGCTCTCTGCTACATATTTCTATTTAGCAAGTAAAAAAAGGTATCCACACAGAAAAACCGTCCGTTCGTTCGTATATAATCAAACCAACCACTTTCCCCTCTCGAATATTAAGATGGATATTGTATTGTTGCTTCTTCTTCTTCTTCAATATTGCGACTTGTTGTTGTATGGGTCGAGAATCTGTAGGTAGGGGATGAAGCCGATCGTCAGTGACTGCGGAAGCCGGGGGACATGTGGGGACGACATTGCCATTGTAGGATATGTAGGGGAGTCCGGGGTTACAGATGATGCGGACATCCAACAATCGTGAGGACAACACTGTCCCTCTGTCCCCTCACGGCTTCCGCGGCCACTGATGCTGCTGCCAATGATGATGATGGTGATGATGGAGGAATTCACTCCTTGAAGAATTACATTTTATAAGTATACATGAGAATATTGTTGTGTTTAATAGCCGACTTCTTCTTCTTCTTGGCGTGGTGGTGTGGTGGTAGTCATTTGTTAGTTGTCGTGTAGAAGGGGAGGACTGAGGACGACATGGACGTTGCAGCAGCAGATTGAAGAGAGGAAGCAGGTGGATGCATCGAGCTAGCAGATTATAGATTGCACCCCGTGTGAGAGAACGTATAGTCATATCCGGTTTTGCATTATATATATGCGCCCTTTAAAAATTATTGTTTGGTTTTTGAGTGTACACACGTTTTGATTTCTGAAGAAAACTGAACAGAAAAGTTTGAAGTTTTCTGTTTTTAAGTGGAAATATAAAAGTGAATTGGCTGGATGGAGTCCTCGCCACCGACGACGGCTTGCAGTGAGACGCGAGGAGAACTCCGGAGATACAAGGGAATCAGGTTTGCCAACTTTTCTCTAATCTTCTCGCCCAACCGACGACCAAGACGACGCTGCTGCTTTTTTAGCAAAGTTACTAAAATCCTAGCAAATTCCAATCGTTGTCCGATCCAAATTATACTTATGCCAAAATTTTCCCCTTGTTTTACGAATAATTGCAAAAATTCCGATCCTTGGCGTGCACCAAATTAAATATGCCAAAATGTCGTCTTGTTTCTTTCCCAATACTTGCAAATTATAATAATTCGCATCTCTCCTCCTCCAATAAATCTCACCCGATAACATCTTATCTTAAGGTGACCACTCCTCCTCCTCGAATAAAACAGGTCTGTACATACATATGTACGTACATACATACATCTGCATGCGAATAATATGCAAAGTGAATGGATATATAATTCCACCCCGTTTTTTCACCTGCACCTCCTCCATCCAGTCTTCTTCACGTCAAAGTAATTAATTATCTGTACCTCGAGCGATGATACAGAAGCGTCACTCGCAACGAAATAAGAATCTTCTGACACCTAACTTCACGACGAAAAATCCAATCCAATCCACAACCGACATTTATACTTAATCAGTGGCCGCGGAAGCCGTGGGGACATGTGGGGACGTTAGCATATTATCAGATAATGGGGGAGGGAGGGGTTTGCATAAGATGCGGACATCGAATAACTGTGGGGACATAGGGACAATGTCCTCTCGCTTTCGCGGCGACTGACTGGATCGCTTAATCGAGACGATTTATTCTTATTTATCCGAATCCCATTATTGCATCCTTCTTTTCTTCCTCCTCCCAACAAAGACGACTCCACGGCAGCTCCTCCGCTCTCGAAATAGAGCAACAATAATTAAGTGTTGTTCATTGTGTGCGTCATTATCTTCGTCGTCGGATGGGATTCAGCCTGGCTGACAACAATGCCAACCAACTAAACCACGTATGCAAATGAATGGAAATATGTAGAATCGCGTAGCGCAAGAAAAAAAATAAATAAAGCGATAGGAGTGACACTCGATCCCATTTTTGAGATAGAGAAGACAAGACGCTTATGTTCTCTTAAAGAGGATTTAAAAAAACATGCGGTTTTTCACCTTCGGGTGGTCTTCTTTGTCCCGACTTTGTCCTATTTATTGTCCTGAGACGAAAAACCGTCATCATTTTTATCATATATATTTAGAACTTGTAGACTCATCTGCTGTCCCTAACCCAACCTTGTTCTATTGTCCTTAGATTTTAGAAGCCAAGACGGGACAATTTTTATGACGTGTAGAACCTGTGGTCTCTCTGCATTGTCCCAACTTTGTCCTGTTTATTGTCCTTAGAGGAAAAACCGATCATTTTTATCATGCAAATGTAGAACTTTCTTTACGTTTCATCTACTGTCCCTACTTTGTCCTATTGTCCTTCAACGGGTAGAAGTTCAAAAAGGCATGATTTTTACCATGTGTAGAACTTACCGACTTCGCGTGGTCTCTCTGCATTGTCCCAACTTTGTACTGTTTATTGTCCTTAGACGAAAAACCGACTATTTTTATCATGTTCATTTAGAACTTGTCGACTAATCTGCTATCCCAACCTTTTTTCTATTGTCCTTAGACCGTAGAAAGCCAAAAAAAATCACGATTTTTACCATGTACAGAACTTATCGTCTCATCTTCGCCATCGTTTTGTTATATTTTCAGATCGTCCAAAAAGTCGCTGCACTCCTGCTCCTCAGACTTTTACATGCGGCGTGGCGCGGACGCGGATGAAGATGCGGAGGACGAAGCGGACACGCTCGTCCTGGGGCCGCGATCACTCTCCCTCGTACGTAGCGATAAGAATAATAATATTATTACTAACTTGCGCCATAGTTAAGTAGCTACTGTAACATTGGCGTAAGTTATACGTCATAATACAACTTGATAATATCCGTTATAGAGCGCCCTTGTCCCGAAGGAGGTGGTCAAAAAGTCGCCGCATTCTTCCTACTCCGCCCTCCTCACGCCCGACCCCAACCGGATGTCGCAGCTCGAAACGTTAGAAGCCAAGGTACAAATGTCGTCACCATTAATTAATTAATTAACTCAACTAATTAATTACTAATTAATTAATTAATTAATTAATTTTTCTAGATGGCCAGCATCGAAGTCTCCTTAGCTTCCGTAGCGGCCGCCGCATGTGCCGCGGCCTCTTCCGCTGCCCCCATTCCAGGCACGTCGACGTCATGCTCCTCCCTCCATCACGTGTCGGGCAGTAGCGGCGGGGGCGGAAGCGGTCCACCGCGCCGCACGAAGCGCAGCCTGCTCGGGTCTGCGCGGTCGCAGTTGGCGTCCTCCTCGTCGCGAACGGACCTCCTCCTCCTCCACAAGGAGGTGGAGAACCTCAAGACAAATTTGAAAGATAAGGACAACCTTATCCTCAAGTGAGTGAGAGTCAGATAACATGCTTATCATACATACGCTAAATTCGCCCTTTACAGTTTGCAGACGCAACTCCGGAAGCTGTCGAAACGGAGGGGAACGCATGGTTCCATTACTTCAACAGATTCGGGCATCCTGTCCCTCCGCGTGTTGTCTGAGTCTGAGCGCAAAGCGGCCGAGGAGCGCTTGGCCGCCCTGGATCGCGACATGGAACAGAAAAGGGGCGATATTCACTCGATCAATCAACGTTTAGGGAGACTCCGACCGTCCGAGTGAGTCGAATTATTGGGTGTCTTTATATGTATTCAATGCTTGCGCCAATGTTATGGTTTAAGTATGTGGCGCAAGTTAGCAAGAATTGGAGCTAATTCATTGCATGATTTGTCGTTAAGCTCGCTTATCGAGTGCCTTTATACTCGTTCTATATGCAGTGACTTGCGCCAATGTTATATTTTCAGTATGTGGCGCAAGTTAACAAGAAACGAAGCTAATTCTTTCCATGATTTGTCTTTAAGGCTTAAAGCTCACTTATTTAGTGTCTTTTTATACTTGCTCGTTGCATATATTTACTCTACTTGCGCCATATGCAATGGTTTAACTAGGGCGCAAATTAGCAAGAACTGGAGCTAATTGATTGCATGATTTTTATTTAACAGCAACATCGACACTCGGATCGAGCAAGCCGAGCTGGAGTATGAACTGGAACGGGAAGAGTTGAACTTGATGAACTTGGCGGAAGAGAGGCGAAACCTTCACACCATCCTTGACGACAACGACACGGCGCAGAAACGTGGCGAAAACTCACTCTTCACGTAATAATAAATAGATAAGTGGTTATCGATCCTGGTAGATATACTTATTGTTTATGGTCATATATGTAGATCGCTCCCGCTGAACGGTACGGTGTCCCTCCACTCGTTCGAGATCGTCCTGGACGCCGGGAGTGGTGCGGACACGTCCGGCTTCACCGTGGGCAAACGGGAGGATCGCGCCGGAACCTATGTCACGTGGACGAGGGAGGATCTGAAAACGTTGAAAAGGGGCGATCGGTACGTTGTGGAAAGGGACTTACAAAGGAGCTATCTCAGCGGATGCGATCCGATTTTGAGGAAATTAGTGTTAATCGATCACAAATTTGATTAGTATGAAATTTGCGAAAGACGCGATCTCCCAATGGGCACGTTTGCCAGAGATATTTGCATCCCAAGCGGGGAAAACGTGCAGAAAAGTCGACTTTCCAAATTTACTGCGCGTTTTCTCCTCTTGGGATGCAAATATCTCTGCCAAACGTGCCCATTCGGAGATCGCGTCTTTCGCAAATTTCATTCTAATCAAATGTTTTCATCGATTGAGACCAGTTTGCCCAAAATTGGGGAGCATCCGCTGGCAGACCTCCATTCTGACTTAAATGTTAACATTGGCGTAAGTCGGAGCTAATTTGCATAATTCCAGGATCGTGGAGATCAACGGAACCTGCGTGATATCGAAGGGTGTAAACCGCCTCGAAGAGTTCTGGCTGGATGAGGACAACAACCTCTCGGACGACGTGGAACTTACGGCGCATCCCTTGCGCGTCGTCGTCATGCGCGCCCCTCCACCGCCCCCACCCCCACGCGGGCCGAACAGGGAACTTCACGTAAGAAGGAAAATTCTGTCTTAATTCTGATCTCAATTAAGCTGACGCCACGTGCGTTATGGCAGACGGTGCGTGAAGAGCTGTCCCTCGTGACGGCCAAGTTGGAGCAGGTGGTGAAGGAGAAGCGTGAAGCGGTGGCGTTGTGGAACCAGTTGCAGGGCGAGGTCGAACCCCTTCTTCGCCTCCGCACTGACACCGAGCACGTGACCAAGGAGAGGGACGCCCTTCGCACGGAAGGAGTCCGCCTCAAGCATCGCATCTCGTATCTCGAGGAGCAGGTGAGTATGACAAATAAATAATTGGTCTGGTATTGAAAATGATGGTACTGACGCCATGTCGAAATCGAAATCCAGGTGTCAGAGATGATCCAAGAGAAAGTGGGCTCCTCGGCGGTGACTGTGTTCCAAAAGGGGTCCACGCGAACAACGATTGTTGGAGGGTCCGACCGACCACCCAGCGTCACATCAAATTCAACCTCAAAGTATGAAAACTCGCTCATTTCCCTTAATTTTGTATGTATTTAATTAACTTGTACGACTCACATTTATTGATGAATAGTTATTTAAGATTTCCAAAAAAAAGAAACAATGAAATGTTTAATTAAAAATATGAATCCATATTGTTTAATATTTTAGAATCTTTTCTTTTGAATTTCAATCCTCAACTTTTGTAAATCCAATTTGCTTAACAGAAGTGGTTTCGTATACGTAAAATCGTCCATATTGAGAAAATGTAGGTATTTGTTTTACAAAATTGCCGAAATATGCACAAAATATAAGCATTTTTTTACAAAATAGGTATGCTAAAATGTGCAACTAAAATCATATGCAATTTACTACAAATATTGAGAAATATATAGAAATTTTAGTAATCTATGCGAATTGGGGGACGCGCGACTAAATAACTATGTATCCCTTTTTAACAGGAGCCACCCTAAGGACACGAACGGCGACCACCACCACCACTCGACCCCTTCCACCACCACGACGACCGCCAATAACCACCGCATGATCGGCTCCGCTCTCCGGTCTCGACTCTGGGAAACCTTTCGCCGCGCTACAACCTCCACCGATTCACGATCCGTTTGCTCCATCGACTCCTCCAAGGCGGGCACGGAGGCCGGATACTTTTCCAAGAAGCGCCACGGCGGCAAAAATAAGTCCTCTTCCTCCGCGCCCTCGAAACCTTTGCGCCTTTCCCTCCAGCGCGCCACATCGTCCTCCGAAGTTTACATGGCCGAACCGCACAACAACCACCACAACCACAACCACAACAACCACCATGGCGTCGACCTTCACCCGAACAACAATGGCGCCCCGCTTCTGCGCCGGTCGAACGACCACCAGTCGGAAAATGCGCTGCTCGCGGCGTGCAGTGAGGACCGCGGTGGTAAAAAGAGCAAGGCACGTGGGAAGGGGAGTAGTGGGGGTGGGATTAGATGGCCCTCATTAAGACCGGCGTCCTCCATGAGTTACGCTATGCCGTCCGCGTCAAGTAATGGACAGCATAATAACCTCCCCCACTACTGATAAGCACACTTCCAAAAATATTGATATTATTGTTATTATTGGTACCACAATTCCTGCTAAATAGTTAAATGTATACTCAAGTTAATATGTTTAATACAAGTTGACAATATAAAAAAGCAATAAAGAAGACGTATGCCAAAGAAATGCAAAGAGAGAGAGAGACAAATTTTTCGAAAAAATAGCACCTCGCATCGCAAAACATATCGCTAAAACGAAGCATGAAAGCGGTACCTTTTTCCCACGCACAAAAATCCATACTTTTTCCATAAGTATATACATATTTTATGACGCCACTCACGAGACAAAAGTCCGTCTCAGTTTTAAGTACGGCTCTATCCTCTCATCATCTCGATATTACTACAAGTATTTGCTCGGCTTGACATCTTGTGACCCGTCGCAAAATTTGCATTCCAAATTTTGCAAATTTTTCTTTCTTCTGTGAGTATATGAATAAAATCGTGTCGTGTGAAGGAATTAAAATGAATTTCAAGTTTATGCATCTCCATCGTCGTGGTCGCTTTCCACCCGATTTTTAATTCTTCACCCAGCCATGTCGTCTACATACATATTCGATCTTGCACTCGATCTACATACATAAATATGTACATACATAAATGCGTGCACAAAGATCTAAAAGTGCACTTTTAGATCTTACATGTGCATACAGCACACTTTGCATTCAGCCATTCAATCCTATTTAGCACCCAATAACCTTCCATTCAATCCAATCACACAGTGCAGCAATTGTTACCTTAAATTCATTCCTCGCCCTAATCCGCACTATTATTTAATCATTCATTTACCTTTATTCAACTCCATTTAAGGGAAAGAAAAGAAAACAAGGGAAATAGCAAATAATGCGCGTCGTGTACCAATATTTTTTATTATTTGCAATTAATTATCCTCCACCGCCGCCGCCGCTGCCATTAAACTTATTTAATCTTGATAACACAATAACTATCGCTACTATTATTAGATAACACTACCAGCACCAGCAGCAGGGGCACTAATTACCCAATTAGTTACTTAAACACTACACATGCACAACAATAAATACTGCAACGGATGAGATAACTCGACAATTAAGCCAAGTTTAGTTACTCGCATGCACATAATAATTCATTTCATTACATACTTTTGCACATTGTTGCATTTCATAGTTAAGTTATCGCATTTCTTCCCCCCATGCAAAAATCCCCCCGCCCATCCATCAGTCTCTCGTCTCGAGTATGATTTATCGTATAAACAAGGGCTCCCATACACGTAATATGATCAGTCGTTGTGCCGTACTCAGACGAGACGCACAGCTTTCTTGAGATTGGGTAGATTTTTGCACAGTTTTTTTTGCAAATTCTTGTTATTAATACGAGACTTAACGGAAGGGAGGAAGGAAATTGAAAAGGGAGGAAGTGCGGAAGGAAGTAAAAAAGTCGACCATATACCTATTTACATATTTGGAGTTATTCATAATAACCAGATAAGTGCTTAAGGAGTGGAGTGCATAATGGGAAAGTTGATTCGCACTGAACAACACGGTTTTGGTCTCGTAAGTCGCCGTCTTCTTTTTACTTACACAATAAAAAATTACCATAATTACCATTTTATTTTTCGCGATTATTATTATTATTCACTTTACAAGTGATTACTTTACGATGTGAAGTAATATTTGTGTAAAAAAAGAGGCTTTCCGCCACCGTACCGCAGTGTGGACAATGTGGCAATCAGGAACAATAGATAGACAAATTTTGTGAGAGATAATAAAATAGAAATCAATTCTCCTGTAACGCGGCGTAATAATGAGGTGTAAAGTACATAATTTAAATGATATAATATGCTAATGTAGATAGGGAGGCAGAGTGAGACAAAGGTTTTAAAAGTGTATACTTAAGAACTTCTTATTAAGAACTGTTTCGTTTTTTGAGGGTCTGGTACATATAATTTGTTGCTCTGGAAAGCGAGAATTGCAGGAAATGCGAAGGTGCACGAAAGTGGGAGAAAGTGGGAGAAATATTCACTATCTAAAATATTCCTCATTTCTTAAACGCGTAAATTTCTTACACTTAAAATTCTGATAAAGTCGCATATCTACTCCGTTCTGGTATTGATTTGGTAATAACTTCTTACCCGATTGGTAGTAGTTTGTTTCTGAGTGGAGAGTTTTACATTACTGAACGGTAATGTCCGTTAATACTCCGTTTGCGGTAGAGTTATACATGTACTCCGGGCAGTAATTATTAAACATTAACCACTTTCTACCCGTTATTTCTTGCACGTGGTTACTTGCACGTGGAGGAAGCATTGAATCTAATACTTATTGATTCCCTTCCTCTCTTTCAGGCCAGAAAAGTGACCCTGATTGCCGTGCTTGTCCTCTGCGTGGGCGTCACCGCCGCGAAACGTCGCCCCAGAACGAGATCCGTCCTCAAACTGTACAATAACGAGAACTACGTGGGAAATTATGTGGACAATAATAACAACGGTTTCCGCCCGGGAATCGTTCTTAACGAAGGAGGCGGGGGCGAAGGAGGGGGAGGAGGAGGCGACTTCTACAACGACATCATCACCCTAGGAGACGCTCCTCCTTCCTCCCGCGGTACGGACGACGGGGGCGCCTTCGTCGTCACGGGAGGCTATCAAGTCTCCGACGATGGTGGGGGCAATTATTCACCCTATTCTGGCGACACCACCCCCCACTCGCGACCCCCGTACCATCCCCACCCTCCCCTAAAAGCGCACTACCATCAAGACAACAGCAACCGGGTGACGCCGCCCACCTCCCAGAAGACGCACCACCCTCACCGCGGGTACAGCAAGTTTATCCCCAACCTCCCCCAGCACAAGAGCCCCCTCCCCCACGACCACCCGCACCACCACCACCACAAACTGCAGCAAGGTTACCAAGGTCATAAATACCCCCACTACGATTTTACCCCCCAAAAACAGGAAGGCTACCCCCACCAAAAATACCCCCATGTCGAATATCCCCACGAAGGTCCTCCTCCACCTTCATCCAACCACCCACAGCAGGGCTACCACTTCCAGAAATCCCCCCAGAACGATTATTCCCCCCACCACCACCACCACCACGAAGGTCCTCCCTCGTCCTCCACCCCCATGTCCAGTTATCACTACCAGAACGGCGTCATGCACCACGTGACTGGGGGATTTTCTCCGCTCCCCCCCACGCGACACCTCAGAATGTCCCCGCCCTACCACCACCACCACCACCACGCTAAACACCCGGGTTTCCGAGGGTACGGAAATTACGGGCCGTCTTACCGCAACGGAGTCCAGTACCGGCAAGACGGCGAAGAGGCAGCAAATGTCTCCGTGGGATACCCGTATTTTAGATGATAACCGCCGATAAGCTTAATGATAATCGTCAATCATACTTTAAAGATCAAGACGGCTGCAAATGATATCCGTATTTCAGATGATAAGCTTAACGATAATCGTCGTCGTCATACTTTCAAGATCTCCAAATGTGCACGTTTTTACATATTCTGCACAAACCCAATTACAAAAATGAAGTTCAAGTTCGCAAAAATATGGCAAAAATTTTAGCACATGTACATAATTGCGTGCATGTGGTTTGTTGTACACTTTGCTTGCACGAGTCACTCACTCTCTTCTTGACTCGACGAATGTTACTTGTTATTGGGCAGATAGAAAAGAGAAATTTCAAACACAAAACTAAAAACCAAAGCCAAAAACCACACGAGTAATAAAAATGATAAAAATTGAGAAGGAACAATGTTTCGCATGATATGTAAGTAAACGTACAATTTCATTCATTTCGTATTTACATTTTACATGTACGTCACACCGCATGGGTCGCGAAAAAAATTGAAGTACACTAAAACCCTAATTTCATCGCCAAATTGTTTGGGTTCAGTTTCAATATTTTTTTTAAAACAGCAAAATCACGATGAATCAGGATGACTTTCGATAAATTGAAATATTTTCTCTGGTGTAAAATCGAAGGGAGTGAGACGAATCAAGTGTGGGATGATAAATATGTACCAGTCTCAAGTCTCAATTTTCCCAGTTTATTATTTTGCATAGTACTTGGGAGTCTGTAGTCTCAATTTTCCCGATTTTGTATTTTGTATAGTATTTGGGAGTCATAAGTCTCAATTTTCCCAGTTTATTACTTTGCATAGTTTTTACTTGCAACTAAGTGGCCATCTCAATTTCCCCGTTTATTTAATTTACATACTACTTGGTTGGAAGTCACCGTCTCAATTTCCCCACCTTATTTATTTGCATACTACTTGGCAGTCATCGTCTCAATTTGTATAGTTTATTGTTTTGCATACTACCGTCTCAATTTCCCCTCTCATGCAATATTCCCCTCGTTTTAATGGAAACTTTCTAACATACGAAGTTCTAGAGGCACAAAATCATCTAATACAGAGGTTTTTACGTCTCAATTTCCCCTTCCAACCCAGTCACCTGGCTTGTCTCAATTTCCCCTTCCAACCCAGTCACCTGGCTTGTCTCAATTTCCCCACTTTTGAGGAGCTACATAAGCCTTTCTACGTCTCACCTTCCTGTTCCCAGTCTCATCTCAATTTCCCCTCTTCCTTGAGGAGATAGGATTGAAAAACCATGTCTCGGGTTGTCCACACACTCTACCCAATCTACCCCCCACCCCCAAAATCCCCCCTCCCCCCAAAACTAACACCTCCCCTTCCCCCCAGTTTGCTTGGTCCTCATCGTCCCCACTGGATGCCCCCCCACACAAGCAATACATGCAATTTCTCCCAAACTCTCGTCTCTCTGGCCTCGTGGGAGCCACCTTTGGGCGCACGTGGGAAGGAGCGTGTTCACCATGCTCTCTCCTCTCGCAGGCTGCACACTTCCTCGGCTGCTACACAACCGGTCACTTCACTCCTCACTTCCTTCTCCACAAGAAGTTTTTAATTTTAATTGTCGCTAGAGTTAAGTGGTCGACGCCATGGTCAAGTACTCCAGGGAGCCGGACAACCCGTCCAAGTCCTGCAAAGCCAAGGGGTCCAATCTTAGGGTGCACTTCAAGGTAATTTAACTTATTTTAAGCCGCAATATTCATCACTTATCATCTTTACAATTCGCACGGCTTATTTACTTAATACTTAATTAATTAAGTAACTAACTGGTCATTATTATTATTGTTCATAGAACACGAGGGAAGCCGCCTGCGCCATTAAGCGAATGCCCCTCCGCCGAGCTATCAAATACTTGAAGAACGTGCTCGAGAAGAAGGAATGTGTCCCATTTCGACGGTACAACGGCGGTGTGGGGAGGTGTGCCCAGGTAAATAACCAATAACCTCCTTAACAATTAAATTATCTCCTAATTAAATTACTTAATTGTGTTAATTATGAATTGACAGGCGAAGCAGTGGGGCACGACGCAGGGAAGATGGCCCCAAAAATCGGCCGAGTTTTTGCTCCACCTCCTCCGAAATGCAGAATCCAACGCGGACTCGAAAGGTCTCGATGCTGACCGTCTCGTCATTGAGCACATTCAAGTGAACCGAGCCCCCAAAATGAGGCGTAGGACGTACCGTGCTCACGGAAGGATCAATCGTAAGTTTCGAAATACTTAATTCTTAACTTAGTGACTCAATTACTCGACATTTTTAATGATTTCTCCGCTCTGGGAATTTATTTTAAAATTCTGGACGACAATTTTGCCGTCAATGAGTCATTGATTAATGGAATAGCGGTGAGTTTCTAAACCAGGTTCAACAAGTTCCAATTTTTCTGAAGGCTTCTTAACCTTGAGATCTCCTCCTTCAAAAAGTTTCAAAATCTGGAGTGTATATTTTTCAAAAATTGCAACTCCCTGCTCTACAAATTTTAAAATAAATTCCCAGACCGGAGAAATCATTATAATTGTGCTGATTTTGACGACTTATCATCGATTCCTACATAAGCTAACCTCTCTTCTCCTTTTCCTTAGCCTACATGAGCTCCCCGTGTCACATTGAGGTCATTCTTTCCGAGAAGGACGAAGTCGTGGCCCGCGCCAAGGAGGAGGAACCCGTCAAAAAGAAGATTTCCAAGAAGAAACTCAACCGACAGAAGATGATGCAGCGAGGAGAGTAAAAATAAATCTACGTAAATTTCCACCATTCTCTCGAACCCCCTCCACCTCATCCTCGATAACAACTTATCAATTCCTCCCTTGTTGGTGATGACTTTACAGAAAAGGAAAAAATAAAAATGTTGACACTTTTACAACCGTTGAAACAATTTCGTAAAAAGACGCATGGCTTTATTTATTCATTCATTTACTCTCTAGGATTTTGCATATACCTGAGATCTCAGTTTTGTAAATAGTCGTAGTACATAGGATTTTTTTCATCTACTTTTCTCTCTCCATAATAAATAGTACAATAATTCATTATTAGATTAGTTTAAGTACAAACTCGTCGTAGCAAAAGATATAAGAAGAAGAAGGAGAGGAAGGAGCGGGCTGGAATTCTGCGACATTTGCACTATTTTTTTTGTAGTCGGCTTGATAAATATGATACGTTACAGGCGAAGGGATATATTTATATAATATAGGAAATTTGTATAAATTATTTCGTTCACCGGGCGAATAAGTAGTGTTTTGGTGTTAAAAAAAACAACCAGACTAGATTTGTGTTCTATCAACTCCTAAGTTTTGATCTTGGTTATTTACATACACGGGAAATTTTGTAGATTATATGAGCACTATTAAAATACACATTTATGAATTAGAATAGTAGTTAGTCCGATTCGTTGTTATTCACCTCCGGAGCGACCCAGTCACTAGATTTGTCCGTCTCCATCCCCCCAAGTGTTGACCACCTCTGGTTATTTACACACGAAATTTTGTAATTATGAGCACTATTAAAATACACATTTATGAATTATGGTAGTAGTCCGATTCGTGTCGTTGTTTTACAGGTCGTGATGATGATTATTATTCACCTCCAGTCACTAGATTTGTCTTCAACTCCTAAATTTTGATTTGACCACCACCTTTTCTGATTATTTATACACGAAATTTTGTAATTATGAGCACTATTAAAATACACATTTATGAATTAGTAGTCCGATTTTTGTTACAAGTCGTGTCCTCCGTTATTCACCTCCGGCGCGACCCAGTCTTTCACCCCTTTCGCACAGAGGACCTGAGCGAGGCCTTGTTGGTCACCGAAGTGGGCGTGGACGTGGGAGAAGCACACCTCGTAGGGGGCGAGGGCAGCACCATTGATGACGACTTTTCCCAAGAGGCTGATCAGTTTGGAGGAGATGGTGTCGAAGGAGAGGATGAAGTGGGGCAGGGTCCCGTTCGGGAGGAGTTTGGCGGAGATGAAGTCCTCCAAAAAGGTCACGTTCGTGGAGAAGGGAAACTCGGCGTTGTGCAGGCGCGACGTCACGGAACCGGCAAGACTGGATGGAGCGCAGGTAAAATACTCGAACGTGGCGGATGGGTTGTGCATGTATCTGGAATGGGTAGGATAAATTGTGAGGTGAAGAACGGAGGTCTTGGGAACATTGTAAACTTACAAACTTCTAAAATATGTGTAAAAGTTTGCAAGTTTATAGAATTTACGGATTTTGCCATGTTATCAAGGACTGCGTGAATCGTGTCAGTGTGTATTTTACCCGTTTTTATACAGGGTACGAAATTGAGGGTGTAAAAACAGGTAAGTAAAATACACGCTTAAGCAATTCACGCAGTCCTTGGTAACATTGCAAAATCCATAAATTCTGCTAACGTATAAACTTCACAAATATTTCGAAGGAAAATTAGCTCACAAATTTTTGTAAACTTGCTCAGATCAAAGGCGTCGTAGTTTTATATTGTAAAAGTTTGTAAAACGGTGGTACAAACCACACGGATTTTACAAAGTTACTAATGACTGGGTGAATTGCTTGAATAATTAAATTCCTTGATAAATAAACGTACGTGAAGACGGGGACGGAGTAGCACTGCATCATGACCCAAATGTGCGGCGCTGTGATGGAAGCAGACTGCAAGTTGACATAATTTGCGATGGGGAGGATCCCTCCTTGGTGGAATGAGCAGAAGTACAGAGCAGCCAAAATGTTGACCACCAGGGTGAGGAAAAACCAATTGTTGAGCATTCTGTGTAAAATCATACGTCAGTGTACACTCAAAATTTTCAATTTTCAATAATGTTCGTCTCTTGTTTACTAGCAATTAATTCAGTATTAGTCATATTTATTACCTGCCAATGTCGATCTTCTCCCTTTTTACAACCTCGGGATCTTTACCCAGCTCGCCACACTTGTAGAACACGTCCCCAATCACGGCAAACATGTGGGGAAGGATTGGCAAGAGGAAGCGGATCTCTTTGTGACGGATCAGACTGGAAAAAATACAGGCACAACTTTCTCTAATAAGCAATCTCCTTAATTAGTTGATTAGTTAATTAGTGAGTATCACCTGAAGCAGGATATGAAACCCAGAATGACGGTCCATTCCTTCTCGTGTAGCCGGAGTGAGAGGGAGACGAGAAGGGGGACGACGCTGAGACCGAGGATGGATGGCACCCCAGAGTAAAAGTACCAAAGGACGTGATGCTCCCCAAACTGGGCTGAGTCACCCTGGATAAAGTTGAACTGGATGAATCGCAGCCAGGTCATCATAGCTTTTCCGTACACGAACGAGTCAACAATTGCACCCACAACGATCACACTCAACCTGTTCATTAAATAATTAAAGAATCTCTTAGTATTTTACTCCCACTTTATCATCACTGCTTTTTAAAATACTTCGTCAAAATGCAGTATTTTGAGCTCATTTCCACTTAGGATTTAGAGTTCCAGGGGAATCAAACCCACAAATAGAGGAGAATCTACGTGTAGAAGGCAATATTCGGTCGAAAATGCACGTTTTGCAAGAAAGTAACTCTTGTATCGCTGTCAGAATATATTATTTTTTAACAAGGCCCCAAAAAATGGGAAATCTTAGTGAGTCAGCGCAATCACAGTTATAAATAAATTTAGATTGAATAACTTTTGCATCACCGCTCTCGGTATCATTTTTCCTGGAAGCATTAATTAATCATTAAGAATAATTGCCCCCCCCCCTCAAAGGTTCTGGAGCAAGATTATTTGACACTTTATCAATCTATAAAAGACGTAGATACTTAATGTCAAGCAATCGTGGGTCTGGAGATTTCATCAGAATAGGGATTAATAGGATATTGAAATTTATATATCGAAATTGTAGACTTTCAACTCTTTCTAAATTTAAAATTCGCAGTTCACAATATCATATCGATTAATTTAGCCAACATCTCGTTCAATAGTAAAAACGTCATCTTGTAATCTCAATTAATTTAATGAATGCAAGAGTTCATGCGTATGCAAAACTAAATTTACAGTGGACCCAGTAAAAATTATCCCGAGCGGTGATGCAAAAGTTATTCAATCTAATTTTATTTATTAACTGCGATTGCGCTGACTCACTAAGATTTCCTTTTTTTGGGGGCCTTGTTTATTTAAAACTTGTAATTGGTTGTCAAAGACATTATTTTTACTGCACAACCGCCGTTATTATCGGCACCCTGAATATTTTTATTAAATTTTTGATTTTCAAACTTGAATAACGCCGTTATTTCTCAACCGATTTAGGTCATTTTGCGCTTAAAATATCCGTAATGACTTTGACTAAAATATTTTCAATAAGCGAGCATGCTGAGATACACCACTTATGAATCATAAAAATAAATATGTTTTCAGGGGAAAATTTTTGCACATTTTGGCACATAACTTAGGTAAAAATCAAAAATTCGCCAAGTCGACTAGCACATCTTTTCTAAATTGTCTAACAATGATCTGTGCAAAATTTCATCAAAATCGGTTGAGAAATGACCGAGAAATCGACTTATGTCACTTTTTTTGGGTGGGGTAAATGCATACTTAGCAAATTTTTTTCGTTGCCAGGTATTTGCCTCACTAAGAAAAATCGTGAAAATGCAGTATTTTGATAGTGATAAAAACTTGATTTCTTAAAAAAACGTGCATTTCTTGACTAACTGTTGCCTTCTCCACGTAGAGTTTCGTCTTTTTGTGGGTGTAACAACCCTGGAAATCCAACCCCTTGGAAGAACTAAGCTCAAAATACTGTATTTTGACCACCCCTGGTCTCTCACCCAACAAGAATAGCAGCCGGGAGTCGATGGGCCACTCTCATGGGAAAGAACAGTTTCAACACTTCCCAAACCTGCGGTATCCAGATGACCACGGCGGTCGGACGGATCACAAAGTTCAACGCGACGACACCCACCATCGGCACGATTTGGTCTAAAAGCACAAAGTTAACTTCTTAATAAATTAATTACTTGTGTCCTTTAAATAATGCTACTCACGCATTTGCATCAAGTACATCGCGATGCAGTTCAAACTCATCTCTACCGAATTTGTCAATGTTCTTGCGCCGCAGTAGAATGTAAACCAACACGTCAACATGAAGGTCAAGCTCCATTTTGCGCTCGAAATCCCGAATCGCGATGTACAGTAGAGGAAAAGGCTCCAGTCACCGAACGCCGTCAGAGTCGCCATCGCCAGTCGCGGAATGATCAACTAGACGACCAATAATATAAACATTATTAATCCATAATAATTAAGGATATTAATTAACTCTTCAAATGGATGTCGGCCAGCGTATGCTCTACAATTTTAGCAAATTAATGTCAATCGATTGCGAATTTAATTAATATGAAATTTGCAAAAGACATGATCTCCCAATGGGCACGTTTAGCAGAGATATTTGCATCCGAAGAAGAGAAAAAAAGTAAATTTGGAAAGTGTACAATTTGTCAACTTTACTGCGCGTTTTTCTCTTCTTCGGATGCAAATATCTCTGCAAAACGTGCCCTTGGGAGATCTTATCTTTCGCAAATTTCATACTAACTAAATCTATCATCAATTCCCACTAATTTTCCCAAAATCGGACAGCACTCGCCAGTCGACCCCCATTGTCCGTCAATCCGTACCAGTGCATACGGCGAGTCGGCCCCCATCCACTTGAGCGTTTTGTACAAGGCCGTGATTACGAAGGGGAAGAGATGGTTGCGCAGGCCGACGAGCCACTCCCACGTCAAGTGACCTCTCCCCCATGTGTACACGTAGGCCACCTCCGTCGACTGCCACGCTTCGTCAGGCACAAACTCCGTCTGGATCAGGAACGCGGACAACCAGCGGAACAAGAGACACACCATCAGATACTTTCGCTATACGAAAAAATAAACAATAAAATTTTGTAAAAACTATTCCACAATTTTATCAATTTTACTACCACCCACCATTCCGATCCTTTTCCAAAGAGGAGTGGCCGCCATTGTGAGCACCTTCTTCTTCTGACTTCGCATCATTCTAATATGCAAATTAGTTAGTTAGTTAATTAATTAATTAATTATTCACTAAACCTAATTCTGTTCACCTGATGATTGTGGCGAGTGTTCTCTCATCCTCGGTGCTGGTTCTGCGTGGATTTTTCATCTTGACCCGACGAGCCCCCATGACAACTGAACGACCCTTATTCTTAACGACTCAAGAGCGGGTCAGGCCGGCTTGGCGACGGCGGCGACGACGAGGCGCGGAGGGTGTGGTCTTATCAAGGCAAGGTCACTTATCAAGGGCGCTGTTCTCCTCCTCCGTGACACTTCTTCTGGGGCTGAAATGACCTCCTCTCCGTCAGCGCCCTGTTCTTCTCCCCTCAGAGAAAACTGACTGACTGACAAGAAGGGGAAAATATGTTCAAACTTGGCCCCTTCCCGCCACCCGGCAAGGGGCAAAGTGAGACTATAGCGCATGTATTAACTTTACTTGCTGTCTCGGAAATCTAGTCAGCTGAGCAATTAAATTAAATAAATGGCGTAATTATCTTTGACATTGTTGTGGAATTAATTAAAGATAAATTATATTATCATGGGTAGCTTTCGACAAGGTTTTGGACGTCTTTCTCGCACTCTTAATTGGTATCCGAAGCATATGAATTCGGGTAAGTGATACTTTTTTTTAATTTTAAAAGGTTTAATTGTCAATAATTTACATTTAATTGCTGATTTAGTACTTTAACTGAATAAATAACCTTCTTTTTGGTTTAGGGATGAAACAAATGCAAGCAAAGCTTCGTTCTGTAGACTGTATTTTAGAATTACACGATGCCAGAATCCCATTTTCCGGAAGGAATCCAAACTTTGCACAATCTCTTGTCGGTGATAAGCCACATATTTTAGTACTGAATAAAGTCGACCTGATTCCACGTGAGACTGCTCGTGCCATCGCGGCGTCGCCACTTATCACCTCCTCAACGCCACATATTGTGTTCACGAATGCTAAAAATGATCAGGATTCGGGAATCAAGAAGGTTAGTTGAGTTAATTAATAATTAAGAAGATTAATATGAACAATTAAATTAATTAGTGAATATCTCATCATCCAGATAACACCTCTAATGCGGAAACTAATCGAAGAATCGGATCGTTACCATCGCACGAATACGACTGAGTTTCACGCCATGATTATCGGTGTGCCGAACGTGGGGAAATCATCGCTTATCAATATTCTCAGAGCTAGGAATATGAAGAAAGGTTCGTCCACTCGACCAGTCGATTAACTTTAATGACGTTAATTAACTGCGCTAATTAATTATGGGTTAGGATAAATATTTATTTATTTGCGTAAACAACTTTGTTTCTTTGTCAGGTCGTTCCCTGAAAGTCGGACCATCCGCCGGAGTTACGAAATGTGTCCATGAAAAAGTGAAAGTTTCCGAAAATCCTACAATCTTCCTTTTCGATACGCCTGGAATTCTAACCCCTAAAATTGATGGGGATGAGACCGGACTGAAATTGGCAGTTTGTGGTTAGTAGGATTAAACTGTAGATTGATTTTTATGATAATTATTATAATCATATAGTTAATCATGTTACTAATTAAGTTCCCTGCACTCTAATTTCAATTAATTGTGGTATTAATTAATGTTATTTAACCAGGAAACCTGCCTGACCACGACGTTGGAGAGATGTTAATTGCGGACTACATTCTTTACGTTCTTAACAGCCGGAAGAATACTCGCTACGTGACCTGGATGGGGTTGGACGGACCTTGCGACTGCATCACGACAACCCTTACGAAAGCCTGCATTCATTTGAATATTATGTATACCGTCAAAGACTTCAATGCATCAGGTGGGTTATCATTCGCCACATTAAATCCATATTTTAAATATTTATCTAAATACTATGTCAAAATATAGTATTCTAATCTCCGCTTCTTCCCAGGGTTTAGTTTTCTATAGCTGTTACACCCACAAAAAGACGAGAATCTACGTGGAGAAGGCAGCAGTCATATGAAAATGCAGGTTTTACGAAGAAATTAACGTTTTAGAGCTGGAAAAATACTTGATTTTCACGATTTTCTAAAAATAAAGTATTTTAACAGCGATAAAAAGTTAATTTCTTCATTCAACCTGCATTTTCGTCTAACTATTGTCTTCTCCATGTTCATCTTCGTCTTTTTATGGGTGTAACACCCCTGGAAATCCAAACCATTGGAAAAACAGAGATCAAGATACTCTATTTTCACATCATGCAATTTACCATGCAATTTACATCACTTTTTCCTCTTTCTCTTTTTACAGGTGGCCTCATTAAAAAACCCAACTTTGACATCATGGCTAAAATGTTTATCGAAAAGTTCAGAGCTGGCGACTTTGGCAAAATTATTCTCGACGAGATCGACCACACCGGAGTACACGATTCCCATGAAAAGATGCACCTTCACCCCAACGAAACTTGGATGAGCAGTAGTAGTTCTACGGGCTGAAAAATAAACGACACTTAGCTAATCATCCTAACAAGAAGAATTAATTAACACCATTAAGTTACGTATAATCATGAATTCTTATGAATCATCGTTCGTTATCATGAGAATTTATGTATTGTCATCATCATCATCACTTCCATGAAATAAAGACACGGTTATAATTTTACATGACAGTTCAGTTAATCTTTATTCGTCTCATCATCCTTCTCGCTAAATATGGATTGTCATCAAAAAAATTGCAAATTCGCAAATTTCTATTGGCATTTACCTATTCAGCATCAAGTGAGAGTCTCTCACAACCTAAACTCAGCCAGCTGCTGACAGTGTTGTTGACCAACCCCAAAAAAACTCTCACTACATACTTTACTTTATTTACTTTTTACACTCTTAAATAATTATAGAATTAATTAATTAACTATAATTTTACTGCCCCCTCTTTCACAGGAGGGTTGTCCCTGCTGCCTAAAGGACCACTGGGGGTGGGGGGTTGGTCAATAGTACTTGTCAGTTTGCAGTTGTTCTTCTGTTTCTTTTTGGTGCTGGTGCTGTTGACTTGTTGACCTTTTTGAGGATGACGACGACATAGTGCAAGAATGTCGGGCAATTTTGCAGTGGCATTTGCAGTACAACCCAAACGACGTGGGGGTCGTGGGGGTGGAGGTGAAGGGGGTGGCCCCAATCCGACTGATCTCTCAAGTTTCTTCGAATGTCCGGTTTGCTTCGATTACGTAAGACGTTGGGCAACATTATTTAATCATTTTCTCAGTTTTAGGATTATGTGTAGTTTCATTTTTTGTAAAATTGCGACTTTTACTTTATTTTTAACTCATTTTTGTATTGTTTTTTAAGAGGATAATAGTTTTAGGATTGGTTTTCTTGTTAATTAATGACTGTTTTCCTTATTTTTGCAGGTTTTACCCCCCATTTTCCAATGTCAAGGGGGGCACCTGGTTTGCAGTATGTGTCGCCCTAAACTTAGCTCGTGCCCGTCATGTCGAGGCCCGTTGGGTGAGAGGAGTAGCAAAATTTGACCTTATCTATCATCCATATTTGAGTTTCTGATTTGATATCATATTTGATTATCTATTGGGCGCAGGAAACATTCGTAACTTGGCGATGGAGAAGGTCGCATCGACGGTATTCTTTCCCTGTAAGTACGCCTCGAACGGGTGTCCCGCCCTTCACCTGCACCCCGATAAGGGAGAACATGAAGATAAGCTGTGTGAATTTCGACCCTACGTTTGTCCCTGTCCTGGAGCGCAGTGCAAATGGAGCGGATCTCTCGATGGCGTGGTAAGTATTTTGTAACTGTTTACTTACTGTTATTACCGATATTAGTTGATATTGTTGATATTAATTGATATAATATTATATTTATTAGATGCCGCATTTATTATTGAGTCATAAGTCAATCACCACCTTGCAAGGTAGCCATTTATGTAATTAATCAGTAATTAACTACCGTGTTAAAATTAAACCTTACGACAGATGTGTATTTTCATTTGATGAGGCACGATGCAAAAGTATTGTAAATATTTTTATGATTTTAGACGAAAAACCAAATTAGACTACAAAAACTTCATGAAAAAGAAAAATTTTTAAATGCCAGAAAAATCACATTTGTTAATATTTCTTAGTTTTTCTAAATAAGTTCAAAAATAAGTCAGTATTTCGCCTATTTCTCAAACCTTAGGCATCTAAAGTTTATAATAATTATGATGATTCTCGACAAAAAAATATAAAAACAATACAAAAATCGTACAGAAATTGTACAAAAAATGCAACTTTGAAAATGAAAATATGCCCTAAAATTCATATTTTCTTTACCACAGGCGAGGACATCGTATTTCTGGCGACGGACATAAATCTCCCCGGTGCTGTGGACTGGGTCATGATGCAATCCTGCTTCGGCCAACATTTCATGCTCGTCCTGGAAAAGCAAGAACGACCCGATGGCCACATCGCTTTCTTCGCCATCGTCCAACTCATCGGCAGTCGCAAACAGGCGGATAAATTCGCCTACCGTTTGGAATTGACTGGACAGCGGCGCCGAATGACGTGGGAAGCGACGACACGATCGATTCATGAAGGAATCTCCTCCGCCATTGCTAAATCCGATTGTCTCGTCTTCGACAGCGGAGTGGGGGGTCACTTCTCTGAGAGTGGCAATCTTGGGATTAACGTGACAATTTCCATGGTAGGTCAATATATGTGTCCACAATATCCACCATATTAACGTAGGACTGAATTAGTCTTCACTAAAATCGTCAAAATCAACACATTTGTAATCATTTCTCGGGTCTGGGAATTTATTTTAAATTTCTGAACGACAAATTTGTAGGAAGTGAGTTTATTGATAGAATGGTGATGAGTTTTTTTTACGCCAGTTTCGTTGAGTTCCAATATTTCCATAAACTTGAAATCTTCTTCAAAAAGTGTCAAAATCTGAAGTGTATACATATTTTTAAAAACTTGGCAACTCTCCCTGCTCTACAAATTCGTCGCCCAGATTTTCAAAATAAATTCCCGAAGCCTAGAAATAAGTACAAATGTGCGGATTTCGACAATTCTCTCTAATTTTGATTCATTAACTCTTTCACAGTTGACGAAATTGAAAAAGCAGACGTCATTCCTGGCCGAGACGGTCCCTTGTGGAGGTGGTGGTCAAGGTCAAGGACAAGGCCCTGGTCAAAATCAAGGTCAATGTAGTGGCGGACATCCTTCCACGTCATCCTCTGCTATGGATTGAGTGACCACGACAAGAACAGAACAGAACAGAACACAAGTCAACTTTATTATTGTTACGTATTTAGATTAGTTATGTATTAGTTGTACAAATCTCATCAATCTCTCGACACCGGTGTGAATGGTGGCGTTGTGGAACCGTGTGTGGTGGGGGGTACCATGTCCCCACAGAAAGGATAATTCCCTATCCTTCCCCCCCCACAATCTTACCGCCCCCACGGTTTCACACGCCCCTCAATAATCAATCAATTAACAACACGAGTCAAACCTTTTTGTGATCCATAACCCAAGTTTTTCCTCAGTTATAAATAGTTCTTAATTAATTAGTATTCAATTAATTAAATAGTTCTTAAATTAGCAGTACACGATGTCAACAAAATCAGGAAATTTGAGGCATTCCAACCCTAGCGTTCTCTCTATTTACCAAAGCAAACCAACCATTCCATTTTTTGCGGAGGGTTAGGTGATGAATATTTTTTTATACATGCAAAATTGAAATTGTACCCAATTTAAAGTTTATTTTTTATGCCGGTTAATCCACAAAGTGTGCAAAAAATATGTAGATTATTGCTATTATTTGAATCGATATGAAACCTGAATTAAAAATAGATCACAGTTAAAGTTTACTTATCAATCAATCGAGCAATCAATTTATTTATTAAATGACATCATGCATAATCATAATTAAATATTGTGTTACATTTATTTATTTATTTATTACAGATCGTATTTTTACTAATTACATATTAATTATTATTATTTATTGAATGCGATAACACAATTGGAGAAACGCCACGCGACTCAAAAATATTTAACTAGACGTATTTAGAATTATTGTTTTTATTTACTCGGTTTTTTACAATTTTGTCCACACACCTTCCACTCAACGTAGGACGGATATCGTCAAAATGAGCATATTTTTAGTAATTTTTCGGTTCTGTGAACTTATTTTAAAATTCTGGACGACAAATTTGTAGAGCAGAGAGTTCCCAATTTTTTGAAAATGTACACCAGATTTTGACACTTTTTGGCGGAGTAGATCTCAAGTTTAGGAAGCCTTCAGAAAAATTGGGATTCGTCGAAACTGGCTCAAAAAACTCAACGCCATTCCATCAATCAACTCACCGACTACAAAGTTGTCGTTCAGAATTTTAAAATAAATTTCCAGGGACGAGAAATAATTAAAAATGCGTTAATTTTCGTGGTTCGTCATCCAATCCTACATTAAGGGTGCCCCCACCCCCCACAAATTCCCCCCAGTCTATGTACACGTCATCCTCATCTTGGTCGTAATACATACTAGCCATTCCGTCCTACAAGCTAATAAATGCCCTCGTTCGTCACTACTCCCTTCATAATACTTGTCATGGTCCCCGCCCCGCCCCCTCAAAAAATGTGGCCCCCTTCACCGAGTCGATTTCTGTGTCGTCGTCGAGGACGAAGAAGAAGCGGCCACCCTGCACCCGCCGTACTGACTGGTCGCCGGTGTCGTCGTCGCCGATCGCCCACCACCACCCCGCCTCCTCTTCCTCCTCCGAGTACTCGTCACGTTCGCGGACTCGGACCCCACCGACATGGGGAGTGGATTGGAACAGTCCAGGCCAGAGCGGAAGGTGCGGATCGCGTTTTTCAAAACCTATAGGGCAAACAAATAGATACAAATTGTTATCTTGGTGTCGTCTTTGGCTCATAAAAATGCTGGCCATGCCATGCCCGATAACTTATCGGCGATAAGCTTCTTCCAGCCAGCCAGCCAGGAGATCACTTTCTCCAAAAAATAATAGGATCCCCTCCTCCTCAACTAAACAACTTTCTCCACTTTCTCTCTCCAAACCAACTACTTATCCTTACCGTCGGCGTTTGTATGTACGTATGAAAACCTCGTGGGGACAGTGACGCAAATATGGAACATGATTTCGTTTTTTGTGGATTTTCTACATACATTTCTTGCACTGGGAGGCAAGAAACGCAAGAAATGGAGAAATGGGAGGTGCAAGAAAGTGGGAGAAAGTGTGAGAAATATGACCCGCGCTGAGGATGAACTACTACAGCAGCGCGGCGTAGTTTCTTGCGCCCTGCATTTCTCCCAGGTCAAAACATTTCCCTGCAAGAAACTACTTTCTTCCACCTGATAGGCTACATGTCGCTTATCGATTCTCCTCACCTTATCTCCCGCATTCCACGCCATGACGAACGTGGCGACATTCTGATCCCCACGTTTGACCCCCATCACCAAATAGGCCGCACCGGGACGTAGCTTGGACGCGCAGCAGTTATCCTTATGGTCCAAGGTGAGCTCACGCCCCGCACTGGCGGCCCCCGTTTCGCCACGTCCCGCGGGTTTAAACCATTTTCCGCGACGCCACTCCAACTGCGACGTCCCCCCGCGGGAGAGACGCTTCAGCTTGGCTCGAAACACTGTAGAAAATCTTCATGAAATCCCCCCAAAAAATGGAAAATTTATGAATTTTCTTACCGAAATCTGCTCGGCAAAAGTGGTCCACGATGTTTTCGCAGGTGTGCGCCTGGTTACAGGACGGGCAGTCGGGCTCATCTACAGATAAGCACAACAGGATTAGCATAACTATATACTTAAATTATCCACTTCTTATCAAACTCCTTACCTAGCAGTCGTTCCGAGTTGTTCGCGGCGCCTGGTTTGATGCAAAGGTCGCCATCGGGAAACTGGTCGCAGCGGAACATGGATGGCCAAGGGTACTTGTAGGTCAACATGCGCGGCTCGCATTTCGCTTGGACGCCCTGAAGAAGAAAAAATAGCATTATTAATATTATAGACGACCTTTTCTATTAAACTTGCATTGTATTTGTTATGCTTTGTGTGGGTAGAGCCTGCATAATGAATTAATGAGAAACCCTTGAACTCATGCTAGGGTTTCTCACTATTTAGGCTCTACCCTCACAGAACATAACAAATGCAATGCAAATAATATATAACAAATGAGGCCGTCCAGCGTATGCTCTCCTCCGATTTTGAGACTCAAAATAGTGTCAATTCATGACAAATTTGAGTAGTATGAACTTTGCGAAAGACACGATCTCCCAATGGGCACGTTTGGCAGAGATGTTTGCATCCAAAGAGGAGAAAATGCCTAGTAAATTTGGTAAGTGTACAATTTGTCGACTTTAAGACGCATTTTCTCCTCTAGGGGATGCAAATATCTTGGCCAAATGTGCCCATTGGGAGATCGCGTCTTTTCCAAATTTCATACTAATCAAATTTTCTAAGAATTTACACTAATTTACTCAAAATCTGGTGGGAGACCTTGTCCTCTGACCATTGTTAGTTACTTGACCACTGTTAATTAGGCTTGGTTATCTCACCTGGCAAAGCGACTGGCACGGGTAGATGGGCCTGTCCAGGCAGATGGGGGAGAAGAGGGAGCAGAGGAACAATTGGGTGTCGGGGTGGCACTGCAGGCCCAAGAGGGGCACCCAAGACCTCGCCTGTCACAAAAAACCCAAGCCATTAGTCACTTATCTCTATGTGCATGCCCCACATTATCCTCCTCCTCCTTATCCATCCACATTATTATTATGATGATATGTAAATGTGTGCATGACGAGTGACACGCTGCAGACGGAAATAATCTCTCTCTCTCCGTGCTGGAGATGCACAATCAAAATAAATAACCAATCAATCAATCAAAGTCATCCCATTTTGCAACACAAGTCCTTCTTATCTCTCGCTCAACACCACCATCAGCACCACCATCAGTGGCCGCGGAAGCCGTATTGGGGACATTGGGGGACAATGTCTCCACGGTTGTTCGATATCCGCATCATCTCCCCATCTTATATACTATAAACCCCTCACTCCCCAACTCATACAATATTAATGCCCCCAGATGTCCCCACGGCTTCCTCGGACACTCTGTCCTGTTTCTTCTGTTAGTAAAGTCGTCCCCAGTGGCCGCGGACAGAGGGACAATGTCCCCGGGTTGTTCAATGTCCCTATTTATCATCTGTCCTTGTTATACAAACCCGTACAACCTCCCTTATCCTGCAATGTCACTGTCCCCACATGTCCCCACCTACTGTTTCCGCGGCCACTGACACGAGTCAAAAGACATGACTGACAGAGTGCATACTACAAAGTGCAGAAGTGAGTGCAGAAGATGCTAAATCTGTACCACAATTAAGAAGAAATGGCATTTTAGCTGGGCAGAAAAGTCGAGAATTATTATGATAAGAAGGCGAAGAAGAAGAAGAAGAAGAGATTAGCTCATTTTTAATCACCCAATGACGTAGATGAAACTCAATCTCAGAAGAAGTGCATCTCCCTAATTTGCATAATCTCTAAACCAGATGCATATGTACTTTTGGGATGAATTGACCTCTGACCCCGTCCATACTATGGCTGCATTTATGGTAAATTTCTGCTGGTACTTACATGGTAGTCGGCCTCCTGGAGGGAGTCGTGACCCAGGAGGTTGGGCACCATCATGTTGGAGTAGTCGAGATTCCGACACAGCGTGAAGTTCTGGGGGATGGTGAGACAGGAGAAAGCGTTCCCGTACGTCGCCCTCTCCCCCCACGAGGAACCCCCCTCCTCCGACCCGAGAAGACTCCCCGTCGGGGAAAAGTAGGCCTCCTCTCCCCCCACGAAACTTAACAACTCTCCGGTCGAAATTAGGAAGTAAATCACGGCCAAAGGTGGCATCGTCATCGTCGTCGTCGTCACAAAGACACACAAAGTTTCTGAAATTCGACACGCAGTGTGACCAGTCGTCGACACACGGAAAGTTTCTGGATGAAATTCGACCCAGTAGTCGACGCCTTATCAAACTTTCTCAATTTACCACGATTGCATGAATTTACTGCTCAATTCGTATGAATTTTTGTCCTTCTCTCGAGCCACTCAGATGATGTATGATATCGTGCTGTGTTCTGGATGAGTGTGTCTCCTGGTCGAGGGTGTGAGGGTGACTGAGCGTACATACGAGGATTTTGCCAGAGAAGACCCATTTACTCGGTGCAGCAGCAGGAGTGACTTGATGAGTGATCGATGATGGCATTTTTCTTCTTTCCCCACCAATAAATACCTCCTCTCCTCCAGCAGAAGAAGAATCATAATAATCTCTCTCCACCAGAGAGGAGTTCATATAGCATACTTTATGTACTGACTCCTGGTTTGTGGACGCGACGACGGACAACGGAGCGAAGTGGAGGAAGGAATAGACCCCCAATGGGCCTTTTCGAACAGGAAGGGGAGCCAGACCAGTGTACAGCCTGACACGAGCCAGACGGGAAGGAAAACGCCTTATCAGAGTCATCGAGATGGATGGTGTCGACTGACAATGCACATGTCAGACATGTTTCGCACGGATCTTCATGATACTAGCACTAAAATCTCAAGGAACTAAACACAAACAATAGTTAGTATGAAATTTGAGCACTTCTGCAGAATTCAAAAAGTTATGAAGGTTTTAAGTTTGCGAAAACGCGTATTTTCACCATGCGAAACTATACAGAGTTCACCTCTCTGCTGTCCGATTTTCTCCTGCGCTTCTCTTCACTAGGTCATAGGTTTGCACTCAAAATTTGATTAATTAATTTCCTAACCAAGTTCTCATCCGATTTTTTATATTTGGCTTTTACATAATTTTTTAACACTTATTAATGTTTAAAATGGATTCAACTAATTTCTTATAAGTGGAAATTATTTTTCAAAATTGGTTCAGTCAGAATAATGGATTTTTATTTCTTTCGCGTTGAGGGTCTTTAAAGATTTAAAGATAAGAGTCAAGACAAGACAAGATTTAAAGAGATATAAAGACAAAAATCTTATGACTTTGTGTGATGCTGGCCCTTATCACACAGGGAACTTGGTATGTTTGGTTTTTTATTGTCAAATAAGTTTACAAATATAAATATGCAATGTGAAAGAAATTTAAATGAAAATCGATCCTATTCTGAACAAATCCTTAAAAAATTCCACTGATAACAACTTAATTTTTATTTTAAATATTCAAAAGTGTTAAAAAATTATGTAAAAGCCAAATATAAAAAATCGGATGAGAACTTGGTTAGGAAATTAATCAATTAAATTTTGAGTGAAAACGTATGACCTAGTGAAGAGAAGCGCAGGAGAAAATGGGACAGCGGAGAGGTGAACTCTATATAGTTTCGCATGGTGAAAATGCGTGTTTTCGCAAAATTAAAACCTTCATAACTTTTTGAATTCTGCAGAAGTGCTTGAGTTTCATACTAACTATTGTTTGTGTTTAGTTCCTTGAGATTTTAGTGCTGGTTTCAAGAAGATCCGTGCGAAACATGTCTGACATGTGCATTGTGAGTGCACTCCTGGCTAAAGAATTATTATCAAGTGTCAATGAGAACTTGGACGTGTCACTCAGCACCAAACGGCAGGGTTTCGTCGGGGACAAGTAGGACCACCACTTGGGGGAAAGAAAGTGGTTTCGTGTCGTGCAGCTATTTTGACCTGGGAGAAATGCAAGGCGCGAGAAACTACGCTATACTTCATACATCGTATATTTGTTGCGATTCGCATTTCTTACGTGGCTTGTTTCGCACTGCAAGAAATGTAGCAAACCCGGAACATTGGAAAGTGACCATTTGCAAGAAATAAAGTGGTTTCTTGCTGCTATTCTGACCTGCACTAAATTTAAGGCGCAAGAAACGAGGTGTAGCTGGATGGCGCATACTTATTTCGTGCACCTCGCATTTCTTGCGTTTCATTCCATGAAATGTGACAAATCCGGAACACTGCTGACTCCTCTGGAATCATCATCTCTTGAAGAAGATGAGATTATGAAGACAGCCAAGTCTTGTTGGGGTCTGGTGATGGGGGAGCAATTAGTGGTGACAGGCTCTCTCCGGGTGGCGTGTGTGCCTCATTTTATGGCTCCCTGTTTTGACAGCTTCTTCTCTCTCTCTTCTCGTAGCTGTGTCAACATTGTGGACATGACATAATCATAATAATCATCATCTCCCACTACTACTACACTACTTGACGTTATTATTGTGCATGTGGTGGTGGTGCTAAAAGTAATAAAACAAAGGCCAAAATTCTCACTTTTCCTGCCTTCCTGCAGCTGCAGATCCATAAATGTGTGTGCACCAGACGCTTGAGAAGCCCAGATTTTCGAGCTCCTCTCACTTATTCGATCATCTCTCTCTCTGAAGTCTCTCTCTCGTACCAATTTACAACTCGGCTACCACCACGTGGTTGGTTTTCGTTAATTAATAGCGTAATAAATTAGTGAGTAAAAAAGGGTCTTCCTTTAAGTTTTAAGGGCTCGCGTGTCTGCTGCCTGATGGCTTTAAGTACTTACTCGACATGTGTACATATGCAGTCGTCCTGCCCTGATGGCCTTAACTTGTGGTGGACAGGTGACACACTCCTCGTAATCCCTTAATCCGACCCACCTGCACAAAAAGTACGAGTCAATAATGTAACTAGTGTCGCCCGTCACGTCACTCCTGCTTAATTGGCTCGCTCCATTGTCACCACTCTCACCCTGACTGACGACGAGTCAATAAAATCAAATTATTATCTGTAGCGTGTCTTCTTCTTCTTGTCATAATTGTGGGTTTATTATGCGTCTATTTCGGACACAATAAGATGCTCTGTCAGCTTTTATAATTTACTGCATGTGTTTGTGCAGGTCTATGTTTAGAGTACTCGTACAAGTTATGCACAACTGGACAAAATTGGAGGCAACATGAGACCGTTCTTTACTGTTGTACAGTTGTATATGCTACACGGACACGAATACTCCTCAGCTAAGTACATATGAGAAATGAGACAATTCATGCAGGGCTTGGTAACATTGTTAAATCCCTAAAACTTACAAACTTCTACAAAATTTTAGAAATATTTCAGAGGGAAATTAGCTCACAAATTTGTGTAAATCAAATCAAAGTTGGCGTCTTTTAATTTTGTAAAATTATTTTATAAAACGCACGAATTCTGTGTGAACTTTTGCATAACTTTATTCATCTTTTCAAGGAAAATTAGCCTACAAACTTCTGCAAACTTGCTCAGATCAAGGGGTTTGTAAAAGTTTGGTTCTGATTTTACAAAGTTACCAATGACTGCGTGAATTGCCTCAGTAATGTCGCATACTTAATTCGCAACCTGTATGTTTTTAATCTGTCGTGATTACGCCGATTAAAAAATGAGGATGATCTCGAAGTACTTCTGACACGCCTGCAAAATTTGGATATCAACCGAATAAAAAATCCAGCCTTGACAAATATCCGTATTAACTACTTGAATATAATTATTTATTGTTACTAATTTCATCTTTATTACAAAAACGACTAGCATAATGATAAGTTGTGTATAAAAAAGTCTTTTATTTTCAAGTCCCTGCTTCTTCTTGACTAAATATGTAACTCTACTCGCTCAGCATGCAACACGTGAGGTGAGAGCCCCATTTTCTTTCGTCTTGTCATGTTTTCTCAAATATTATATGCAACTCAAGTCCCTCTAGCTAACACTCTATCCTAAAATAAATAAGTACAAGAGCTCACTAATTCGGGGGATTCACTAGAATTCGTACCGTAACATGTTTGCAAACTATTTAGAAACTGGCGGAAGTTAGCAAATGTTTAACAATATTTTTGCAAACTTGACAAGCTAACTTAGCTAACTAAGAACTTGATGACTCGTCAAAAAGTCGTCAAAATCAGCAAATTTTTAATCAGTTCTCTGCTCTGGGAAGTTAAATATTTTAATTCTGGAGGACAAATATGTAGTCAGTGAGTTGATTAATGGAATGGTGTTGAGTTTTTTAAACCAGTTTAGATGAGTTCCTATTTTTCTGAAGGCTTCCTAAACTTGAGATCTCCTCGTACAAAAAGTGTCGAAATTTGGAGTGTATATTTTTAAAATTATGGGAACGACCTGCTCTACAAATTTATTGTTCAGAATTTTAAAATAAATTCCCAGAGCGGAGAACTGATTGAAAACGTGCTGATTTTGAGGATGGGTCATCGAGTCAAGTGAACGTGAACTTGTCCTGAATGAGACAAATGTTAAATCTCATTGTTGTAACTGCTTATTGTCTCATCCGACCAGATTAACGGTGGTGGTGTCGCCATTGGCACTTCCATTTCTTGTCTTGCTTTTTCCCTCAGTGGTCAACGGGGGCCAGGCGACGTCCATTTCCAGCTCGTATAAGATCCTCTTGTACGCGCTCTTCTTCTTGTTCTTCCCTCCAAGACAATGACCCAGCCGTTTGACACCACCTTGTACCCAGGATCCCTGAAAATATGCAATAATTTAATTAAGTAATTAATTAAGTAGGGTAAAAAAATACTCGTAATTAACTATAGGGGAAGAAGCGTACACAAACAATGGAGATTTCCCTGCGTATACGATACGATTTTGAGCAAATTAGTTTGAATCGATCACATCTTTAATTAGTATGGAATTTGCAAAGGACAGATCTCCCAATGGGCACGTTTGGCAAAGATGTTTGCATCCAAAGAGGAGAAAATGCGCAGTAAAATTGGGAAGTGTATAATTTGTCGACTTTAACGTGCGTTTTCTCCTCATGGGATGCAAACATCTTTGCCAAACGTGCCCATTGGGAGATCTGTCCTTTGCAAATTCCATACTAATTAAAGATGTGATCGATTCAACCTAATTTGCTCAAAATTGGATCGCACACGCAGGGAGACATCCATTGTGAGACGTATAACGACGGGACATTTTGACCTACACGTTAGCTAACGAAGATCTTTACACCTTTAAAAATTGGATATCAGTATCCGAAAGTAAAGTTTGAAATTTTTGGGGACTTATCGCGCAGACGGACCAACAAATCGAGCCCAATATAAGCTCGTTAATTACCTCCAAGAAGAGAGACAGGGTCAAGTTGAAGACTGGGAGGATGAGGAGTCTGAGTCGAAACTTGTCCGTCGGACTGTCCCCACTCCCCCCGACGGGCATCAGGTGAAAGAAGGAGGAGAGGAAGGAGGGCGGATGTGCAGCCAAGATCAGCGTCACCAACCCCAAAACTAACACCACCGCCACGAACGCACCTACAAATAGTACAAATTCACTACAACTTTGTAACAAAACATGTAAAAACAATGATATAACGACTCATACAAAAAAACAAATAACTCAAAAAATTAGAAATTAATCTTTCCAATGAATCATTATGACAATAGGAAATTTAGTTGTGAAAAATCGTGGAAAAATTTACAAATCTGAACCAAATTAATTAGTTTTTATAATTTGATTACAAATTTTTTGAGTGTTTTTTTTGAAGCAGCATGAAAATAGGTTCTTCCCCCTCCCCATTTCACATACCATTCATATAGAAGGGTTTCCTAAATGGCGGCCCCTTTGAGAAGACGACAGCCAAGATCAAGTACTGGAAGGAGGAGACCGAGAAGATCGTCGTCGTCTCCCAACAAAGCGTTATCAGTTGGTCGGCCGAGGGTGGCGTCAGGGCGTGGAACCACACCTCTCTTTCCAACAGCTCCATCGCAAAAGCCTGCAACACACGTACACATACATTAACAAGGGAGATCTCTTGGCGTATGCTCTCAGATTTTGAGCAAATTTTAATGTCAATCGATTACAAAATTGATTAGTATGAAATTTGCGAAAGATACGATCTCCCAATGGGCACGTATGCGGCAGAGATATTTGCATCCCAAGAGGAGAAAACGCACAGTAAATTTGGAAAGTGTAAAATTTGTCAATTTTAAGGTGTGTTTTCTCCTCTTTGGATGCAAATATCTCGGCTAAACGTGCCCATTCGGAGATCGTGTCTTTCGCAAATTTCATACTAATTAAATTTGTCATCGATTGACACTAATTTGCTCAAAATCTGAAAGTATATACGCTGAGAGACTTCCATTGTCAGTTAGTCTCTGCCCCCTACATGTTCACAATAAATTATTTCCTACTCGCCTGCACGCCCGCCGCGACGACGACTTGGGCGAGAATGGAGAAGATGTTTCTGAGGGAGACGAGGCTGGCGGAGGGTCGGTCGGGCACGAGGGTGGCGGCCGGCTCCGTCCTCCCCATCACGATCGCGATCGACGTCGTGATCCCCAAGTCCACCCAGAGAAATTGAGTATCCGCCAGGTTCGTTTTGTGCTGTAGACCACCAAGCAAATCGATAACCCCACAAAATCTGAATAAGTATGTAAATTACGCACCCTGTACAAGATGAGGACCGAGGAGAACTGCACCATCGAGTAGAGCGCCATGTACTTGAAGATCCCGAACGACGTCACCAACGCGCAACGACCTTCCCGAATCAACTTTGGCACGCAAGAAATGTCCCCAACTTTCGAGGTGAAGGGCGCCGCGACGGAGGCTTCCGCTTCGGAGAGGGAAATGCCCACGTGCGCAGTTTTCAAGGCGGAACAGTCGTTCGCACCGTCGCCGCACATTCCAACCTGGTCAAAGAAGTAAGTTGAGGGAATAATTAACGAAGGAGTAGTGGATTTTTAATCGTTTCTCGGCTCTGGGAATTTATTTTAAAGTTCTAACCGACAAATTTCTAGGCAGAGAATTTAAGATTTTTTAAAAATATGCACTCCAGATTTTGACACTTTTTGAAGGAGGAGGTCTCAAGTTTAGGAAGCCTTCAGAAACATTGAATTCAGAAACATATCCATTAACACTCGAATAAAGGTTGACTTGACTTGACCTGACTTGATTGGAACTCATCGAAACTGGCTCAAAAAACTCAGTGCCATTCCATTAATCAATTCACTGACTGCAAATTTGTCTTTCAGAATTTTAAAATAAATTTCCAGAGCCGAGAAACGATTAAAAATCCACTGATTTTGACGACGCGTTATCCAGTCCTACCTAAATTATGCAAATTATTATACAACTCACCACATATCCAATCCCCTGCAACCTTTCGACGAGCTGACTCTTATTCTCCGGACTCATCCTGGCATAAACGGCCCCTTTCGCGACGATCCTGTCCAGCACTTTGTCCTCGCCTTGTTCCACCAACGCGCTCCACGTCCCCCGCCCAGCACGAAGACATAGTTCCCTCCCCCACCCCCACCACCCTCGTCGTCCCCTTCCCCTTCATCCCCCTCGTCCCCCTTTCTCCCCTCCCCTCTAAACGTCACCGCGCCATCGTCCCCCACGCCCACCACCACCACGCGGACACCCTCCCCCACAATGCCGCACTCTCTCGCGACACTCACCGCGGTCAGCATGTTGTCTCCCGTCACCATCACGGAGCGCAGACGGGCCGCCGTCAGTTCGCGGATGACGCCCATGCTCGCGCCCTTCACGCTGTTCTGCATCACGAGGAAGCCCAGAAAGGTCAAGTTTTCTTCCAGCCCGGGTCGTGGGGCGCGCTGGAGCTGGTGCCATTTGAGGTTGCGGAGTGGTCGCATGCCGAGACCGAGGACGCGATACCCGCGCACGGTGTAGGAGTCGAGCGTGTCGTCGTAATTGGTGGGGATGGTGGAGGCCAGACAGAGCGCGCGGATCTGTTCGGGCGCGCCTTTGCAGTAGAGAACCATTTCGGAGGAGGAGGAGGAGCGGACGATGACGGACATTCGTTGGAGTTGAGGAGTGAATTCGAGCTCGCGTAAAATTCCGAGTTCGATCGAACGGCGGCGTCCGCTTTTTACGATGGTGGGAGTGAGAACGTCGAATTTGCAGGTTTCCTCGACACCGCTGGGGACAACAAAAGGGGGAATTATTAAGGAATTAATAACCAATTACACGTGGGTGGAGAATATACAATAAGTATTTTGAAAGAATGTACAGTATTTTGAGTTCCGTTTCGTGACAGTCATACTAAAATTATTATTAGAGTATTTTGACAGCGATGAAAATTTAATTTCTTAAAAAACACAACTTTTAGTATAACTGCTGGTTAATTCTCATCAGATATGTACACCCACAATAAGACGAGATTGTACATGCAGAAAGCAGCAGTCATGCGAAAACCCGTGTTTTGTAAAGAACGCAACTTTTTATCGCCTTAAAAACACTCAATTTTTTAAACATCGTGAAAAGCATTCCAGCCATAAAAAGTAAGTTTCTTCACGAATCCTGCATTTTCGAACGACTTTTGTCTTCTTGACGTAGATTTCGTCTTTTTGTGAGTGTAAACCCCCCCGGAAATCAAACAGTTTAAAGAACCGAGCTCAAAATACTGTACATTCCTCCAAAATATCTTATCCACCCATGCAATTTGATAAGTCACCTCGCTATGGGTTCCTCCAACTCCCACCCCGTCCCCTCGAACATTTTCAAGTCGAGAGGGTCCCCTACCAAGCGGCCGTGAATGTGGGTGAGCGAATGGCACGCGGCCATGGCGCGGAGGAGGTCGGACTCATCCCCGAGGCTGTTGGGATGGTGGAGGGGGTCGCAAAACTGGACGCAGGGCTCCTTCCCCGTCACAGGAACGACGCCCCACATGTCCAGGCCTTCCTCCGTCAATGTTCCCGTTTTATCGAAGCAGATGAGACCCAACTTCCCACAAAAGTTTATCCTGGGTGGAGACGTGCAGAAGATGGAGGCTCGTTTCAGCCGCGCCTGCGCGTACACGGTGCCCACGGTCATGGCGGCGGGGAGCGCGGGAGGCACCACGATCGTCAAAATGTCCAGGACTCGCAGGAGGGTGACGCTCCAGGATGCCTGCGATAAGAATATGGCAAACTCAACTTTTTTGAATTGGTTTCAGAAACAAATTCTATCTTAAAAATATACTTGAAAGTATGGAAAATCGAAGTTTGTCATGATACAACAACTATTTTTGACTAACAAAATTGTAAAACTTATCAAAATCGAAGAAGTAAAACTAGATTTTAGTGAATTTAATTAATACTTATAAGCTTTAACGTAGGACTCGATGACTCGTCATCAAAATCGTGGAAATCATCACATCTTTAATCAATTCTCCGCTTTAGGAATTTACTTTAAAATTCTGACGACAAAATTTGAAGAGCAGGGAGTTCCCCCCCCCCCCAAAAAAAGAACGTTAACCATAAACTAAATTCTGATAATATTTAATATAGTTTCTGATTGGGTTAATTCATCTTCGGGAAAAAATAAATGTTCAAGAATTGAGTTGCTGAATAAGTAATTGTTTTTCATAAAAATGTTGCAAAATTTCCGACTGAAATTCTATTATGTAAAATTTCAAAAAATATAGCGTACCCCTCGCTCGACATAAATCCAGACGCAGTACGTCATCCCGATCGAGGCGAGGATGAAAAGGACGCCGACAAATTTTAAGGCGTCCGCGTAAAACTGAAATCCCAAAGGTTTCGGGAAGAGGATGGAATGGATGAGCTCGCCTTTCGCCGTGTTGAACCCGGTCCGCACCACCACCGCAGTCACACTCGCGCCCAAATAGTATCTCGTCTGCAGAACCTCCGTCCCTCCGAAGAGCGTGTGGCGCCGATGCTTCTCCTCCCCCCAAACGTCGTCCACCGCGAGGAGGGCGCTTTTCTAGGCAATCAGGTAAAAAAAAGATAAGCTACATAAGTATGTAAATTTGACATCCTGCATCCGTACGGACTGATAAGTATATATTTCTATGAAATTGTGGAAACATTTATTTAATATTTCCACGTGCAAATACGAGTTTTCTGATAGGTTTTTGCTAAAATACGTTTCTTTAATTGCACGCTTTAATTTTTGTCTGTATGCCCAAATATTTTAAAGACAATTTTTAATCTAAAATCCTCTAAATATTTTAAACCTTATTTTTACAAAATTTTTACCAAACCAAATATTTACCCAAGTTGAAAATCTCGAAATGTAGAAAAATATAGAAAAGCTAATAAAATTTTAGTAATGTATTCAAATTGTGGACCACACCCTCCAAATATTTGAAATATTTCATCTCCTCCAAAATATTGTACCTGCACCGGCGTCGACTCTCCCGTGAGGAGACCTTCATTCACGAGACAACTGCCCCCCGTCAACACCGCGTCGCAGGGAAGGACGCAGCCCTCGCGGGGGATGAGGAGCACGTCCCCCGGCACCAAATCCTTACTGCTGACCAGCACGCCCCCCTCGTGACCGCGCATCCGCACCCGAACGCTGCCCACTTCCGACGTGGCGGCCATCCGTCGCACCATTTCGGCCTGTCTGCGCGTCTCGACGAGGGCGATGCCGATGGAGAGGGCGGAAATGACGAGGACGCAGGACGCGTAGTACGTGTAGTCGTCCAAACACCAGAGGATGACGGATCCCAGTTGGAAAATGTAGAAGGGGTTCAGCACCTCCTCCTTCAAAAGGGATGGCCAACTCTTGACCTCAACTTCCATACTGTTCGGGCCGTGGAGGGAACGTCTGCACGAAATTAATGATAGAGTTAATAATTAAATAGTAATTAATTCGTGGATGCGATTTCTGGCCAGTATGTGTAAATGGGGGGAGGAAAACTGGATTCTCATGTTCACAATTTTGTGGACTTATTTTTAGGAGAAAAACCATGAGAAAAATTTAAAGGATCTTCTTTTAAGGTGAAAACCCACGAGAAAAAATTCGGAGGACTTTTTTAAGTGAAAAAAAAGCAGGCGAGAGAATTTGGAAAACTTTTTTCAACGAAGAAAAGCAGGCGAAAAAATTCGGAAAAGTTTTTTCAGTTAAGAAAACCACGAGAAAAAAAATTGGAAAACTTTTTTTTAATGGAAAACGATGGAGAAAAAATTAAAAAACAAACAGAAATCGCACAAATCAATTAAAATATAGCACAGTTTTCGTACCCCGCCTCCCTCTCGCCCTCCCCACTCAACCCTTCCCCATAGCGGGTGAGGATTTCGTTACAGGTGAGTCTCTCGAGCCCCTCCAAGCGCCGGAAGTGACCCTCCCCCTCGTCCCACACCCACTTGTGGTGACGGTGGATAAAGTAGCGATCGTTCGGAGGAGGAGTCCTACCAGATTCTGGGAGGAGATGGGTCGTCGAATCGTCGTCATGTTTGGTGAGGTGAGAATCATGCTGATATTCTTCCATGGGGGATGGTCTCCTCCGACCCCCACCACCGCCACCACCATCGTCCACTCTGTTCCTGGTCCAAACTACGGGACAAATGGCTTCGTCTTGGACTTCGTTCTGCACAAAAACAAACAGATTCTTTACTTAACAATGACTTTAAAAATTTCTTTACTCTTTTCTAACTTGCGCCATAGTTAAAATTTGTTACATAACATTGGCGCAAGTTACTCAGAGATGACCAAACCAAAATACTTTGTGAAAATGAAGTATTTTCAGCCCCGTTCTTCCCAAGGTTTGCATTTCCAGGGCTGTTACACCCACAAAAGGACGAAAATATATGTCGAGAAGACAACAATCGCACGAAAATGCAGATTTTCGTGAAGAAATTAACTATTTACTGATGTCAAAATACTTAATTTTAAAAAATCCCGAAAGCAATGTATTTTTCCAGCGATAAAAACTGAATGTCTTCGAAAAACCCGTATTTTCATACGACTTCTACCTTCTCCATGCAGATTCTCGTCTCTTTGTGGGCAGGGTATTCCGACCTGGGTTTTAATGGGTTTTAATGGGTTTTAATGGGTTGTAAATGAATAAAACCCACTGGGTTTTACCATGTTAAGTGGGTTTTATTTGGGGTTTAATGGGTTTTATTGGGTCTTAATGGGTTTTATTGGGTTTTAATCGAGTTTTACCTTAAAACTATATTCTAAAAGTTAAATACATCTCCTATATGTTAAAAGACGTTATCTCAATTCATTCTAAAGCAGTTTATTTCATTACTATCATAATATATGAAAATTCGGAACAAAGCAACAATTGACTCCATTCTTTAGCATCACAGATTTCAAGTGTTGTAAAACAAAAATAATTTCCGAATAGATACAAATTCCGAATAATTGTTGTTAAATTATTACTTAAAACTATTAAAACCCAATAAAACCCACTTAAACCCAATAAAACCTAATAAAACCCATTAAAACCCAAATAAAACCCAATTAACATGGTAAAACCCATTAAAACCCATGGGTTTTATAATTTTTGATTAAAACCCTGGGTTTTTCCGAACCCTGTTCGTGGGTGAAACACCCCCCGAAATCCACCCCCTTGAAACAACACAGCTCAAAATACTCCATTTTCACAAAGATAAACACGCCTCCCATTTAAAAATTTCTATATTAATCAAACCACCACTCACATTTTGTCCAAACGTGGTCAACAAGACCTTCTCTGACCTCCTCAACTCGACCCTTTTTCCCTCCAAGGTCAGCAACAGTTTGGGCCTGAGGGCCGCAATAATTAACCAAGGCACCCCAAAGGTCACCACGTTTAGGAGGATAAACACCATTCGGCGCAGTCTGGTTTGTCGATACCCTTCCAAACGTCCCTCCCCATCCATCCAGATAACCTGAACATGGTCCTCCTCCCCCCCTTCGCCTCCGCCTCCGCCCACCTCCACGTCAAAGTCGTCGTCATCCTCGTCCCCCTGTCCCAGTTGGATGTAGGATGGTCGACCCATCCTTATCGTGGAGGGGGCGACGCCACCCACCCACCACTCACAAACACCACTTAATTTATGTCTTATCGAGACGATAAGTAATTGTTCTTGTTATAAGGCACAAATATTATTTATTACGAGGACCGATTTGTGATCTGTCTCCTTCTTCTTAACTTTAATGCATTGTTATTTATTTATTATTTAATGAGCGAGCAACAGCTGTGTGTCAAACAATTCTGCTGCCTGCAACTAACTAACTTAACTTAACAGGTTGCTTAATATAATGTAATGTAATGTTGTAAATTACAGTTGGTTTAACCAACTTGGTTAAGACTTGGTTATAAAAATGAAATGAGATGAAAATGAGTCGTACTACGCATATTATTTATTAAATTATTTTTATCTCCTCATCGGCTGTTGATTTAATATTTATGTAAATCCAGACATCCATTAATTCCCACAACGTCGTTAATCCTCTTAAATAATGTACATACATATGCAAATTCAGTATGAATATTACGTTAAGTGGGCGGTAGCATATCTTTTGCATGGAAAAGTACGAAAAACAAATGCATATTTATTACATTTCCGTGTTAAGATTTGTAAATTTTAGTTGGCAGAGAGATTAAGATCCCTATTTATGACCACGGTTGCTTGACAATAAGAATCTTAGCACTGTAATACGGTTGCGACAAATGGAGCATTTCGAAAAAAAATCATTTTTTAAATCGTTGGTACTTTTGCGATGGTAAAAAGTACAGAAAAGTACCAACGACTTTGACCTCGAATAACTTTTGAATAGGTAGAGATAGGGACTCACTTCTCAAGGATGAAATCATCCTAATTTTTAGCTTGATTTTTTAAGCTAAAAATCTCGAGTGTACTATTTCGGAAAACTAAAACGTTTATTTCGAAGAATATCTCCAAAATATAAGTTTTTCAGGAATTTCAGAGCCAATTCTTATCTCACAAAATTCTATAATATATCAAAGTGATTGTATGATCTAGACCGATCGATTGACACCCCACGGGAGGGTGTGAGATCACTTGACCCGGATTTGACCTAGGGGGTCATCTCAATCTTTCAACTTAGCAACGGTCCACTCATACCATTTTTTCAGTACATAAAGATTAAAATTTAATTTTTTCAAAAATGAAAATTTGTGTTGGAAACAATTCATTTGTCGTAACATAGTTAGAAATGTAAAGTTGTCAAGCAATATTGATTTATGACGTAGTTGTCTCAAAAATATCTCGCAGCAAAAATACGGCGCGAACGCTTTTCATCCTGGTTTATTTTTCCCAAAAAACATATGTTATTTGTTTTGGGGGGACACGCATTCACTATGTCTTGTATTGCATTTGTCGTGAAATTATTTTTATTATTCATGTATTTACTCAACGCACTAAAATCTAACTCAATACACAGTTGGTGGGTGGCCCTCACATAACAAATCTTGTTGGACTTGTTCACGCCAATTTTTTCAATTTTTAAAACTATTTTCTGAGACTTTGAAATCGAATTTTGAAATTATGGCTCACGCCATTATAGATAATTAGCGGATTAATAAGATAGTTTTGAAATTTTTCAATTTTCATGAGCCAATTTTGCTGAGGTACAAATTGAATATAACAGGTGGTCTTATGCTTTTTACATATTTCTTGTACCTCAGCTTTCAAAAACCACCGAAATATTGAATTTCTTCTTCGAGTAGGACAACAACGGAATTATCTATAATGGCACGAGAAAGAATTTTGAAATTCCGTCTGGCAGCTGAGAAATAATTCAAAATGTGGGGTTGTGACGTCATTGTTGTGACGTATGCTATGACTAATGGAGTCTCACGTTAATGAATTAATTTGAAAGTAAATTTTTTTGAGAGCATTCAATCAAATTGTTTACATGCATAATTAAAAATCATCATCATTATCAAAAAGGTAACAAAAAACGTGTCATGTTTAAAATACTCGAGCGTCGAAAGGGTTGTATTTGCTTTAATATTTTTAAAGTCCAATGAAAAATACAGGAAAATTAAATGGAAATATGAAAGCGATAATTTTTGCACTCATTGCATTTTTGTACAATTTCCATAAGATAGAAAATTAGGATAAAAAAAACTGTATTTTCGTCCGACTGTGTTGTCTTCTTCACGTGGATTTTCGTCTTTTGGTGGGTGTAAGTTACACCGTGTAACAGCCCTGGAAATTTAGAACGGAGCTCAAATTACCGTACTTTGATAAGGTATTATATTATAGTACTTATCTTTTGATTTTACTAAGGCGGCGACTAATGACAGATGTCAAAAGTCACCAGGACAAAAGTAAGGCGGCAAAAGCCAGAAATTTTAAGGACACAGCTGTATCGGAGACGAATTTTCACTCTGTAATCCGACTGGAGACGAATGCATGTTTCAACTTTTCTAGTCTTGCCCAACTCCACAGAGGACAAAATGTGGTCACTTTTTCCTCTAATTTATCTCCCACTGGAAAATAATTTAGCTTGAAAACATGTTTGAAACTGGGTAACAATTATTCTAGAAATTGATAGTGCATGAAAATTTTCATTTGATAGATTAGTCATAAAGATATTATCGTATTTACAGTAAATGAGACCCTTCCTTTTCAGAACAACTCCGTGTTTTCCTGGTATTTTAAGGGCAGTGGCCCCGGAAGCCGGCATCCGTTAATATTGTAGGATAGGCAGTGGCCCCGGAAGCCGGCATCCGTTAATATTGTAGGATAGGCATTGGCCGCGGAAAGCGGGGAGACACGTGGGGGCAATCCAATTTCAATTAAGATCAATGATTAAATCTATAACTAGTGCTAATCAAATATGTCACAATCAGCTAGATTTTGATTTGCATGCAAATTTATGTCCCCACGTTGTAAATGATCTTATCCGCGGCCATTGCCTATGACCACCACTGTATAAGGAAGGAAATCTGATTGAATAAAATATTTTTGGGTGGAATAATGCTCACGATAAGGAAGTGAATGACCACATTCGTCAATTTTTAAGATCTGCTTATCATGATAAGATGCGAACTACGACTTCCGGCCGAAGTATTGCTTCAGCTTCGAGTTCGTTTCGATATGCAACCTGAGCCCTGCATGATTTCAGTATGATGCACAAAGTGACCTTTCTTCTCGTCACGATGAAATATGTCGTCGTCACCGGCTGGTCCAGCCTTTCATTTACATATGTCCATACCTGTTCAATAATTTAGTTTTCATTCAAAAGTCAGTCATCCCAATTTCTGATTAATGATTTTCATTCACATTCAGTCCTTTTTTCTTTCAAATTAATTTCATTTCACTTCATCTGACTTCATTTGTTACTTCGTCCCATGTATTAAGCATAGGGTGAAAAATGAAATGACTGAGAAATCTTTCATTCACAGTCATTCATCTGAAATGACGGAATACTTCAGTCATTTTCACTCAAATCACAGAAAATTCATTGTCACTCACCATCATAATCACTCAAATGAATGAAAGTGAACAGGTATGGTTCGATTTAAGTGTGCTGCACAAAGTGACCTTTCTTCTCGTCACGATGAAATATGTCGTCGTCACTGGTCCAGCGGTGCATTTGTGTCGGCGCATGGAAAAATGGGAGCGAGACGCGAGCACAATTTTATACACAACGGAATTCCTTTACTCCCTAAAAATCGTCATGGTCAAAAACGTAACAAAAATGCGTCCTGTTTACAATTCAATACTTCAATTATTCCATTTTTATCTGAATACTTAACTTGTCATAAATAGTGAAAATATAATACAAAAATCAAGTATCGAAAGAATTTAGTCCCTTGATGGGATGCTGACTTTACTTTGGTGTGTTATTCAATTATGTCATTTTTATCAGTCATAAGGATCATTATTTTGTAATAAATCGCGTAAGTACAAACATCTTAAGCATGGAAAAGAAGTCGTCACTTGATGGAACCTTGTTTGGGGGATGAAGGACTTCATTCCTTCTTCAAATGTCTCTCAAGACTGTCTTTCTGCGTGTACGACGTCCCACAGTGGTGGGGGCAGGGGTGCCGGATTTTGTCAAATTTAATAACCAACCCACATTAATTACTCACTTACTATTAGATTTTACTACAATTTTTCTATTTATATAACTAGTCTCATTCATTTCTTCGGCTGTTTAACAATCCATTCTATTCAATTTGTCGTCATCATCGTCCAAGAATTTCCACCCCTCGTTCTTCTTTGTTATGAATTCAGTAGTACCAGAATTTTTCATGAACTTGATAAACAACTGGAAATGAGCTGAATCCAAGCCCAACTAACCAGCTTTAAGTGCATCGTAGACTACGATCTACGATGCGATGAATCTCAATCCCCAATCCTTAATCCGGGATTGACCAGTCTCTGATCGTAGTCAAGCGTTCGCAGAAAAACAGTTCCTCTGACAAGTTACACGAAGACGTGTGCACCGGAAGTTGAAGGACATCGGCGTGTCTCCAGTGCGGAAAGAAGTTCGGGACGCAAGGGTGACATATGTTCGACATCTGAGGGACGTCCACCTCAAAATCCGGCACCCTGCCCCCACTCGCGGTCAAATCGTTCACGCAAGAAAATCCAATCTGGGGACACACATTTGCAGCGAAGTTCATCCCCAGAGTTAAAGTTCCATTTGTCCCTCCCAAACAACCATAAAATGACACCGTTTATCCATGCACTTATGTTTTTATATTCTCTATTGACACAAATTGATGATAAGATTGTTAATCCTCATCCGACTGATAAATGTAGGGCATAATTGAAATTATTAAGGTGTAAACATGTTCCCAATTTTTGTTACTTTTTGACCATGAGATTTTTAATTAGTAAAGACATTCTGTTTTTATATAATAAGTCTGCTCGCTTCATCGCTTCCCATTTTCCATGTGCCGACATCATGCAAGGCTGGAACAAGTGACGACGAACTTCATCGTGACGAGAAGAAAAGTCACTTTGTCATCGCACTTAAATCGTGCTTCGGGTTGCAATATCGAAACTGACGATAGGTGAGGAAGTTAATAATTCTACAGGAAGTCTCCCTTTCATCTTATCATGATTTAAGGCCCATCTTAACAATTGATGAATAGTCCATTCACTCAATTCACTTCGCTTATCGGGACATTCCCCAAACCACCCAAAAAATATTTTATTTCAATCGCGATTTCCTTCCGTAGTTTGCGTCAATCAATAAGGCAATGACCCGTGATTAAGATAACTTAGACCGGTGCGACAGTGCAATTCTCCTATACAAATAAAACCCAGCTCATTGTTACAAAATAATTGCATATTTACAACCACCACAAGTTATAGATTTTAATCAATTATTGATCT